GGATTTTTTAAGGTTTCCCCTTTGGTAAAGGCAAAAACCCCCACCCCCCCCCCCCCCCCCCCCCTTTTGTCTCCGCCACTGCTCAACTCTTACTTAGTCATTTATTACTACAGTGATCAATGTATTATCCATTATTTACTGCATCTTAATGTGCTACAGGGATGTTAAATCCTATCACATCTTTTTACCCGTTAAATATTATATCTTGTTAAAAAATATATTTTCTTTTTACATTGTTTTATCTTTTTATCTTTTTAAATTTCATTTTGAGTCGGTGAAATTAGCTTTAGGCTAATACTATTTTATGTAAAAACTGATCTTAAATAAAAAATATGGTTTTAGTCTATATGGAAAGTAGACACATTTTCATAATTAAATCCAATTAGCAGCTGAAGGCTAACAAGGATAACAAATTTGAAAAAATACTTCAAAAACATAATGGTATGAAAAAATATATTGAAAAAACTCAAAATGCGAAAAAAGGTGTGAAATTTATTGATGTGTTCATCAGTGGATACTTTTACTTTTAGAACGAGGTTTTTGTGATTCCCTGGCTTTTGCATCCGAAGGCTTAACAATTAAAACAGGTGATCAAGTGTTAGGACATTATCAAATCCCGTTACCTAATCGTGTGAGGAGATAACTAACTATAATTTGTCATATTAAGTACGCTAAAGTGGCTTGTTCTGAATAGATTTCTTGGTGATCACCTGCTCTGGTGTACCATGATGACACAATATCTGTACACGTTAACATACAGTCTGAAAGTCATCACAGTTTAGGTATAATGAGTATCCAGGTGTTGCTAAGCGGACACCTGATTTCAATGTTTCTCAAATTCCATTGATACAGGCCGAAAAATCCAGTTGTTATAAACCCAAATCAAGTCAGGGACAGGGAGTAGTTAATCTATAAATATAGTAGACTTAGTAGCTATTTCTATATGCGAAAACACCCTTTGTTTACAGACTAAGACAGATAAATTTTATTTGTAATCATAAATTAACAATATCACATTACTCAGACAAAACAAAATTGCATGTTTTATCCATATAATATAATATACTATCATAGAATAAGACTTATGAAGATTGGAACATTGTATTGATAACAATAAAACTGTTTCTTATTGATAAATGTTCCATATCACTGATTGAAAGATTTCTCTTAAGTAATTACTTGATTGAAATACACAAATTGGCATATAGTCATTTTATTGTCGCCACGAGCGAACGTTTATTTCTAATTAGTAGAACGTACGTATATACGTATTCTTGTTTTTCGTTCCGGAAACAGATACAGATCTAAAATAGGCGGAAGCGATGGCCATTATATAGAGTTCATTAAACTGTCCAACTCTAGGTTGAATTCATATAGTTAGGCCATTTACTTACTCGTGGTTATTAACTTAAGGTTCATGATCGTATAACCGGTGCCGGGATGTTACAATAGGAAGACAACTATATCGATTACATTTTTAACACAAACCAATTTTCTTTGGTGAAATTTATCCAACATGACGCTCACCCTTGATCAGAACCATATATATTTCAAGGTACATCACACAAGAATTACAGCTTTTGAATTCAGGGTGCGAGAGAGAGGACAAGGTTCACGAACATCATCCAATAAACTTTGGTCTATGTTAAAAAAAACATCATATAAATAGCCTAAATATAAATTACTGAAATCTTCTGTACTTTCGTTATTACGTATGGTTTTTAAAACTACTTTAACCAGACCCTGTTGAAAGACTTTTCCCTGAAACCTGGGTGTTGGTGGAGTGAATTTTACTTTTCAAATGATAACGACAAGGTAAACATTTTTTCATGAGAGTGAGCCTGTACCTAGAACTGATAATGAGATATGTTACAAAATCAACACAATAACTAACAATACTCAATAAACTTCCAACCTCCTGAACAAAGAGAAATGTGTAACGATTTTCATTGAAATAATTATATTCGGGAACCAAATTAACTACAATCGAATTGATAGGCATCGGCAAGGAGAGAACAAAAAATATACACGTAGTCACGAGAATAGCTATGGTTGTCTGGCGCTCTCGTTTTTCCTGGTTTCTATCGCTTCTACTTTCCTGTAAGCTCTTTCTGGTTTTAAAACTTCTTTTTAGCGCCACACACAATACAACATTAAAGACAAATAATCCTATTATTGGAATATACACAAAGATTATTTTTGCTGCCATGCTGAACCGATTGATAACAACCGGATCAAAGTCGGTTCTTATCATTCCATATTTCACGATACCATCTTCTCCAATAGTTTCTGACAAGTAAAAAGACAAAGCTAAATAGACGTGGAAAGTCATTGATACGATTATCAAACATATCATACAAATTATAGGTGATTTGACCAATCTTGTTTTCGCTAGTTTCATTGGAAAGAGTATCGCCATCATCCTTTCAAATGCTACCAGCATGACCAAGCAATATACAGTTCTTGTCAACGCGGCACCAAAATAGTTACTCAGATAAATAACACTAAGCAGGTAGAATTTAGTTTTTGTATATGCATATTCACCATAAATTAAGGGCGGAATGCGCCTTATCGAAGTAACGATGAAGTAAGTTATTTGAAGTAAACTTATACCAACCAAATACAAACTAGTGGCACTTTTCCTCATTTCTCTGTCCAAAAAGACAACAATATTGAGAATATTAGTTACCAATCCAATACAGCACACTGGCAACCAAATATTTTGCGTAATCTGAATAGCCTGGTCGTAAATTTCCTTCGATATGAATCCACCAATTGCAGGCATCTTCGAGGTAGTGTTCACAACCGAATCGTTTGTTCTGTTGTGAAATTCCTCGTTTCCCATAGCAGAAATAATTTCTTCCGTCTCCAAATTTTCCCAGTTCATTGTCGCATTACCATTTGTTATCTGCTGTCCTGAATCAGTTACAGGATCTGTTATGTTCATTACTCCACCATCTAAATCTGTTGCATCCAGAATTTCGGATGTTTCTTGCGCTGCTACCATATAGATTGGTATCAAGAGTAAAAGAAACATAATTGAATTCTGTTCAGAAGAGAAATCCATTTTTCTCGAAGGATAAAAAGACACTAAACTCTTTGATCTTATTTCCATAGAGCTTTATAGCTGTCCAGTAAAATTATAATTAATATTCCACACAATCAAAGGTGATATCCGAGCTTTATAACACAGACGTAGATAATTATTGATTCCCTTAACACAGACTTCCAAGGGATTATCAAAGGTTGGCGAAAACTTGCATGGACGTTTTCCCGAAGATCATTTAATCCACATTAAGACCCCAGTCGACTGAAAATGTCAAATTAAAGTTTGATCAAGCTCCTGTAATTTGTAGATGGAAATCAGAAGTTTGAAAGGAAAAAAAAAACATGACGCATTCAAACTTAAGGGATTACGCATTAGCATTATATAATGTACTGTATATTTATATGGAATTTATATTATTGTCTGAACGCAGCCGTTCAGTTGTAAAGTCCCATTGACACTTGAACGTTTTCTGTGTGCACAATGGCACGCACTTCGACGTACCAGTGATTAACTAGCCCGAAGAGTGTGAGGGCTGTGCGCAATGTCGTAGAAAGATTTTTTAAATTGGGCAAAAAGATTTTATACTGTGCGAGTGAACAAAGCGTGAACTATGCGCAAACAAATAGTGCTATTGAATGTCAATGTGTGCCAATGTGAGCAATATTTTGTTTTGGTCGTGCATTGCTTATACGGTGCGTTATTTATGGGTATTACTTTTGCCAAGGACCAAAATGACACGCCTTGTCACGAACTCTGCGCAGCATTGCGGGGACGAAATTCGTGCAAGTGTCAGTGTGGCCTTACAGAATCCCATGGATCAGGAAAGGTCTAATTGTAGTAACAGTAGCCTACCAAATGTTTGCGCCATGCTTAAAAACACCAAAAAACACCATTATTTGAAAGTTGGTTTTCCCTTCAGGAACTTGTATTTAAGAGTATTTTTTTGGAGATTAATACAAAACAAGTAAATTTCCGATATTTTATTTACTTTCCTTTAACATTCATTTCGTCTTACGATCATTAAAGGAAGTTTCTAACTAAGAAATAAAATAACAATTGTACTCGTGAACTTCTCATTCAACCACTCTTTTAATATTCTATTGTCTCCATTCTTTAAAACAGAATATTTTGAAGCAATGACAGGATATAAAGTTTCGAATTGTCCTATCGATCAGAGAAGTAGCTAATAGATTAGGTCTTTATGTTCTTTATGTTCTTTATGCTTGAAAAATTATCATATCGAAGCGGTTGTTTTTGTTTTGCTTCGATGTGCTTAATGGAAGTTCGTTAAAATCCTCAAGAACTCTGAAATTCTCTTAGATATCCCATATAACCAGTACATTCATACGGAAAAATACTTAAAAGTTCTACAAGATTGTCGACGTCACAAGAAATTAATGGAGGTAAAAGGAATTGAATATACGAGAAAGTTTTGAAATATATTGTTTTCTTCAAAACTGCGTGATTAATTCTTTTCAGTCAAATTGTTAATGAAAATATTTTAATTATGTGACCCAGGAAATTATTAAACCCAAGTGATTTCTGCACCTACAGAACAGCTGAAAACTCTATCTATTTTCTTTTTTTTAGTTTTTGCTGGTCATATGTCTGATATTCATCATGAAAATAAAGCCAAACTTTTGGGTGGGCGTCTTTATGCCCTTAACTCGTTTGTAATAGTTGACGAAAAGATTTAGGGGTCATACCATAGCAGAGAGTTTTGTCTGGGTATAATGTCCTCTGTTGCTAGGAACAGTTAACACAGACAAACCTCTATTTTAGGGATTTATCTGCAAGATGCAATCTTTTTCCTACAACCAAGCTTTTTAGAGGGTTTCACCGTCTGTTGGTCGTATACGGTACGTGTGTTCCGTTAAAAAAAATCGGTAAATGTGCGGCGGCCTTTAGTTTTTTTTAGCTAAGCTAATCAGTAATAGACTCCATGTGTGTCCAGCATTATGTTTGAAAGGTAATATGACGACTTTCCGCCATATATGATTGATTAATTTTACGTTTTTTATATCAACATGTTTATAAATCTGGAAATTACATCGACCTACTATGGAACTTCCATAAACTGGAAATGGTATCACAATGGACCAAACTGTAAAATATATAGGAACCTAGATTATTGAGTTCGTTGAAATTCCAGAGTCCATTGCAGGAAATAAGGGCACTTTCTGTCCAGGTCACGACACTGGCTCTTTTAGGTAGGATTATTTACCAAACAACTTACATATTAGTCTACGGATTGGGCCACTGAGGAAAGAATGCCTGTAAAAAAATTTGCTCAAGGCCCAGGATCGGAGATTATGTTTTCGTGAAGTTTATAAGGATAATTTTTTTCAAAAAAATCAAAAATGATTTCTGTGCGAATTTATTCCACAGCCAAGAGGGTATGTTTATTCAACCAGTAGCATACATTGTGATTGGCTCCATGGTATGGAGGTCAATTTGCGCCATTAATCCATTCTCTACCGATTTGTCAAATTCACTGATTCAAAGACAAATGTAAAATATCTTATTACCTATTACTTATAATTCAAACAACATAATGATTGAAATGCTAAAATCAAATGTTTATATTCACATGTAACTTAACTAAAGTCCTTTCAAATAGTTTATTTAGCATCATCCAAAAATCTTTAATGATAAACCACCGTCCTTTTTGATAAATATCAGGAGTATATTTTAAACTGTAAAGTGTCATTTCTAAATTGGAAAATGTTTGTAGTAAAATGATAAGTGCAATCGTTTCTACGGTTATGCGTCAAGACTCTTTCAATTTCATTCATCTTTTTAATGGCTATCATTATATATATATATATATCTTAGTGGAGAGTTTCTAACAAGTGGATGGCAGCATCTCTATTACATACAACAGGGACGAGTGGTTAATTGCCTTTCAATAAGACACGAAAGGAAATTCATAAACCAAACACGGTTCTAAAGTCGAAACAATTAAAAAATCTGTTAAATATAAAAAGCTATGACGTATAATCTTTTGTCCTTGTCTCAAACTGTAGAAAAATAGATTCTCTAAAATTTTAATAGGCTATTTTTCCGTAGAAGAGGGATCAATACTAATATGAATAAGATGCTTATACCAACAAAAGTACAGTAGGACCTAGATATAAATCTAATAAAACAATAGGCTTGGTGACGAAAAATAGGACCCATTTTTTTTGTTTGTTAGGCCTAATTAAAAAAACAAAACAATAAAACATAATCAATTGAGGCTCATTAAACGAAATCGTCCTTTCTCCTGACTTTCATGGAAAATATATATTTAAAATAAAGAGTAAAAAGCTAGTTATTTCTGCACGAAATTTCTGCTTTTAATAGGCAGACACACTCCCCCTTCAAGGATTTTTTTTAACCCGCTCGCCTGTCATCTTGCTTGTTCTGAACACATGGAAGCAGTTGTAGTAGAAAAATTTGACTAGGGTATGATTGTTTAAGTGAAATAGAGGAACATTCTTTTCTGTGGATCCACTAGCCTAATTAGGCTACTATAAATCATGCAAAATTTGTTGCATGCAATGCGTACATTTTTTAATCCAGTTGTTAACAACTCACAGCCAAAAGCTTGCACTTAGTCATTAAAAAAAAAACAATTTACGTTACATCTTCCGTCGATATTTTGTCCTCAAAGCCTGTATTCAGTCAGTTTTTTTTACCCCTTTTCTCATATTCGATTATTTTGCGTGATTAGTCATACCTCGTAATTTCTCGGTCATATTTCGTTGTTAAAATCTAACTTGGCTAGTAAATTTGAAATATATCTTACTCCAACTTGACTAATGTCATAGAGGTTAAACAAACTGGATGTTATAAGTAGTATTGTTTAGACAGGTATGGGCTGTTTAGAGTATTCTTAAGTAGCTACCCAATTCATTTTTTTATATGGTCCGCGATAGGCTCTCTTTATGGACCGTGTTGTGTGTAAATTAGTAAAAGCCAGTGTGATCAAGGGAGGTAAAACCGTCTGCTAAAATAAGTAGGTCAAATTCTCTTACAACTTTATAAAACATAGGTTTGTCCTGTATAGTGACTTACTTTTCTATCAATCTTACCAAAGACAACTATTAATGTGTTATTTCCAACAGCAATTAGTCATCCGAGTTTTCGTTTAATCCTCTAGCGAGTTTTCTTTTATGGAATAGCTTAATTTCAGAGTACAATAGTAACCAATTTCTTATACGATTACATTTCATTTGTATAATAATATCATCATGTCTCACTCACTTCTCTCAATAATCGCAATCTCTGGGGGTAGTGTGTTTTATTTTGAATGTAAAATCATCAAACCTTATAAGCTTAGGTCTAGTCATAATTATATTTACCTATGGACCCAAGGACATCCCAAGACAAGTTCTGAGTATTTGTGAAGTGAAAGATAAAATTCTGAGCTCTCTCTGCTGATTGGAGAGAAGATTCTAGGAGGATATATGACTTATCTGTTTAGTAGCCTACCATTAATCTAATTACTTATTGAAAAATGACTTTCAAGTTTTTCAGCTACGGCAAATCTCTATTTATGCTCTTTCTCAATAAGCGAATTAGACATTTTTTGGAAAAAAGGATCTACTTTCTTGATTTACAAAACAAGCTGTAGCCAGTGTAGGTTAATAGGCCTAATATCATAAATTAACCCCCTCTTTTAACTTTAGAAATAATGTAAGGGATAGCTATAAACTATCTGAAATAAAAAAACATGCACAAACGTAGCCTATAGTTGTTATAAGCTAATAGTTGTTTTTCCCTAATTATTGGCAGTTAATGATTATTACGGTATTAATATTATGAGCTTACAATAATTAATTTGTTTGAGTAAGCCTCATAATCTGGAAGATCAGGACTTAGTTACCAAAGTCTTCTGATAAAAAGGATAAAAAGTACAACATAATGACATATTATAAGCTTACCCATGTAATGTGCCTAAATTGGCTAAATAAGTAGTGGAACAGATGTCTTTGAAGGCTATTAGACCTGAATTACAGGAATATCTGATAAACATTTAAGTGAATTTTCAAATGTTATCATTTGCCAGTCCATGGAAGTTAATTTAAGTAAATAAAATTGATTTATACATAAAATTTCAAAATTATAATATTGTCATTGATTGATATGTTCATTTACCTATAAAAAATAATTGACAAAATGTACATTGTATTCATATCATATCACTAAATATATAAAAATTTGTGTAAATGGCAATATGTATAAAGAATTTTCGGCATATTTTCCATAAGACAGTAATGATTCTACATTTAAAATTCACAGATTAAATTTCCTTGTTTGTTTTCAGATAGATGATATGATTGAGTTGTGATGCAAATGTTAAGTATATCGTAGCTACATTATAGCTAAACTTAGAACTGTTTCTGATCCATTCAATGGAAAGGGGAAATCTATTCCGCAGTAAGAATAATCATGTTGAACACTACCATAAAGAAGAACACCATGTTAATGAAAAGGTAATGAGGTGTAACAGTGTAATTTCTATGATTTCCATAGCAACGGTATATGGATTTAAATGCATCATAATCACTGAAATAAGTGTATACCAGAAGTTCCAAAAGTGATGATTGTTATATTCGGGGTAGTGAGCTAACTTATGGTTTTGAGGAATTTATGTCTTTATTACATATTTCTTTCTAGGTACCTAATCACAATAAGATCTTGACATCTCTAATTTCTGGTGCTGTTGCAGGGGCTGTTGCCAAAACAACTATAGCTCCTCTTGATAGAGCCAAGATCAATTTTCAAAGTAAGTACATTACTATCTACTTGAAGTGGCATTGCCCTTTATCAAATTGACTTCTTATGAGTCTATGATGAGATATGAAATTATCATGAACAACTGATATTGCCTTTTAATTCATTGATAATATTGCAGTGCTTATTTTATTATCCATAGTGTTTGAATTCATTTTCTAAAAATGTTAAGATATTTTCATCCATCTTATACAAAAAATTGACTATTAGAGTCATATGAAGACATTATTTTGCCCTTTGCGTTATGATAAATGATAACATTTACATGTGACAAAATTCAATTAGGAAATTTTGACATATTTATTCTTGTTGGTCTTTTACCAACCAAGATGTAAAAAGTCTCTTCTCATTTCAGTCAAAGATACACCATATACTTTTAAAGGCCTGATCAATTTTCTAAAAGATACTGTTATAAGAGAAAAATGGCATACATTATGGAGGGGGAATTCAGCCACTATGGCTAGAATTGTGCCTTATGCAGCTGTACAATATGCATCACATGAACAGTTTAAAAATATACTAAATAAAGAAAATAAAAAGTAAGTCGTGATCAGAAAAGACATGAAGGTTACTCAGCTTATCTTCTGTGATATACTTTTGTTCAGGTTATCTCTCAATAACAAGTTTTTTCTTGTACCTGATTCATTTATGATATGAGGGCTGGCGGAAAAGTTCAAAGTCTAACTTTGAAAGACTAGTAGCATTAACATGCTTTTGCCATCGGTGCTTTAAGGAGGATCTTTGTAGTATATTTGTGCCTCAATATGATTGAGCCCATCAATTTAAATTCTTTTTTTTTTTTTTAACAATGTTTAGTTTTGACATTGATATAAGTTTAATTGACATTTTGTTTCTTTATCTGACATATTGACACATGTTTTATAAGTAAAGTATTGATTTGACACATATCAAAACATGTTGTATATACTTATGATTGAGAAAAGTTATGACATCTGTCTCTTAAAAATTGCCCTTGAAATGTTTGTTGTATATAATTTAATTTGATGCTAGCAAGTATATAATATTTTGAATACTACTTTTCTGACAAATATTTCTCTTATTGCACACTGCATAGAGCATGACATTTTAAGCCTTATAAGTTTTATTTTGTTTTTTTAACAATTCAAAACCAAATGTAAGTCACAAAAGTACATCATCATATCAAGAATACGGGTTTTGACATGGTCTCATTAATCCGTATTAAACTTAGCCCACTACACTTCGTTTTTTGGGCGTGGAAATGAGATTGGCTATTTTAATCTGACCAATCAGATCAGCAGTACCGAAATGCTGTCTGAAAATAAAACACATGACTGATTTCTGCCACTTGTTATTTTCCTCACAAGTATTACCGCTGCCCAAGTATGACCAATAGGGGTGTGGTTTAGACACGATGATAAATACATGTAATCGCAATGACCAAATTTTTATAAGCCACTTTTAAACTTATCCAGCATTGAAAAAATCATAAATTTGGCCCTTGCCATGCTGCTTTTATTTTCATGATACTGGGAACCAAATGTTGTGGTGTATTTTAGCATAATTCTGTGGTTTTATTTGAGAAAAAAACACTTCAAATAGTAAAAGATATTGACATCTTATGTCTTTATTTTCAGACATCTACCTCCATTTAGAAGAGTATTGGCAGGATCTCTGGCAGGAATCACATCAGTAACTTTAACATATCCTCTAGATTTAGTACGAGCTAGAATGGCTGTTACAGCTAAAGATAGGTATGTTAGGTTATTTTCATTTAGATTTTATATTAGGCAAATTTAAAATGTCTGATTAGCAAAAACACTGTAACAACAGCCCTAATATTAGCAAACTTAACTTATAGAAACCTCTAGACATTGGCTTTCCAAGCTGATAAGCTTAATTCAATGATAGATACACCCCAAATTATGTCTATTCCAAGCGAGTTTGACTTTTATCTTCTAAGCTACATGTACATGCACTCTATGCATAATTCAAGACAATACCTTTTGGATATTTTAACCCTTTTTTTCCCACTTTATTGATTCTGGTCAGAGGGCTAATTTTGGAACAAGCATCTAGTCCTTCTGATAGACGAATAATGTGAGGCCATGTTTGTTATTGGTTCTTGATGTCAAATAAAACTTTGACAGTAGGGGATCGAAAAGTGTTGACTACTGCTGTTGTCCATACTTTAATATTTACTCCAGAAGAGCGAGCATGTCCTTAAACACCAAAAACTGTAATTATAATGTTGCTTTAGAGTTTTCAATATTTCTTTGTAGATATCATCATATATCTGAAGTTGTATTTAAAATCTGGAAAGAAGAAGGTATTCTTATATTATATCGAGGTTTTACACCAACTATATTAGGTGTTATACCTTACTCAGGAATTAGTTTCTTTACCTATGAAACTTGTAAAAAGAAACATGCAGGTATTTTTCATTTTTATATGTTACATTAAGAAAAACAATTTATTTTCACTCATCAGATGGTTTCAATATACCAATTCTAGACTTATAGAAATATTGAAATAGAACCTAAAAGTGTTGAGCAGCCTGTGTCCCTATTGAAGTTTGACAGGTATGGAGAATATTCAGTGTTTTCCAGTATTGAATCTTGCTTTAGCATCCTTTGAGCAAGTTATTTTGATTTTAAGTAGCTTAACTAGCTTAGACTTTATATTATTGGGATTTCAACCATGAATCAATTTGAGAGTATTTCTGATAATATGTGGCCCTACCTCACAATACAGATATTGGAGTTAATCAGGTAATAGAAAAAACAAGGTGGAAAACCTCTGATAAACCAGAGACTCTGTCTCTGATTGTGCAGAATTGTTTTTATTGAATGATTGTATCCACAGAAAATAAGTAAAACCAATTATCAAGCTTGATTTCAATGAGAATGAATATTTGATTTGTTTTGATATTTTAGATTGGACCAAAGGGTCTGATTTGCCTCCATATTGGAGATTATTATTCGGTGCTTTAGCTGGACTATTTGGTCAATCAGCATCTTATCCATTAGATATTGTACGTAGAAGAATGCAGACTGCTGGTGAGTTAATTGATATTAGGTCATTAGGTGCTTGGGTAGAAGGGAGGGAATAGAATCCAAGGCCTTGTGCATGTAAAAGATCTCTTAAATTACCTTACCTGTTAAAAAAAGAAAACTCAAATTAGAACTGAAAATGAAATTTACTTGACATTTTCTAATTGGATGTCAATTGAATGAAAGTGGGTATCAAACATAAGATGATAAGGGATGGGTATTTTGGATAAATACAAAAACAAGCAAATGTTTTGACATTCAGATTTTGTCAAATATTACCTAAATTATCAAGTACCTATATTTTATTACTAATTTTTTTTAGGTGTTACAGGTCATAGTCATGATTATACTGGTATCTTATCTACTCTCAAAAATGTGATACATGAAGAAGGTTTTCGGCAGGGATTGTATAAAGGGTTAAGTTTAAATTGGATTAAAGGACCAATAGCTGTTGGTGTCAGCTTTACAACATTTGATATTACTAACCATTGGATAAGGAAATGGCCTGTCTTACAATATGATGATAAAACATAACATCCTGCTTATTTTTAGATTTTTTATCAAATATTCAGGGTAAGGTTGGATGAAAGAATTAAGGGAAAGTGTGTGTCAGTTTAAAAAAAAAAGACTAAGTTCTGTCTCCCAGTGTATACTCTTGAAATAGGCATATACAACCACTTTAAGATAGTAAATTGCAATTTGAATATTTGTTATGAGACAGAAAATGTTTAATTTTGAAATTACATGTCATTAAGTAGTTGTCTTTTCTTATTTAAAATTTTTGATTAGAACTAATCTACAATGCCTCTTAGTATGCAGACATATATATTCCTGCTATGCCAAATGAATAAATTATTAACTGGGTTCATAATGTCACAAAATTCCATTGATCGAGATTTCTGTAAACTAGAGAATTATATCTTTTTCATTGGTGATAATATGCATGGGCATAATTTATTATATGTTTTGCATTAATGCTCTAGCACTAAGGTCAAATTCTATTGTTCTATACATAAATTAACATTTCTAATTTTCTTTAACTTGTGTTTTGTTAATCATTACTTTGTGACCTTGGCCAGTGCTTTTATGAGACTAAATGCACATTACTATCTAACACTAGTATTGCATTGTAATACATGTATTAGATTTGCTGTTTGTTATTGTTGTTGTTTACAGATAGTTGCAGTATTATTTGCTTTACCAACTGATTTAATTTAAGCTATGCATGTCACTTTTCATTAGTGAAATCCAACATATTAGGTCTACCAATTAATGCTAATTTGAAAGATTATCATTAGCTCAAGCGAGTAAAAATTTCTGTATGACTGAATGTCTTAACATTCTTCTATGATATTTTTTTATTTTACTGTATGCAAATTAACACTAGTATTCATTAAGCGTTTTTTTTTTTCAATTTAAAGGAGAATTTTAGACACCAATATTCTTTGAACATAGGTGTCATGAAATCAAAAATAGATACCTTACAGACTTGAATTGTGTTCCCCTATTTGCCCAAGTGAATAAGCTATGCAATTCGGCTAAAAAACAGAATCTTCCCTGTGATTGAACAGTTTTTAAAATACTTTTATGTTGTTGTCAGGGAAACTAATGGTGTAATGCGATTGGTTTATCAAAATACTTTTAAACTATTCACAATATTTGATCAAATGAAGACAAGACAGGTAAAATAGTCATTGTAATCATATTTTCAATGCTGAATAGTAAAATACTCTTATTGTTGTTACTTAAGAGATGGATGAAAATTTAATATTGAGTTGTGAGATAGAATATTTGAAATAATAGGGTCTGTTTTGTCTTTTTGTTTTATACTTACCTCAACTGTTGAAATCCTAAATAAGTCAATTGTTTCTCCGTCGTGAAATGGCACTTTAGTCATTAAGTAATATCAGGTAACTTATTAGTTGTAGGTATGTTTAGTTAATTCATCGTCCCACTTATTCTTCCATTCACACTTTAAATCCAAAATGGAGTCTTTTCATGAGATTGCATCGGTGGAATTAACAAAATATAATTAAGCATTTAAAATAATATGAAAGAGGCTCACTTCATGTCTAAGTTAAGCTTACCTTATTTATATACCCCACAATTTGAATTGAAAGTGATTTTTTTAAATCTGCATGTTTTTTTCTAAGATGTTTTTATGTGTTCATAAAGAGAAGGTCTCTGGAAGCAAGTTCTTTTCTTTGGTTATCAATTTCATTTTCGTTGACAAATATGGCTGAATTTATTCAGAATTTCACAAGATCTGCAATTGACCATGATTGTGTTTTTCTTGAATTGCAGAAAAAAATTGTGGAATTGATGTAAGATTTTTATTCTGAAAAGAGTTAAACAACAATTACTATTTATGTATTGATTAATTGATTTCAGTATGTGTTTAAATTATATAGAGGTTTAAGTGTGAACATGTTTATGAAATGTGTTATGAAAGTTATTGTAAATATGACGTATATGTTTTCTAATTGTGTGCTATATTCCCATAAGTTTTTGCCATTTCTTGCGTCTATCCATCATTTCTTGTTACTTTAACAGTTTTAATGCAGTTTTCATCTGATTTACGTGAAACTGGAAGATAATTTTGCAATAGAAGTGACAACAATCTTTAGTTATCTTTGTCCCAAACATTTGTCCCACGCAGATATGACCATGATTTGCTATCTGCTTTAATAATAGTTAATTCTAGGATTGTACCTTCCTTCTTTGCTACGATATTTAATTGAAGATTAACCAAAGATCAGTCTAATATAAGTTTATGCGCATATTTGTACTAATCTATGAAATTTTTCTTTGAATGATTCCAAATTATAAGATTGTATTCAAATTTGATGCATGACTTCTTTGAATAATTTATGAATAAAAACCAAATGATATAATATTTTTGTATTTTCATTAAATTATATTTTTAGGCCATTATGAATCAAAATAAATTGAAATAAACTCATATGTTATGATTGATTAAACAACATAAGAACCTAACCCACTTTTTCATCCAATCAGCATCGGCTAAATTTATAGCTAGTGGGTCACTGAATGGTTACTATTTCACAACTAGCACCAGGTTCTTAGAAGTTAAGATCATAACCACCAAAATTGTACTGAATAATGATCTATCTATATCTATGGGAATATAAATGTTTGATTTGACAATTTGCTAGATTATGTTATGTTAATTTTTGTTTGCATTGACTGTGATTATTTATATTAAAAAAAATTATTAGATTATTTATGAATTGTTATTTATTCATGCTGGAAGTCCATTATTCATCATGAACCTGCAAAATCACAAATTTGGTTAGCCATGATACTCACAGTCCTTCTTTCATCTGTAACCTGTAACTATGTTACAACCACAGGCCTACCCATATTTACAGTTACAGCAAACTTAGCCATGCAGAGAGTGGAATATGCCCCATCTTCTTAAGTACACCATATTGGAAATCAGTGTAAACATTAAGTACTTCATGAATGTAATTTTATTGACTTTTCTTATATTCAATTTGACAAAATCAATTTTATGAGGAGAAAAATATGTGTTGTGAAAAATATCCACAAAAAATAAATCTATCATTATAGTGTCAATGTCATTATATATTATAATGAAAATATGATATGACTTTAGTATTGTTATACTGCCACTAAATCGATCAGCAATTAAACTTTAATCATGCAGACATTTGACAATATTTTCAATCAAACATTCAAATTTATTATAAGTAAATATGGTTTAGAAGTTTTAATGAGGCAATATTGAACAACATTTTAATATTACGCTGAAACATGAAATCGGTGGAAATATGAATGAAATATATTTTTGAAAGTAATTCAAGAACGAAGAATATAAGAAATTTTCAGTGAAATATCTGGAAGGGGCAAGGTACCCTGGAAAAAAAATTTATTACCTTCCTGAAAGAAAATTCTGAAAACCGACTAATTCCATTTCTGCAACTAAACACCATTGCCCCTCCAGATAATCAAAATTGGCTACGGACCTGTCAGATCATCGTCATGATTAATTTTAAGCTAATCATGGAAATATCCGACTTTGTGAATAAACCGTGACGTGGAGAGGATTTTAAAAGATAACGATAGGAAGGAGAGCCAGGAGGTGTAGGCCTCGAGAGACACGAAGTCGAGCCGATTGGTAGGTAGAGAGGGCAGAAGTAGGGGTGATCAATTACATTGAGAGATACTTGTTGTACCTCCGTGCATTACTACGAATTACAATACTCCGAAGACTTATTTTGGGCCGCTTCTCTTCTCTATTCTTACTACCATGATATCAAATAAAAAATTTCCGTGCCGGAAGATACACAAAATTTGAAAAAAAATGTTCATAAGTATCCACAGTGGTCAAATATAGTTGCAGAGAATTCCCTCCCTTGAAATAAAACGTATATAAAACGTTACAATTCGCATTTCATAAAACTCTGTAAAAATATTCAAAATGTTTCGGTATTAGACTCTATAACGATTCTCTCATTTGCATTTAATGACAATGTTTACTTTTCGTAAAACACAACGGTATTATAATATAAAGGATTATATAAATCGAAAAAAATATAAATTGGTAGCCAATTTTTTTAACACATGGCTTCATGTAAAATCAATGCGTTTAATTTTACACCTTCAAGCGGAAGAGTTTCGCCTCATGAAATCAATTCTGTTCTTTATGTAAAAGACCAATCTATAATACTTTTGTGACTATCTGGGTTAATTCCGCTTGATATTTATTTTTCTTAAGAGCTTAAAAATCATGTTAACTTATTTCATTGGCTCGATATGCTTTAAAATTGATAACATTTTCGATGTTATTGTTGTAAATGTAAAAAGTTTTTTCCTCTCAGTTGCAAGTGTTTTTTTAATAATAAATCTAATGTTCGATATGTATCATAAATATTAGAGTATTGTAGTCGATTATGACAGTGTGTATAGATGTTATTGTGATATAAACGCAACACGAGTTTGCATAAGTCGAATGAAAAAAGAATAATAATAGCTATAGTGTAAATATTCTTAAATGTCAGGTCAAAAATCGAATAATGCATCGTCGCCTGTCTACACAACAACTCGAAACAATGTAGACCACCTATTCAAATATATGCCCTAAATTAAAATTTTTGTTGTAGGTTCAAAATGTGCAAGATTTGATTTTTTTTTTACCAAGAGGTACCCATGTTCCTGAAACCATCGCTGTTTCGTTTCTGTTTTCTTTCTTTATGAGTGTTTAACGTTCCAACTTGAACAGGCTACTTCTGTAAAAATGAACACTATAAGTAGATTGTTTTACAAGGCTGGTAGAACTCATGGTATCGTCTCTCGATTTATTCGTCATGGTCCTAAACTTAAGTTGCAGCTGACACCAGTTTCTTGTGTTCTCCTTATTATTAAATCAGTCGGAATCTCCGTCAACGGGTTGTTTGTAGTCGGTTAATTTTTCCATAGCAAATCGGCCTTGGCATCTCTGATTATGCTTGGCATCGACAGGCAATGTAAATTGTTTAAAGGGACAGATGCGCCCCTTTTGGGGGAGTTGATTTGAGTGTTGAATATATGTAGTCTTCTAACGTACCAGAAATGTAAGAAAATCGCATAATTCTTTTAAAACTACTTCAAACTATAAATTTTACTCAGTATTTCTATATAGTCTTTCCTTTCCTATATATCACGGAGTATTTTAAAATGATGAGTCGTCATTTTAACATTCAAACGTGGATAATTCTTGAAACATAATTTGAGCCTTCAAATCCTTAGTATGGATTTGAAGGCTCAAATTTCGACGGTGAGCTGTGAACACTTTTACTGATTGGCTTAGCTACAAAATTCCCGTTTCTGAGACTAAGGTTCGATTGGTTAACAAATGGCACATCTGTCCCTTTAAAACCTGTTACCCGTATATCACTTGTCAAAGTATACGTCAAATTCGAAAATGTCATGAAAGTGAAGTAAAACCCGCCTTTTCTGAATTTGACCTATCAGAATAAATATATAATCATTTATCACGAATTATTTCTATATTTCATTTTGTAACACCTGAAATTACTTCGATTGGATGGATTTGAAATAAAACTAGTGCGACGCAGTCAGCTTCGAATTCTTTTGGTGTTTGTTGACTGACGAATTATCATGAATATCGCAGTGTGTCTGTCAGTTGTACTCTGTCTATTACATTCAGGTAGGTCTTTAAATAATTATTTTTGAAGGAAGAAAGAAAGAACTAGTTAGCTGGCGCTCCACACCGAAGACTTTTATTATCGTCTGCTTGTAGATTAACTCCAAAATAAATAAATATATGTGTTGGAGAAGGGAGGATTTGATCATGTTAAGAACAGATGAAGGTACAAATTTTACTTAACTAATAACCTTATATATATAAGACAGAAGAAGACTATTAACAAGTGATCACTATGTTGTTCAAGAGATTAAATTGGCCAGAGAACTGAACCTGAGTGAAATTATAATGAAATGTAATTAACACGGAATTGAATTGAACAATATTTTAGTGAATATAATTAAACATGAATTCAACTGAATGTAATTTTATATTATCATTTTTACAATTGTGAAATGTTTTCACAGTTAAAATAGTGCAAAACAGATCAATTGTATATACTAAAATAGAACCTAAAAAAACATTTTGATACTCAGAGTTTGGCGCATGCCACGCGATCTCCAGACAACTGAATTAGATCAGTTTTAATATCATATTATACGTTTTTGCCTCAAAATATGTGCCGGGGTGCACCAAATCAATTGTATTTTTCAAATCTTTCTTTCTTTCTTAGACGCTCCATGGTAGGTTTTCACTTTTGGTATTTCCATAGAGCATCTGCATATGAATATCAACTTTGACAGTTGTTATCCCCTAATTAAGTCAGTCTACCCTTTTTGTACCCCCAGTCTTGAGAGAGTGGCGCCGCCGCCACTGCTCTGTAATAACTGGCCAGCATTTGTCTAAACATTAGCTTAGCAATTCTTCCACCAACAATTTGGAACCAAGAATGCTGGAGAAATGTTGGGAAAATGTTATTAGTGTCAACACACCTGGCAGCAATGGTGTTTTGAAACGGTAAAGTAGTAGGAAAAAGTATGTTAAAAACCAGAATGAGAAAAAAAAAATTCATTTGAAAATTATAACTTCAGGACAAGCTTTGGATCCAGCTCCAGTCTGTCCACAAGTGAAATGTAGTACAATATGTAAAGAATATGTTTATGAAGATGGTTGTCAAACTTGTACTTGTAAAGGTAGTACGATCGGTTCTATGGAGGTCAATCGTATTCAGAATTAGATGCTATGTACTTATGTCTAATACATACGACACGATACATTTGTGCAATGTTCAAAGCCAAAATACCTCTTTTACTTATGTCATAATACATCTAATTCATAATGCAAATGTTAAATTACATAAAACCACCGACACAATACCTAAAATGATAGGTGCAATGTCCTTTCACTTTCGACATTGAACAAAGCATAATTGTCTTTGCGTCTTTTGCATTGCACTAGTTACATTACACCTTCGTCTTAGTATCTGCTACATTGCATTAGCGAACGTGTTTTATCTCGACTGCATTATCTCTTTGTGACTTTTGGCCGGAGCCTATCAGCAATATTAAATCATACACAATAACTTCTCCCAAAGGAACTGATGTATGTATTAGACATAAGTACATAGCATCTAATTCTGAATACGATTGACCTCCAAACGGTTCATGGTATTTTTGTTTTTTTTTCTCTCGGTGGAGGCTGGGTTGAATACATGGATTATGCCATCTTCACAATGTAAAGCTATTACGAACTTCGTTGTATATACCTTGTGCAATAGCCCACTATCTTGTATCTCTGTTATTTTTAACAAATCAAGACATGCCATATAGAACACGCAATCCAAAGAGGTCGTTACTCTACTTCGGGAATTGTTATCCCACAGTTCATTACATTATCAAGAGACACGCTTCGATTGGTTAGGAATAACATAATTAGAATTGGGCTTTGGTAGACAACTTCATAGATTACAATGGGTACGAAAATATCAGAAGACAAAAAAGAAACGAAATTGTAAATCTGTAATAATCATTAATAATGGATTGTTTCGTGAAGGGGGGTTCTTCCTCATTGAAATTATATTTTAAAATAGTTCCAGCCTGTGAACCAGTATTATGTAAAATGTATTGCGCCAATGGCTGGGCTTTAAATGAAGATGGCTGTGAAATCTGTAAATGCAAGCGTAAGTTTTATTCTGTTTGATTTGAGAGCCCGAATGTATTAGTTAAAACATTAAAATTGGATGATATATACATATACTTGTATTTAAAAATATTAAAACAGAACATGAAATATGTCATTACTTAGACTTTTACCCTATGCGATCTTCAGACAACTGACCTTTTTCAGCTTGCGCCAACACTTTTCATGTTTAAACGAAAGCGTATGATTGTAAAATCTTTGTTTAAACGTGCTTCCATTTAGTCCATTGAATTTTGTACTTGCATTTATTCAAAGTGCATTTATGCAAATCGATTAGGAACTATATCGTTATTTAGGGACAAGGGCAATAATTTATCTGAAATGTTTTTATCCAAAAATCTTTATTTGATGTAAATAATTACAAAGAATTAATTACGACTTCAGAACCAGTCTGTCCACAAGTGAAATGTAGTACAATATGTAAAGAATATGTTTATAAAGATGGTTGTCAAACTTGTACTTGTAAAGGTATTGTCAGTTTATTTCATAGTGTTTGAGGTGGATCTTATCAACCAAATAGTCCTTAATCTAGAAAACAATTATATTAGATTTGCATACATGCAAAACCCAAGCAATGTGGACTGAAGGAAGCGAAAATGTGCCAACAGTGCCGAAGAGAATAACTTCTAGCTAACATTCACAGCCACAAAACGTTTTGGAAATTACTCTTTTATCACAGATGTATTCATGTGTCAAGGGAATTTCCATGTATTGGATGAAGGGGTAATCTGGGAATTCTTCTCTATCAGAAAAAAAACAATGGCCCTTCATTGAAATTATGTTTTAAAATAGTTCCAGCCTGTAAACCAGTACTTTGTAGAATGTATTGCCGCCATGGTTGGGCTGTAAATGAAGATGGCTGTGAAATCTGTAAATGCAAGAGTAAGTTTGGTAACATTCTGTCTGTTTTATATCAATGTATACTGTTGATGATTTAATCATTTATAGCATTAACCTTAAAAGATGACATATACATAGGATTATGCAAATCGATATTGGGCTTTAGAAGTTCCATTATTTCGGGACAAGGGCAACAAGTTGTTTGAAAGTTTTTTTTTTTGTTTTTTTTATGATTTTGTCTTTTTTCATTAGAATGTGAACCAGTACTTTGTAAAATGAAATGTCCCTATGGTTGGGCTGTTGGTAAAGATGGTTGTGAAATCTGTAAATGCAAGATGGAATGTAAGTTCTGTAACATTTGGCTATTATCAAAGTAAACTGTAGCAGAGTATAACATTTTGAAATGAATTTTAAAGATTAGCTGTGATAAAACATTTTTTGCCATGCCTATAGACCCACAGCATTCTTAAAGTAGGAAAAGCATCATTGGTAAAGACACTAAGACTTCTTATTGTTCAGAATATTTATTATTTGCAGAATTCATGAGTCCCGCAAAACTTCTTACAGTTCTTAAAATATTCGACAGACTGATAATGAAAATCTTGATGAAGTTTGTATTGGAGTACACATAATTATGCACGCGAGACTTTAAAATCTTGTATGCTTTTCGAGTCATTGGTACAATGATCATTGATAATCTTATATCACTGAATAGAAATGATTTTTGTTACACAGTGCCTTGTGATGGAGCCTCACCATTACAGAATAAAGATGGAAAGAACTTGTATTGTGGTCGGGGAGGAGAGAGGTGTCCTGATAATTCATATTGTGAAATACACCCAACAGATCTTTATGCTGTTTGCTGTTCAAGTGAGTATTGAAGTGTATAGGCCTACGCTCTCTTACAATATTAGACAGACATAACCACTTTCACATCTTGCAAATTGTGACAATGTTACCAAGACAACTATTATGTTTTTTTACCTATTGATATTTCTAATACAGAATGTTCTCCAGTTTTGTGCGATCTGTACTGTAAAAATGGCTTCAAAGTTGATAACAACGGGTGTGAAACATGTTCATGTAAGTAAATTAAAAGTGAAGTATGACAATAACATATTGTGTTAATGGGATTGTAAAGAGGTTTTCTAAATCTATTTCGTGAATCGGGGACACTGACAGCATCAAATTGAACCAATCTAATTTCAATAAGACGTCTGCGGGTCTTGTAAATCTATACTAAAATTAGCCGTTAGACGACTTCACTGTCGCATGCCATCAAAAGCTTGTAGCTTCAGTCAAATTGACACACGCATATCGTGAAGGTCCAGAGATCGCTCTGCTACATACATGTTGTCAACCAGGTTTCCCCCTGTCAGAGTGTTTACAAACTTTATGTCGAGGCCTCTGATTGGCAGTATAATTGCTACCGTACAATCCAATCCAATCGCTGCATTTACAAACTGTGACACAAGAAAGGTGGCTATTGCAGTCAAGGTATTAGACGAAATTAGCAGTATCTTGACATTGTGAAGATGCTGGTAACTTTAGACATTGTTACTCTTACGATGTTTACATAACAATATAAATATTTTTAACTTTTCTAGGAAACGTTAAAATTTACATAAAATATATAATTACAGGTAGACAATGTCCCAAGGGGGTAGAATTAGTCTCATGCTTTACGAATCCATGTAATGGTGCTATTTGTTCCGATCCGTCAGCAAAGACTTGCAAGTAAGTTGAATTTAAACATAAGAATGTGATATCAATCGCTTCTACCATTATATTGTTTTATGGGCGAAATTGGGGGCGAAATTTAGATCATCACTTATGATTATTTGTTTCCTTTTTTCGTTTTGGATATATTTCTGATGTAATTTCAGAGCTAACTATTGTGGCGGTTGTAATGCTGTTTGGTATGATTCTAATAATGAAGTGGTTTCTTGTAACACTAAAGGTTAACATGCAAATTATACCTAATATAGCCTACTTGAAAAATAAATTTTCTTTACGATCAAATTATTTACTTCCTTCTACGTTTCTATTTCTTCTCATATTTTCCTCTGCATTGTAATCTAGTTTTTTACCGCAGTCCCGTGCTAATGACGTTATATCGTATTTGCAAGGACCTCCTAAGCAAAAATTTAGATCACGTGATAGATGTCTTGCCCAAGGTGGCCACATGTGATAATGTGGATAACTGTGACCTCAATGAACTGAACCACATTCTTGCATAAAGATACCTACGTATATTCAGTATTTTATGGAGGGAAAATTATACCCCTTTATTTTATTGTGGTACCGTGTAGAATACAAGGGAATCGGAGACCCTCTGATAAGTTCAACTTGGAACTCGTCTGCACAGAGGTGGTGACAATATATGTGTACATGTCTGCTGATGAGGGGGAAAGGGGCAAACAATTGTATTCATTTGTGCATTCTCATAAGTTTGCAAACCTTTCTTTTGGCTGACCTGAGCTATTGAAAGTCCTTATGAACTGCTGATTTCATTTACAGTAATGACAACTAACGAGTTCCATAATATCTAAGCACAAATGAACAGCGAAATTGTCAAGATTTTTGATTTGCTTCTAATTAAGTCGACTGATCCTAGTTTCTCGTACTCGGTCTTTTATATTGTAGGAGAACCTGTCGTAGAATCGCCATTCTTAAAAGTGATACAGGTAGCTCCAATTGTATTATCATTTATTGAAAAGGACATGAAACAGTGAAACAAGATAAGGTTTTTATAGAATATTTCAAGGTAGATCCTATCTTGCTACAACAACAACTGCGGACTATCTTATCTTTGATCAAATACGTGATAGAAATCGGCCCAAACAGACAACACCGTATTGACAAAATAAATTTAATCACCGGTATAGGAGTAAAACAAAATCATTAATGTTTTAGGAGAAGAAAATTTGTTGTCACGAAATCAAAATAATCAACAGTATCAACAAATCCAACGAAAAAAAATTTAATCCACTCTCTATTGAGCAACGTCTGTAGTAGAAATATATCATACCTTGCCTACCTATGTCAAAATGTATTAATGTTCGTGCGTTATGATCCCAAGAAATGTTTTTAGGGATACCTGTAGTTCATATTTTTACATCATCCCATCATCATCCAGGTGACGTCTGTGGCTCTTGAAATTCCAGAAATAAAGATTTTGACTACCAGGTAATGTCACAAATTCCATTCGATCCAAATAAGTTTTTGAGATAGTAACACAATGTTATCCTGATAAAGCTTTTCCTGGAAGATCCGTCAATGCATTACACCATTAGCCATTTTTGTTGAATCACGGAAGTTTGTCAAAGTTGCGATTTGATTGGATTGTAGCGAATACGGCCAAGAATGTATAGGCCTACTGTACGGCTGTATTCTAGTGTACAACCCAATCTAATCGCTGCATTGACAAATTTCCGTGATACAAGAAAATTGCCGAATGATGATAAGGTATAAGACTAGAAGTGCTTTTTTTACACAAATTACATGCTTCGCATTCACAACGAGTTTTACTCATCAAAACAAACCATGTTGGTCAATTTTGGTCCTTAATCCTGTGAAATATAATGATTACGTCCCTTTCCTTTATGCAGCCTCTGCTTATATACATATTTCATTTACACTTTCATAGTGAATTATTTCCAAAAATAAGTTCATCTGGTATACCTTGGTTAATCCCAAAAGAAACAAATTCATCATTTACATTGACTCGATCTTTAACCTTAAAAAATATGCAAAGTTACTATTAGTTGATAGATTTTTTCACACGATAACTTACCTAAAAAGTGTATAATTCTCGCCGTCTTTTGGGATACTTGAATCCACTTTTCTACTGGGTGTTTCAATAATTAATGGCCGCTAGTAACGATAGTTGTCAAGGTTCTCAAAGAACCAAAAAGCAGACCTCGCGAAGTTGTGTCGGATCTGGAGCATAAAAGCTGAAAGGAACCCGTGTTAAAGGCTACAAGAACCAACCACAATGCATATAACTGTACTCTCCGCATTCATCTGGAGTGACACTAGCTCAATCGCAGAGTGATATTTTTTGGTCTTTACTTTCTGTCTAATAATCCATGATTTTTGGTACTTACCAATCAATTGTGAACTGCTCGTTGTTCTTTGATTAGACATTGAGTCTAAACATCCTCTATGACATGAAAACAAGGTATCTGGTGACATTGGTTTAATTTCATCAGCATCTACCACTTTATTATTTTTCAATATTCCGTACAGCTTTCTGGACAGAACATTTAAGTATTTCACAACGCGTCTGTAGAATGTGTATTTTGATCTGTCAATGGTCGGAATGGAAGCCGAGTCTGGGAGAGTTTGATTATGACCTTGGGGTACATGTAAACATCCTGCTAGACATGATAGAAAACCACCCAGAAATCTTTTATTCTTGCTTCCATGGGATAGATCTGAAAATGTTTAAATTCAAACAGTTGACCTACGAATGAAATGATCATCAGCCAAAATATGTCAAAGAAATAAGTGTGAATACGGTTGTAATAGGGCTCAGGTGCAGACCAAATCTGGATGATTTATAATTTGACATATTGACCATAATTTGTATACCCCTGTGACATTGTAGTTGATTTGAACATGCACAATAACTTTAAAACATGTGGTTTTGGGCACAGGCCTAACTTAACCATCTGACAAAATCTCAATTCCTGTTACTTCTTAATTGGTGGTTAATGCTAAGTGCATCAGTATTTGTGGCATTGATGCTATCCTAAATAACCCTAATTTACGGTCGACCTGATTTTCCTGGAGAAAATTGTGGACATGGACGGTGTGATTAACAAAGTGACTTACCATGAAATGGATGGAAACATTCTATTACGACGAGCAAAAACAAAAGTATTAAGCAACTAGATAATATTCTTACAGCCATAGTCGATATATGAAAGGAATCAACAAGAAGGGAATTTCTTCTGAATGTCCAGCTGGTTATTTTCTCATGAAATATGTCCCGATTTTATCTTAATCATATATGTACTGAATAAAATTAGGATCAACATATTTTAGAGCAGCCCACACTATATTTTGAGAAATGGGCGCACCCAAATAGGCATGCGCCACAGATTAGCAAATTCTGTGGCAGCTTTATCCTCTATCTATATCAAGTTTGAAATATAGAATCTTATCCAAACTTAGCCTGACAAATCTGGCCCTTCCCGTTCCTCGCACGTGATACACGGATGGGTTATCGGCACGTCGAGAGGCAGACATAAATTCCTTCGATCCATTTTTGAATCTCTAGTTGTTGAGAATTTTCACCATGACAAAAACTTCTATACAAAGCTGAACCATTAATAAAATTGGTTCATCAAGGCATTATACCGATATTTTATGATTATCGGAACAATTAGGTTAACGACAATTGATCTTTATTAACTGTGCATCCCAAACAGTCAACTTTGCGGGTGGTCTAGAAACAGAAAACAGGATGAACAGTGTGAAACAGATAAACTTCGAAAGTATCCCTACCGGCTGTTCTTATTACAAACTATATTCGGGTTATTGTATGAATATATACTAATGGGAAATAACTCTTAACATATTACAGACAACCGGACAACAAAAAGCTAACTTTAACAGATAGACAGGGCATGGTATATGGATATTAATGATTGAACAAGAATTCATATAAAATAAAACAGTGATTATGTGTTATGTGAACAACTCAGTTGGTCAGACCCTCACACTCTCGATATAGTCTTCACGTTATCATGAATCTACGTCGCTGAGTCACTGTGCCTCCATACTAGTCTTTACGGAAAATTAAAAAATTATTATTGACCAACAAAAAATTCGTTTTTAATATTTTTGTACATCAGTAACCAGGTGTAGTCATTCATAGCAATATGACCTCTATCTTTGAAATACCCTGAAATTTGGCTAAAATAAGGTAGCCTATTTTTGGCGGTTATCCCCCAAACCTTCCACCACAAATGATAGGCTAACCTACTGAAATGTTTTCATGTCACGGATTACATGTTTTATCATTTAAAGAGACACGTTTTGTAGCCTATACTACACTATACTGTAGCCTACACTAAACTACACTTTAGCCTACACTCCATTTGTATACAAGTTCTCAATCAAAATGGCCACATGCGTAGCCTTCAATCCTGAATACATAGAACAGATATACTAGTTCATTGTTAAAGAGATCATATTGACCCATATATATCTTAGTATTGAATACACTCAGTGTGTATTGCTAGCCTACTGTATAACCCACACTAAGCTAAAATCTCATATCAACAACTAGCAATACAGTATAGTCATTGCCTCGATAGCAATAAGCCGTAGAGGGGGGTTTAGCGAAACAATCTTCAACAACTAGATGTTCACTTGATTCAGGAATGTCGATAAAAGCGGCCATATTGAAAGGGGTGTTGCAGTGTTGAAAATAAGCCAGGAAAATTGAGTATTTATTCATAGTTATGAAGCGACATAAATTTAATTTTGAGAGTTTTCATAGGAAAGAATTTTTTCCAAGCATTTGTAAATTTATATTTGATATAATTTTCATAACTTGACGAAAACACTTCGTTAAAGGCTACTTCACAGCCTGTAAAATTTCGTTTTTATTTTCCAACTTTCAATATGTTGGTCTAGTGTTATTGTATCAGATCATGACAAAAGAGCAAAAAGCAGAAACATTGTGAGGTAAGTAGATTGTAATTAGGAAAAATAACTCTATATATATTTGTCCTCCATTTTCTTTGTCCTTGCTGGCCACGTACTCTGGATTTACGTCATGATCACGTGATATGGTTCTGAATATAATCCCGCCAAATTCGAAGCCCAACTTCCATAATATTGTACGACATTGGGTCGCATATTGCATAAAAAGCATAAATATTATTGTGGTATTTATCTTTGTTAGTTGTTACAAGTTGTTATCTTTAAACTTTCTCTATTTCGTTAACCGTAGGCATTTATTTTATCCGGGGAATTTCGTTTCCAGACGAGAGAAGTTAAGATTGAACCGTATATGCTATTCTACGAGCTTAAACATAGTGCTCTTAAACATTTTGTGATATTCATGTGAAATCTCTGATATGCACCAGAGAGCGCCCAAATCAAGAGCCTTCTTCTGTAAGGAAAATAATTTAAAATTGGAATACAGGTAGATCTAGAAAGTAATCATGACGATACCTTTGTTACATGTTTTAGGCTGTAGTTCTGACACTGCGTGCGTTAAGTTGTGGCGTTTCTAAAAAAAAAACCACCAGGTTAGGGGCATGGCAGGGGCCACAAAATTTTCCAGGGGGTGGGGTTGGGCACAGGTCATTCTTTACTATGTAAGATGATAGAAAAAGTGGAGGGGGTGCAAACCCGGGCCAAACTCTGGGGCACCTCGAAGAAACACCACTGGGTTGTGGTAAAAAAAACGCATAGGGCCTATAGGCCTACATTTGACTTGCAATGTTCTGTTATATACTTCTTCTGTACATGTTCTGTTGTCTGCACAGACGTCCTTCCATATTATCTTTATTTTATCATATTTTGCAAACAATTACTTGTCTCATTTGGTGTGTTCTTTTTGAAGTGTTATCAAAGATAGTTCAGCTTGATTTTATTCATTACCAAGTTTCTTTCTGGTGGCACTATATTCGACTGAGGTCCTCATTTCAGTATTTCTTTCGGAGTGTTATTTTGTTGTTCACCAGTTTCACTTGGCAGTCAGTGAACTCGTGCCTATACGGATTATTCTGATCCAAGCCAAAGTATATAGGCCTACAAATCAGTCTTTTGTTCGAATGAATGACTTTTTTGGAATTCTTATTTCATTCATCAGAATAGTTCATAGCAGTCTTGACATGGAATGAAGTGATTCAATATTCCTGGACTTTTGTGTGAATTTTGCTTTGATAGCTTAAATGTTTTCTATAACATGATATTGGTCCGGTTATCAAGGATCCTAGGCAGAGAAATGCCTCTATTTTTCTGGATAAATTGATAATTTTTCAATTTCCGTAAAAAAAATCAACAAAAATTTGATTTGAGGGGTGCGAAGATTGTCTGCCTTCGTATGTTTTTGTTGGTGTAAGTTGCTTCCATTGATATTTGGGAACTTTTGGTAAATAAAATAATACGTTTCATATATTCACTCCGTTAAGAATATTTCTACATCGGGAATGCCATCCATTCAAAGCATCCAAATATAGTACAATCTGTGTAGGCAATGATTAGTCAAGATGAACAAGCAAAAAAAAAGTGTTAATCCCAACAGCATAGGTTATTCCCAACCCACTTATCCCTTCCGATTTCCGATACTTATGTTTATTAGGACCTTGATTGTATTTCAGGTTTCTTTCAAATACATCTTGAAATATGTTTCTATTCCTGAATACAGTTGAATAGTGAACTTCTTGATAATGTAGGGAAAATATGGAATAATAGGCTATATAGTTGTTATACATTATGTAGATCTATATACTATAATATTTCTATATACAAACAGCTAAGTTGTAAAGTTCTATTTTGTTCTTTGGACACATGGTAAAACGTCACTGGTATCTCCAATTTTCATTGGTTGAAAGTTCTAGCTGGCTATTAATATTCATTCTCTACTATTGTTGTGCGTGATCAACGCGTCAGCCAATAATAAGACCCCTCTATAAACCATTGATAGCCCGCGCAGTGTGGCCGAGTTGCATTTGTGATCGCGGCAAGTGTTAGACAGGGAGGCCATTGCATGAAATTTTGGGATAGTGATACACAAAAACAACAAATACAGTCATGTCAGTCGGGATGGAAAAACGAATTGAATTGGAAATGAGGGGCAGAGACGCCAGCAAGGTTGTATGCTATTATTTAATTCTTTTAGTTCGACATTTTAAGTGTAGGAGACCTTTGTTTACTGTGCTAGATTACAACGTGATCGTCCTGCTTGTGTTGTGGTTCTATTTCGCAGACTCCTTCCTCGTCCTCTGCATCTTTGTTTCTGGTTCGTGTCTGTTTAAATCGTCACGATTGCCTTAATGAACATATTTTCAGGATGTAGTAGGTGCCTTTACATCTTTCGACCTCTTTTGTCAGTTTTCTTCAGTGCTATGAATCTGAGATCTAGGTCTACATTTGATTTTCTGTCGAGATCAAATATGGCGCCACAAAATTACTCTTTGCATGACTGTATTTTAGTCGAAGAATACGATTTTTGGGGTATACATGTGTGTTACTTGTTTTCACCTCAGAACATCGATGTAGCTACAATTTTGATAAATTTGTACTTATCTCTCTATTGAGTGCATCGAAGTTTATTTTGAAAATTCTGAACCAAGAATTGAAAGATTGAACTGGGCAACTCGGACTCGTTTTGCTATTTTTGAACTTTGATATAAAAAAAATCCCAAGTAGCTGTCTTGCGCTGTATCTCCAAACGAGCGTTGTGATTTAACTCTAAGCAAAATCTGGAGTAAATTTGTATATGATGGCGATGCCTCCGTTATATTCGTCATTCACTACACCAACAGCCGACCACCATCGCCATTATCATATATCCAAGCATGGACATAGTTTGCGCTGACCATAGTCAACGACCAACTTCAGATGTTGCTTAGTCTTGCATGTTTTTTTTGTTTTTGGCTTAAGAAATAACGTCCCAGATATTCTTTTTATCGAAAGTATTCTTTTTAAAAATTAAAAGATCAGTTTGACCGATGGCGATAAACAAGGGAGATCAATCGCGTAACATTTCTTGTGCTACCGCCATTTTGTTTTCGTTTAATTTGTTACCGATTTTAAGATTGAATTTCCACTCAGAAAGATCTTTCAAACCCTATTTCAGTTGTAATACCACTTGTAGCTATCATAGAAATGCTTGTTCGATACAAATTGCATGGTATTGCTGGATTTTCTATTTAGTGCGTTTCTTTTACTGAAAATATATCATGACTTTTTCTCCTTGTTGTTGTTTGACCCATTTCTGCAATCGTCTCGTGCTCCAATATGGACGACGAAATGTAACTCTGCCATTGAAGAGTTCATACTTTAGAAAGCTTTGTTGTGTCGGCCATAGCAATGCACGAGAAAGATTCTTGTTGTGGATTATGATTGTTATACAGTTCTCAGTATGAAATTGAACTGCTTTCTGTCCTGAATTTCCTTTCTTTCCTGGCTAATCATACTTTTAAATAGCCTAATCCTAGTAGTAGGCTGACATGTTAAGACATAGGACGATGTCACTTGCTGACTTGGCATCTTACTTTGGGGGCCTAGATGAATTTTGTTTTGAGTGGAAATATTTCAATAGATCCGATATTGTAACTGTTAGGCAATGGATAAATTGACTATTTTGATACCTTTCTTGGTAAATCAAGTCTTGTTTTGTATTGTTAGCATAATTCAAAAATGTGAGTCTGGTCTAAACTAGGCCTACTACCCATGTGATAGGCTTTTGTTATAAATCCTAATGTCGCCCAATTTTTAAGAAGCACATTTCTACTTTAAAGTGATTTTGCAATAATGATACAGTGGTTTTACAATAATGATACATCTCTACTAAATGGATTAATTGTGTTTTTCAGATCAAGGACTTAAATTTAGACAACTGTAGAGCATCTGCCATTGAAGGACTTTCCAGTGACTTTTGTAGTCTAGAATCTTTGAGTCTCATAAATATCGGTTTAAATTCATTGAATGGATTCCCCAAATTACCAGCATTAAGAAAGGTGAATAAAGATATTTCTGGTTTGTCTCCTTGTATTTCAAATGTCTCTTGATTATTATTACTTGTGCTATTATTTGTCATTATATACTGTTAGTGGATTTCTGTTACAAGAACATCATTGTCATTGTGGTGCCAATGAGTTAAACATAAAGTGGTTAAATATGATCCTAAATAAGTACACAGAGCAGTTGCTGGTCTGTGCTGCTCTTGAGACATTGTCCTCAATTGAAATACAAGGTACAGTTTCTATAAGCTTACCAGTTCAATGTAGGTAAATTCAACATGCAAATTTATTGCTCCTGCTATTCAGTATAGTCAGTTCCTTTTAATTACAGCTTGAATTAAGTGACAACAGAATAACATCAGGATTAGCAGCATTAAAAGGCTGTCCTAAATTAGAAGCTTTAAGTTTAAGTGGAAATAAGATCAAAGATTTTGAATCATTAGAACCATTAGTAAGTAAAACATTTGATAATTTCAAGTCTGAATTAGTCACAATGATGTTTAACCTAAGCTACACTATGATTCTAAGTGAAATGAATTTTTTTTCCTGAGTGACTACCTAATATTTGATAATGAATTGTTCAGGCTTGATTTGTAATAGGCTCCATGTTACATTAATTTGATCGGGTTTTGATTGGTTACAATGAAGATATATTTCTCAGCTCACTCTGATAATGCTATGAAAAAGATACAATTTCTTAAAACTGAGTAACCACAAAATTATTTTGAATATGATTTTTGTTGACTTACAACTACTGCATTCTTTTCATTTGCTAACAAGCCAAGAAGCATTCTGGGTAATTTCATTTATATTTTTTTCGTTACTTATTTTTGAAAATATGAATGTGATCAATTTTGTTTTATTTTCAGAAAGAATTAGAAAATTTGAAAAGTCTTGATTTATTTAACTGTGAAGTTACAAATGAAAATGATTACAGAGAACAAGTATTTAAGTTATTACCTCAGATCACATATTTAGATGGGTTTGATATAGAAGATCAAGAATGTGAAGATTATGATGATGAAGGTAATGCTCTATTAATTCCTGTTACTTAAGGTCCGAAAAGAAACATGACAAGTATGATGATACCCTAGCACTGGGCTATGAAATTCAATGATTTCTGTGCCATTCTGACTTGTCATGGTTCTTTTTTAAGCAGGACTCTTACAGTCGCCAGCATTAAAACATTACAACAATTCTTTCGTACATATTTTTCAAATTTTTATTTTTACAGTAGGAGATGATGGTGAAGGGGAAAATGAAGAAGATGATGATGAAGGTATGTAATTTGATTCATTTGGGTATATCTTGTGTACCTTGTGGTTTCTCTTAACCTCTTGTCACATTGATGAATGCATTATTTACCCAAGTCGCTGATAAAGTTTCCAAGTTCTTTGGAAACTCCAGATGAGGAAAAATTCTGAGTGTCAATGTTTAAGAGATTCATCTATTTAGAGGTGTGAAACATTCATCTCAATTTGTTTTGTAATGTAAGTCACAATGATGATGAAAAACATACCCAAGTCGCTGACTTCTGATGATCATGAGATTCTGAGTGACTGGTAGATAATATGCACGAGCATAAAGATTTTGTCAATTGCTACAGAACATAACAATACAACTTAGTCTGGGCCCAACCTGCCAAACCTTTCAGTTTCAAGATCACTAAAAACCTTTCATTTTCAAGGTCACTAAAACTGAATTTGGATTTTGTGTATATTTTTTCCCCGATAACTGTATTCAAATTTGTTCTTCGTTCGTGCACATATCTAACCTGATGATATTTTTAAAATTCAGCATTTAGAATTTATGACACTGGGTCCTGGTCATTATGATTAAAATAAGTTAGAAACAAAGATGAAACTAAAATACTTTGTATGTATGTGTATCTGATCAGGTTTTAATTTATTATAGATGATGAAGATGGAGATGATGATGGTGATGATGATGATGAAGATGACGAGGTCGGTCTTGACTACTTGACAAAGGAAAATATTGATGTTAGTCAAAATATATCGATTAACATTACTAGTTCATATTGTAACACCTGCACCGGTGTATTTGGATGTTGAAAGGAATACAGTTGTATGGGTTGCAGCTGATATTAGCTATCAGCAACACTTAAAATTTAAAAGAAACAAAGTTTGTTTGCGATACACAAAAAACCTATAGAGATTCAAATTTAAAAAATTCTCATGTACTATTGATAAGAATGCCAGAGAGATTAGTAGACAATTTGAATGTCAATCTGTGATACAAAAAATGCCCTTAGCAACACAACTTTATCCTTGAAACAAATCAAATTTTCAGACAACCTGCCTTTAGAATTCGTTATTCAAAAAAGTTCAGATTCAGACATTGGTGCAGTTGATATGATCGATAGATTTGCTTTAAATTTCACTAATCACTGTCACCTTTCTCTACTGTTAATCAATACCTTTCAATACATTGCCAATCAGTCTGCCAATATGCATAACTGAATATCAGTTGTCAAATGAACTGAATCGAGCAATTAATAAGATCCTCCTTGATGCTACCAGTTTCTCTGATTCGGATACTCTTACTTAGACCTGAAGCCCCTTTAACATTTTCAATGACAGGAATGATGATACTTTAGCACTGGGCTATGAAATATCAATGATTTCTGTGCCTTTCTGACTTGTCATAAAATTAGTCCCTGAAAATTTAGTAATAAGAATCTAAGACTGGTGCAGTTGGTCAGATTTATGAACATTTCACTAATCACTCTTCATTTTCTACTGATAAGTCTGGTAAGGGGGGCTCAGCTTGACTGAGACTTCAATGCCTTATCAAATCAGTATTGCCATATGCGAACCTGTTTAGTTGTCTTCACCTAAAGTGGACAAAATCCAGCAATTGATAAGATCCTCCCTGATGCAACCAATTGCTGTCTTCTATGAAAGGAATGATGATACTCTAGCACTGGGCTATGAGATATCAATGATTTCTGTGCCTTTCTGACATGTCATAAAATTAGTCCCTGAAAATTTAGTAATAAGAATCTGACATTGGTCAGTTGCTGTGATATATTTAATATTTCACTAATTGTTCTTTCTATTTCCTACTGTTAAATCTGGAAAAGGGGGGTCCTCTTAGTTACAACTAAACCCCTTAAATATTTTCTATGACAGGAATGATGATACCCTAGCACTGGGCTATGAAATATAAATGATTTCTGTGCCTTTCTGACTTGTCTAAACTTTTACTTTAAGTCAGTATCTTGTATTTGGTGTTATTGCTCAATTCTGTAGCATATAATATATATAGTACTAAAAATAATAAATATTGGGTTTATTATTTCAGGAAGATGAGGATGAAGAAGATTTTGAACCTGGAAGTGGAGGGTTAGAAGATGAAGATGACGAGGATGGTGAAAATGATGTAGAAGATGGAGGTGAGATTTGACACAATTTCCATTGAAAGGGAGATAATGTCTTGATGTTAATAGGATACTTGCACCAAGTTTTGCTTATATTATGTAATCACCTTACTGTAATGATTATTGTTTGCGATGATATTTGTTAACATCCAAGGAAGATTCTTCACAAAAACAAGAGCAGTACATTCATCGTGAGATAGATGTAATAAGAAACCTAGTATGGTTTCTGCATTTCTAACTTATGTATAATAATATGATCATGGAATCATTCCATTTTATGAAGGTCATATTGTATGTTCGTGTATGTTGGTTTTTTTTTTCCCAAAGAAAAGGTTTTTTTTTTTTTATCTGTTTCAGAAGAGGATGATGATGACGAAGATGAAGATGGTGAAGAACAAGCAGAAGTCAGGGGTCAAAAACGGAAGCTGGAAGAGGATGGTGATGCGTAATGTTTAGTACCATTGAAGTTTTAATATTAAAGACATGTATAATGAGAGTTTGAGATCTCCATTGTGCTCTGTGAATATGAAATGGACCAATGTGAAAATTGGCTATGCAGCGAGGCCATGCTACATTTTAACATGAATCAACCGTGTCGTGGCAGATGAAATTAAATTCCAGTGATTTCTTAATACCAGCAACTTGTTTTTTGTTATTGCTGGAGGACCTTTGAAAATCCAATTATTTTGTGCTTAAGATTTTAATTCGATTTGTACAGTGTAGAAATGTATATATTGAGTGAAGAGGGTCAATTTTAGCAACAGGCCAACTTGGAAAGAAAATGAAGCATGGCCAAAAGAGCACATTCTACATGATCCAACAGTCCATTTAAAGTATAGCACTGAAAATGAAAGAAATTGAGTGCTATAGTGGATTGGTGTTTAAAAGAATTGTTGTAAATATTCAAGTTTAACAAATCATTTAGCTTATTAATCATCATAGCAACATCTTGAACATACAATTGTATAAATGTACAGCCATCTTTACTGGCAAAATTACCATCTTCAGCTCTCTCTCCCTGCCACCTGGCAGCAAAGGTCAATTAGGTCATATTTTAAATATCTATTTTAAATCTCGAATCCTTAAAATGATATTATTTCTATAAAAAAATCTGTTTTCATGAAAAATATTCTATTTTAATGTGGCACAATTTCAAGTCTCATTTTCATTGATCATTCATATCATGTGTACAGGCATAATTGACCAAAACTTAAGGAATTTTGGTCTTCGATTGTATTAGAGTTCAAAGATTATCATATTATCATTGATGAATTTGTGCCATTTATCTCATTTCATTCAACAAATCAATCTTTGTATGTGCTTGTTGCAATAAATTTTTATAGAAATACTAGGCTGGAGTATTTATTGTCTTGCAGTTTCTTACCAGTACTCTGTCTTGGAATATATTTATTGGTTGACTGTTAATTCCTAGATCACATAGACAAGGATGTACAAGTGGCTATGAAAAGGAGCACTGCTCAAAGTTATGATTCTTGAATCCTGCTTTTGTACGTCTTTCGACTCTAGTTTAGAGACGCTGTTATAGCATAACAGCATAGACGTGAAGATCAGGCAGAAGTCTACAATATGAGGCATGCTGCATAGAAAGGGAAATAACTGGGACTTTAGAGGATCTTTCCAATTTACTAAACAAATAAGATATATCCTATGTGTGTGTAATTGATAAAAAGGGTCATTATTTTAACTGACGGATAATTAATACTATCATATAGAGAAATTATATATCCTCTGCTTCATATTGAGGAAAAAAAAACAAAGTAAAATAACAGTATTATTTTAATGTTATTTTACATTATCACTAAAATACACTCAAAAGCATCTTCAAACATCAATAAATTATTGTTTTAAGCAGCTGGGGAACAGGATCTCTTGGTTAGCAGCAACTGTGGACCCCAGCACTATTCCTATCACAGTGAAATAACAATCTGCCAGATAAAATGCTAAACAGTTCCTTTGGAAGGACTAATATATTAAACATCAAAATATTTAATCATGATTACAAAACAAATTAAATGAAATTCTGGAACATCTATCTTGCAAGTGTCTTATGCTCATTTAGTTTCTTCATGTTTAACCACCCCTACTCGATACAGACTGAAACCCTTAATCAATGCTTGAGTATACCAACTAAATATTTTAAGTGAACAGTTATATTAAGGGATTGCAATGGGGTTTTCTGAATTTGTTATGTTTTGGGGATACTTATAGCATCAATTTGCACAGATTTTTACAAAACCTCTTTACAATCCCAATATATTGAGACAATTTATAATAATGCTGGAATTTGTCTAGTGAAGAGGTAGCTAAAAACCAAACTGAATAAAATAGTTAAAACTCATTTTGTTTCATAAAGCCATGCTTCTGAATCCAACACATCAATCCAATGATTTGTCTCCTGAATAAAACTACATTTCAACCAATCATACTGAAAGGTTTAGTAAAGTTTGGTTGAGATTTTTTATCATATCCAAAGCAAACATAATATGCGAGTACTACAGTTATGAGGTCTGGCTTGTACTGAAATTTAAATTTGGGAATCTTTTGTGTAAATTCTTCATTTGTAACCTGTTACCTAAGTTCCGACTAGATGGAGGAGCTAACATTAATGTTGTTAACCTAAAAGTAGTTAATGGGTGAAAAATTTAAGTTTCAACAAAGATTTGTAAACACAGCCTTTGATAATTAAAAACACCACAACACAAAAATATCTCATAATTGAATAATTATTACAATAGATTTTTTATCCACAAAGTTTGGCCACAACAATAGTTTTCTCAGAAGTTATAGAAGTTTATTAATGGCACAAAGGGGAAGACTGTAAACTCATCTTCAATGTATAATATGCTAAACAGAATTAAATTTACAATAGCATCTTTTAGTGATATTTGTTTTTTACTAATTCTACAAATGTTGTGTTACAAACTAGATTTTAATTCAATCATTCAATCCATCACCAATATGTCAGAAAAGTATATCCAAAAATAAAAAAAGTTTGCTGTGAACTCTCAAAAAGCAAAAAGGTTATTTGTTCGATTTTGTGTAAATGCACAGTAGACATAATATGTACAATTGTACATGGTTTCTCAAAAACTTAACTTAAAAACAAATTAAAATTATACGACCTTCTGATTGGTTAATTTTGACTTAATTTTAGTGATTGACCAATCTGTTGATTAGAACAAAGTTGTTATGTCCAGTTAAGTCTTTGTGAAAGTGGTCTTGAGTACTCTTAACACTACATATATATCACTGTTAATCCATGAAAGGAACTGGGATGCGCGTTTAACAGATACAGTAAATAATTTAGTTCTATTCACTCCCTGGAAACAATAACTATATAGCATGAGAGTATTAATAACAAACTAACATTGTACCAGTATAACATACTATAATAATATTTTTAGAAGAATCTAACTTCTTGATCATCAGGAACTGGGATTTTGCCGGAGTCTGTTTGTGGTATATTAGACTCTATATTAGTAAATGATGGTATACTCGAGATTCCAACAATTGGTGGCAATAAATCCTTATCTTTGACTGCTGTGGCAGTTACTATTCTCATGGTATTTGTTGAACCAGATCCTGGTTTCCATCCGGTCAAAACTACTACTGGATCACCATCTTTAAGGAAGTTTCTTGTCATGGCAATATCAATAGCTTTCCAGATTCTCCTGTCAACGTCAGCAGTCCATTCGTTCATTTTGTCATCTACAATAAAGCAAGCAACATTTAAGTTTTCAGATCAAGATTTGAACAAAACCACCAGGCACTTATTCATGAAACGATCTTAGAGCTAGGATATCCTAGAAACAGTGTTAGAAGTTAAGAACAACCTAATTTGAGATAGTTTCAAAAAAATGTGGCCATATCTTCTTATGATTATAAATTCAGTCAATAAAAGCCTGATAATGAATTTTTAATTCATAAATATATATATTATATAATATACAATAAGAAAATATTTTCACTATATTGCTCTATACATCTAATGTAGCGCGATATAGAAATTATATAATATAAATAATTAATATCTAGAAATTGGACATGATAATTTTGAAATTCTTCAGTAATATTATATGAAAACAGTTATGTCATTAATACGGAATCCTTACTCATAATCTGTATGATTCTGTCTATTTAGAGATTTAGAATATTGTAATCCATATTTCATTTAGAGCTGGGTTGATTGGAATTATGAATGAAGACTTATTCAAGGTCATCATACACCGATCGAGATTGGAACCCACAGCTGCCATTTGCTGACTTCATGTAAAGAACCAAAGCTATAACCGACTGTGCTATAGAACCTCACTAGGAGTTGAATTGTTACATATTTAGTAATAAGGTACCATAAATCATTCCAATACCTCCTTCGTGGTATGAAAATTTATGATGTAAAAGTCAGCACTTGATTCCACCAACCTATATTTATGGGTAATGATGAGTAAAAGTTTGGATTGTGAATCTTTCCAGTGAAAAAATTAGAATTAGCTAAAAAAACAGTTTAAGGTCACAATTCACCCTTAATTGAAAAATATGCGACTTCTGTACACATCTTGAATCTAAAAAAAAAAAAATGGAAATGGGATTTTGACCATAAATTTGAGATATTTTGACCAACCAAACTGTTATACCAAAAGACCATTGCAATAGCAACAATGGCAAAAATATTCAGAAGTAGGCCTAGTGGTCAAATCAAAGCATGCAGAGGTAACTGAGCATTCAAAAACACAGAGTTAAGTATTTTAAATGTAGTTACTTATATATTTAATTATGAATATTTTGATGAAGTCACAACCAATAACATTTTCTCCAACGGCAAAATAGGATTGTCTTCTACTACCCATTTCTTTTCTTTTGGGCAATAGCAGCCAAGTAAAAGGTATTTTATTTATTTCAAGATTTCAGTGAAATAAAGAAAGAAAAATACTACTGAAAATAACTTAAGCTACATGAAATAACATTAAGATGGGAATTGTTCAACTTTATATAACTTTCTCAACCCTTTAACTGATATGGGATCAAGGTTTAAAACCACATGAATAATCTTGATTTTAGTCAGCTGTATCACTTTTCAAGATGAAAATCTGGCTTCAGGTTCATCTGATTACACACATTCTCATCTGGATTTCAATGATCCTTATGTTGGATTTAATTTAATTGTGAAAGTAAAGTAGTCAAGGTAGCCACTAACAACTGTAATAGCAGAAAATTATGAACAGTTTACAAATAGAAACGAAACAGTGAAGATTAAAATACTTTTAACATTCTCTTTAAAGGAATAAAGTTGTCGAGATATTTGGTGTACCAACTGATAAAGCTCTATTTCAGCTTCCTGTATCCTTTTTTCAGTATTGAAAATTTGTTTTGCTCTGCTATCATTAAACATAAATTGTATTTGGGATTTTGTTGAACTACCTGTGTGACCCAGCCTTTTATTATACACAACTTTTTTATGTAATTGTTTGTGAGCACGAGATCAATTCTGAAAAAGGCTACTGAAAGTTGACATTGAGCTCTATGAAATGGCAAAGCAAATACTTTGACAACTCTACCACTTGGATTATTTAGTTTAGTTAATCATTCATTCAATAATCCATTTCTATTCACTCAGTAGACTAACAAACACTACATTGTGGGGTTATTGTATTACAAGTTTGAATTCACACCAAAACATGAAGAACCACTGTCTAAACCTACATGAACATTGCCTTAAATGTATGTTAAGTGCAAGAAAATTTACAGATTAGAGATATACAAAATCTTGTTAAATAGTAATGGAATGGAATCATTCATCTTCACTATGTCATGCTATTACGACCTTGTCTTGACCTTGAATTCAATGACTGCCTTTCTTGTATTACAGAATGCAGCAATTTGATTGTACTGTAAACCTGCCAATACAACCTATCGGAGCCCTCAACAGAGAGATTATAAACATTTTGGATTCGTGTTCACAGACTTTTTGTTGAAGCCTCTAATTGGCTGTAATTAATTGATGTACAATCAGGTCACTGCATCTACAAACTGATACAAGAAAGGAGGCAATTGGAGTCAAGGTATAAGCAGAAGGTCCTAATAGCTTGACATTGTGAAGATGGGGATCATATGGTAAAGGATAATTGAACAAATCCCATGATTTTGATGATGTACACATAGGTTTAGACAGATAACTAACCCAGATAAGAGCGAGATTTATCATCTGAATCAAAAACAACAGCTGTATCTGAACACCAAAAAATAAATAATCAAAATAAAATAAATAATAGTGAAAAAAAATAATCTACTGGCATAGTCATTGCTGCTACATTATATGACTGTATCTTGATATATGTGAACCATGTTAAACTTAACAATCCTTTAATTTCCAGAAAACCAAAAATAAATAATAAAAATAAATCTAATAGCATAGTGATGGCTACTATTCTATAACAATTAAGTTAATATAATATTGATAATTTGTAAATATTAGTTGATTAGATTTGTAATATTTTCTAGTAATTTCAGAAAGATGCAAAATAATGCAAGGACCATTTTTATAAAGGGAAAGGGTGGGTAAGCTATTCAACTAAAGCATTCCCATGCTTGTTTCATTTTATTATCAAATTCCATCTCATGCAAATGCCAAACTAGATCTTCAGTTTTGTAAAATTGTTATGCTACACATGTTCCAAATCCTCAAAATATTCCAACCAATCAAATGAGAATTCTGTGATACATAAATAACATTGACTTTGGTCGAAAATAGACTGAACAATATCTAAGGTAAATCGCATGAGATCAGGGAAGAATAAGTGCAGAACAAAACTAAACTGTCTAGATCTGTATTTACATAAGATTACACAAATTGTGACATAATGTGGTATACTCCTTTGTCAAGATATAAGGGGAAGCTCTCTTTAACCCAACTGACAAAAAAACAAACTTACTCTGTTCTCCTGGTTTTAATAACAGAATGAAAAAAAATATACACCAAAACTAGTATACATACTCAGATTTAAAGGGGCTAAGACATCTGATTTTTCTTTTATGTTGAAAATATTATCATTATTTGCTACCAGCAGCATTTTGAACAAATTCTAATTAGATCTAGGAAACCTTAACTTGAATTCCTTCATAAAAAAATAATAAGATGATAGTCCTTTAAAATTACTAACAATAACAACTGTTATCCCACATTCACATAACAAATTTAACACTTTAACCCTCCCCATCCCAAAATAAAGAAAAAAATAAATAACAAAAAAAAAGAAAAAAAATCTGTAACAAGAATAAATATTTGGCAGCAGAGAAATGTTATTGGCACTATCAATGTCTTCTTCAGTTATCTTTTTGGCACCTGAAATTGGTTTCTGGCTTTACTTCACCAATTCTGACTTTTCATCCTCAATCATTGAAAACCTTGATAGCTGGACCACCTAATATAGGTGTTTCATCTGTATGGGGTGCATTGATAATACGTAAAGTATTTGTGTAGCCCGAGCCTGCCTTCCAACCTGTTATTATGACTATATTATCATCAGCATGGACAAACCCACGCTGTTTACCTACTGCTACACCACTGTAGATTCTTTTATCCATATCATCTGTCCAGGTTTCAAGTCGAGGTTCTAGATAGATAGAGGAAGAAGAAGAACACCAAAAACCACTACAGTCTGATATATATATATAGAATGGTTGAAATTATACTTGTAGATTAGACCAGAAAGGACTCTATGGTTTATAATTTCATGAAAAATGGAATGAAAAGACTACGATTTAGATTTTCACTAAAAAATAGAATAAAACAATTACTCAGATTAAATTTCCAAAAAAGTGGAATAATATGACCATACAGAGATAGTATAAAGAGATAAAATAGAAGGACTCTATGGCCTGCTTCTACAAGTATAATTTCACTACTGGAGACATTTATCTAGGACAGTACATACGGGAAGTAAAATAGAGAAAAAAAACTTGCCTTCTACATCAACCTCAGGCCCTGTATGATTTTCTGTAATGTATGAATAGCAATTATAGGTGATATTCACCTTTACATCAAGCTTGTACTATTTCCATGACCTTTACGCAAGAAATTTTATTTCTGTATTTAGATAATATCTTTATTTGTTATTTTGTAATAAGGACTATTTATTTATAATTTACATTTCATTGTTTAACACTTTCTCTACATACATATCACAGAAATCAACATAATATAATATAATATGTAATTCAAAATTGCAAGTTTATATTTGCAAAATAAATTTCTACTTACTACAAAGATCCATCAAAATAAATCATAAACTAATGAAATCTAAATTCTATAACATTCATACAACACGTTAAATTATCTTAAATCAAGAGACTATATAATTATCATATTTCATATGTATTGACAGAACCAAGAATGAAGAAACCCAATTTATTTAGCAAATGGAAACATATAAACATATAATTATGAGGGTGTTCAATGAACCTTTGCCTTGTATAATGATCTTAATTTCACTTACACAAAAAGCATTAATTTAACTTTGGACCTTGAACTTTTAACAGCAACTTTTTTGTTTTTATTATCATGCACAAAATGTCAATAAGATATTTGTTGGAAAGAGTTCGGAAATTGGTCAAATTAACATTCATCATTTTATAAATTTGGTATGTTTTTGGGATTTCCTTGTCCTCAACAAATTATCAGTTATCCTGAACTGTCCAATTTTTACTATCCTTGAAAGATTGGTTTGAAATGAAATCTAAGACAATAACATCTCTTAGTAGACATAACTGATTCTAAAATAAGCATTAAGTATAGTTAGATTAAGTGCAGGAGTAATTTCAGTCATGATTAAAAAAGAGTGAAAAGGTCATATGTGAGTGTGATATATAGATGATTTCTCGACAATATTTTTCACTACAAATATTGAAATGAATTAGAATAAGCATAAAATATATGACAAAGACAAGTAGAATTTCTCTATTTTACTTCAGGCCATGTTAATAACAGAAGAGGGGTAAACAGTGAAGCAAAGCACACATTACTAATGGGAAACAAAATGTTAAATGTTTGAAAAAACACATTCATCCAATCTAGCTAGAATTAAGTTAGATTGTTAAATCATTCAGGACAATACAAGAGTCACACAATTGTATAGGTTCTAACAAAGAGGACAAATAGGCCACGCATGCAAAAACCAGAAACAATAATTATTTGAAGGGATGGAGGATACAATACACACTACAAATAAAAAAAGTTGTTAGTGAATAGGTAAATTATAAATCTTTCAACTTACCAGTATAATGTATAGGGAAAATACCACGGTATAAATGACATTGACGAGCTGTTTGGGAATTTCTAGTTATAGCCAATATAGGACACCTTGGTCGATAAGCTGCTACCAAGAATGCAGATCTGAAAGACATAGCAGGTCAATGAAGGTATCTGTATAAAAGAATCTCCTTCCTAATAATCAAAAGCAAAAGACAGAAAGAAAAACTTATTACAAGAATAACAACTTAGTTTCTTGAAATTCTTGTGTACCAGCTGGTCCTTGGCCAAATATTTTGGCGCTGACCTGCAACCCCATAAACAGTGTCAAGAATTTAATACTCTAACTGATTTAGCAACAGTCCATCAGCAATCTTCAAGATTTCAAGTTGATATTTAATTTATTACCTTCCAGAAGTGGTAATGACAATAATAGCAGACGCCATACAAGTGAACGAAGCCTCAACAGCTGCAATAGCAATGGTATGAGTAGCATCAGTATAGGTTGGTGTTTCACGACGTAGATTTTCAAACGTTTGACTGTGGAAAACTGCAGACTCTGCTTCACGGCAAATCTATGAAAGCAAAATAAGAATAAAATTAAGATTAAATTTTCTACACAAAAATGAAACCTTAGATGCTTAAAATATATCCACTGAAACACATGCATAGCCCAGTATGGTCAAGAAGGCAGCATTCCTCTTTGATTTCCAACTAAAACACACATTTTTCCAGTTTAAAATCAACGTTTGTCATTGACCAAGATTTGTGAAAAGGGCCTCGATCCTCAAATACTCTTACCTTATGCATCATTTTAACCGATTCTAGAGGATAAGAACCTTTAGCTGTTTCACCAGATAACATAACACAATCAGCTCCATCTAATACAGCATTAGCTACATCACTAGATTCAGCTCTAGTTGGTCTGGGTTTCTTTACCATACTCTCTAACATCTACAATTATAACCAGGTCATAGAAATCACTATGTATGTATATAAATATCAATAAAAATATCATAACAGAATAAGAATTTGGTGTTAGATTTCTATATAGTGTGATTCCCTACAAATATTTTCAATGTTTAAATAGTGCTCAATACATCAATTGTAGAGCAATATAGAAATATTAAAACAGAACTTATTTCTTGTTTGATCCACTTATAATCCCGTATATTGCTAGAGCCTTTTTTACATCAAATTAATATAGTGTGTGTTTTTTTTTACTTATTCTTATATGCTGGTATCCATAAAAAGTATAAAAATATTTTAGATTCTGAGACATCTGTATTTGATATTTTTACCTGAGTAGCACAAATAATCGGTTTTCCAGCTCTATTACATCTACCAATCATCATTTTCTGGGCCAAGAAAACTTTTTCTGCTGGAATCTCAATACCTAAATCACCACGAGCAACCATAATACCATCAGATTCAGCTAATATCTCATCAAATCTATAAAACAAAACCGTTAATTATCTTGTGTACACAGTATTAATTATTCCTCACACAACTGAAGTATTCAACCAGCATACCTCTTTCAATTTCAATATTTCTTCATTGCTCAGCATTAAAATATCTGCTTATTAATTCAATAGTGGAAAATTATGAAAAAGAGTCATGTGTTACTGTTTTGAACAGACTACAGATTTTTAAAAATTTACATCCTGAAACTCAAATGATTCGATGCTGCTCCAAAAATCTAACCAGGTTGTTTCTCTAGGTTTGTGTTTTTATTGTATTTAGACTCACCTTTGAACACCTTCATGGTTTTCAATTTTGGAGATAATTTTAATATGTCTGCCCTTTTCTCCCAGGATATTTCTAATTTCTTTGACTCCAGCAGCACTACGAATAAATGACGCAAATACCATATCAACCTGTAATAGAAATAAGGCCATTGTCATTTGAAAATTGAGACTTAAGTTAGACTTAGAACTAATGTATATCAATATGTAGCTGAACACGCATGTAAATTCAATTGATTTGTACTTACTTTGAAGCAGCCCATGAAGCAGAATGCTTACATTAGTACATGTACCAGCCTCAAAGTTATATGTATTTCAGAGCAGAAATTCTTCCATAATAATATCATGACACAATAATTTCCATATATACAAACATACCCCATGTTCTACACCAAATAATAGATCCTGTTTATCTTTCTCTGATACAGCTGGTAAATCTACAGCTACACGAGGTAAATTACACCCCTTCTTACTTCCTAAATCTCCTCCATTTTCAATATCACACAGTAAATAATCATTACCTGCAACAAATACAGAATTAAGATCTATAGCTTTCTGCATGTCGAAAGTCAACAGAATTTATTCTTGAGATGATGCGCTTCTGAAGAGTTCAAAATTACCAATGATCATTTAAAAAATTTCTTTTCAGATGTTTAAGCTCATTGTAAGACATCATCTATAGTTACTGATATTTGTCATATGTAATACCTCAATGTATATTTGCTTGCTCATTTCATTAGATTGTAGACAAATCAAATTTTAGATTTTCAATTTCAAAAGTGACACAAATAGACAAAGAAAATATATAGATAGTCCTTAATATCATAATAAATTTTTTTACCTATTTCTTTAACAACAACAGAAATCAAACCATCATCAATAAATACACGACCACCAACTTCCATAACTTTGGTAATATTTTTATAATCAACGTATAAAATCTCTGCGGTACACTTCTCATAGTACTTTTCATCAGTAGTTAGTTTTATAGTACTACCAGTTTTCAGTTCCACTTCAGCACTGGCTCCCTTAAATACAAAAATCGAGAATTAAGATTGAAATATATTTTATTTTGGCCAAATTGAACAATTGGTTTAAATGTTACATGCAAATATATCAAACAAATAATGTATACTACAAAATCAGCTCACACCCCTTCCTTCAAGAAATTGGGAAAAATCCATTTATCATTTACAGTAAAATGGTGCCCAAATTTGCGCAACCACGACCATTAGAACAATCTTTCAGTTAATGGAAATTTTAGTTCCAAGTGGCACTTGCTATATCATTTCTTATATAGCTTCATGTAGAGCTGGCAGATATACTCGTATCTTGATAGTTTCAAAAAAAAAATATTGCAAAATCGACTTAATATTGCCTTGCCCTAAATTCATATATGATGTCATAACATACACAAAATATACAATAATATAGACTAGACAGGATTTAAAAAAAACTTTCCAACAAAATATCTTTGTAAATCAGGGATTACCATGCAGATTGAAATTTTGTACAGAAGTCTTCTATATTATGAACATGAATATCTATTTAGTCTAAAACATACCCCTTCTAATAAGCCAGTCCTAATCTCAGGACCTTTGGTGTCCAGAGCAATAGCAATAGATGTTTTCTCAGTAAATTCCGAGACAGCTTTACGAACATTTTCAATGGTTCCACCATGATAATCATAGGTACCATGGGAAAAGTTTAATCGAGCTATGTTCATGCCTTCAATAATCATTTTCTGAAGAGTCTTGACTTCTCTACAAGCAGGACCTATAATAATGAACATTTCGTTGATCAAATTTATTATTTATTAGTCATGTTTTATTCATATTATGATGCTATTTATATCTTTTACAGAACATAAAATGATTGTATTTATGTTGAAATATTTAAATGGAAAAACAAATCCACCATCTTGACGTTGTCACTGTCTGCAACAATAGAAGACGGAAATCATCTATCTGATATTACATGTTTACGGAAAGAACCCACAGTTATCAGACCAGCATTGGCTCAATTTTCTGTTAGTGATAATAATAATTATGAGATGTGGTCATGGTTGCTTTTCTTTATGGTTCTTTGTAATATCCTACCACTAAAAACTTCATTTTGCCTTACTTGCCTTTGTTGCAACATCTCTTAGGATAATTAGTGTAATGGAGCCCAAACTAAACAATTAAATAACTTCAACGTAACCTTCAGAAAACTTACCGATAGTACAAATAATACCAGACATACGAACAGCATGTGGTTCAGAATCAATGTTCAAATAACACATATGTTCCAAATGGGATCGAGCATCAGCTGCTTGTAACTGTTGTTCTTGGACGAACCCACCGCCATGTTCAGCTTTCTTAATATCAAACTGAAATTATACCAAAATGTGCAAGGAATTTTAAACATGAACAAGTCTTGCTCACTAATTCACATTGATTTACATACATATCCTAAAACACAATAATCATTTAATGAAGCCTAATCATTTTGTAACTAATTCAATGATGAATGATGATTCACATACAAAGAGTTAAAGCAAAATAAATGGTTAAAAAAGCTATTTAAAAGGGATTAGTCTTGACATTTGGCTTAGTAAAAATTTTACAACAGATGTATCAGATACACTGTATACAACATAGTTGTCATGTCATTTGAATTTGATCTCCTGTTATTAAGGGAACAAGTAGTGACATTGTTCCTCCACTTTATTTTTACTAGAGTAAACATATCAGATCTTCCATCTGAAAAGAGCTAAAGATAGCTTAAATTGAGCTCCATATTCCATGGAGTAGTAAATATCATTATTTTGATGACTATATCCCTTCAAAATTCAGCAGTTTCAAGACAAAAAATAATAGGTCCACATATCTTGACAGTAATTTCTTTTTAGATTAAATAAATTAACATGAAACGTAAATTGAAGGATTAATTCAGCAGATTGGAATATAAAAAAGCAAGCATTGGCAATTGCTTTCACTCTGTTGAGGGCTAAGAAAATAGGCAAAAACACAAAATGAAAAGCAGACGATTGTGTGAGTATAAAGAGTGAAATCAAAATCAAAGGACTGATTGCATAACAAGTTTAACCCTTTAAATGAAAAACCCCATTATTATGTTAGGAGATCTAAGCAACAAAATTTGAAGCATATTTAAAGTTATGCAATTTACATGCCAACATTTGCTCCTCAAGTATATACAGTGGCAGCCGCAGCTTCCAGAGATGAAAGGTAAAATTAAGGTTGATTAAGTTAAATTTATTAAGATTGAGATTCAAAATGTGAAAAAACCTCCCATGAAGTTAGAGAGAGATTATTCTAAAAGAAAATTTTTGAAAATAGAATTGATTTGGTGCATTTTGAAAAATCTTGGGTCATTAACGTATAAAAATATGGGGTATAAAATGCGCCAACTGTAACTGGCACTATTGTATATAGTGTAATCTTGAGACCTAGTAGAGTGGATGTTAATATCATAATACTCTAATTGTAAGCATTTAGATATGTAAGTATTGAATCATTCAATGTTAATTATTATTGATTACCATACAGTATCAAAACACTTAATTCAACATATTTGAAAGACAGACAGATAAATTTTGGAAAAAATATCTTACAGGCTTATGTTTTAAGGGACTTCTTTGTATTTTAGGGAAGGGGATTAGAAGATTCAATGATAATTTCAAGTGGCATCAAATATTCATCCTAATACATCCTATCAGAACTATAAACCATATTCTGATTAAGCATGTACTGTATCTAGTAAGCATCTTAGCAATGAATAAGTCAGAGCGGTATGACATTAGCTTCACAACTTGACATAACAATTGGGATCATTTAAAGGGACAGAGCCCTCATTTTTTTACCAATCATACCTTAGTCTCAAAACCAGGAATTTTTTTAGCTTAAGACTATCAGTAATAGTGTTCACAGCTTACCGCCGAACTTTGAGCTTTCAAATCCATACGTGTCAAAATTTATCTGCGTTTGAAAGTTACAAAGAATTTCTTGAGACACTGATATATATAGAAAAGACAACTATAGTTCAATTCCTAGTTTGAGATATATCTAAAGGAATTTTCATACATTTCCAGTATTTCTAGAAATACTATTAACATACATTCAAGACTCAAATCAACCCCCCAAAATGGACAACTGTCCCTTTAAAGTGATCAGTCATATAAAATATTAAGCAAGGTCAAGGTTGTTTCTATTAATATTTTACCATACAGTATGTCAGAAATATATCTATCACAGTGGGTACATTAAATAGGATTATATGTCACATAAATCCATTTAGATTCAAATCATACCACACAATATACAGATAGGTATACATCAATGATTAAACAATACCAGTTCAAAACTTGCCACAGTGAGTTGACAGGACTAATTATACAAATTATATTCATCTATTTAATGGATATAGGATTCATGCTACAATATTTTTTGCAATATGAATATCAGGGTTCAATTAGCTTTTATCACACCACAATTTGCGAGTCAAAATTAGAATAATCAATTCCATGTTTTTTATAAACCAACTGAATGAATATAATTATCTGGATGTTGATTTACAGAATTTATATTTTTTTTTTTATTGACAAGAAAGAATGTGCTAACAAGTAATATATTCAAAAAAAAGATATTCAAATCAAAAGAAGGATATTCTATGTTAACTACTTTGAAAAGATTATTCAGAGTTCTTGTCCAAAAATTCTAGCCAAAAATTATATGGAGGGAAAAATAAGAAAAGCATAGAAATTACAAAATTTTAGTCAACCAGCAACCCCAATAGCAGGATTAACCATTGTAATTTTACCTGTAATGAAGGTGAGTGTACAAAAACAGTTGGATTCTGAAATGTCAATAACATTTGAACATGTTCAAAAATGTTTTTAATGACTTCTGAAATGAAGAAATGCAAAACTCACCATACCATGCCAACAGCATCTAAATTTCTAAGTTTGACCTAATAATCTTTATGTAAATAAAACCAATCATGTTCCATGTTTTAATGCGAATGTGTCCAAATATTTAGCTAATACTAGTCACAGATTATAACGATACATAGTGTATCTTGGCATGATTGGCAACACCCAGCATTTGAATAACAGTGCTGACAAACTGGCAACAACATATACCTACATAATGTGATCACATGATAATGAAATGGAATTTAAAGTCTTCTTTGACAGAGGTCAACAAAACAATAGTAGTTTGTAAAAATAAACCAAACTTTATTGGGTTAATATGATGCAAAATAATGCTTGATGTTAATAAAACATCAAAATGGTGGCTTTATTTAAGGGATTGTAAAGAGGTTTTCGATACTTTTGATACCTGATTTGTTGACACTCATAGCACTGATTGGCACCAACGTAATTTTCCGTCCGATGCCTATGGTTTTCACAATTCTACCCAAACTAAGCATCTACAATGTCACAATAGTACAGTTCCTTATATATCATTAGAAGCTTTTGTTAAAGTGACGTCCTATTCTGCTTAGTTAGAGGAAGTGCAGGAAAAAAAGATGCCTGAAGAAAATTGGAATATTGATGCTAATAGTGTCCCTGATACATGTATTAAAATTTTAGAAAACCATTATACAATCCCTTTAATAACACTAATAAAATCCTGTTTATTGACATAATAAAGTTTCATGCATGAAGGATTTATGAAAATAATACTTACTGATCTATTGGTGGGGATTTTTGGCATCTGTCCACCAGAGCCAGGTTTAGCCAATTGTTGAGCCATCTACAACACAAACAAAAACAATAGAATTCAATATAACTGCACACTTAAAAAAAGGCCATTGCAAAAACCATTTCAAGGATATAGTTGTCTAAATATTTACTTTACTAGGTAATAAAGCTGATGCCTGTAACACTTTTCAAAATAAGAATCCTATGTGTATCCAATTCCCCTAAAATGCAACAAAAAGTTCAGACTATCTTCACTTTCAGGCCGTTATTCTATGTATTGATGTCATTGGTGATACAGAACTTCCCTTGAGAACTGCACATTCCTGAAAATTATTGCTTAATGTGACAAAGAATACGTACGAAAAACTTAAATCAGCTGGTAAAGCAAATATTGAGTCAATTATATCACTTTAGACATAAACAAATATACAAAACTATTTAAAGGACTAAGAAAAGAAAGGATTAACATAAAATTTGTTACCAGTAATATGTTTGCTGTCTATATAAGTACAACCTATGACAATATCATGACATACATGAACTATGTTATCACTGACGAAAGAACCTCCTCAGATTACACACATAATTATGATAACATATGACTTTTTAATCACCAGGTTTTTCTGATAATGAATCCTGATTTAATGATAGGATTGGACCAGTATACCTTGTGTGGGCTATTTTCGTGACCTTTCTCATGTAAAATCATTCGACATATCAAATTAAATGTACTCATTCACAGTCCCAATATTCAAATAACATTATCAAATATTTTATATATGTTTCACAGTTTAAAATTGATTAACTTGCCGTCACAGTTAATGAAAATCAGCAATTTAAATAACCTATTACCATACTATATAAGTCACTAGTATATTAAAGGGATAACTTGATACAGCTCTACAAATCTGTGTTCTGTTTTCCCTGTGCATTATTGTAGCTTGCTCTGTTGTCCTCACTTGCAGATAAATGGCCTACCATCACCATGAGTCTAAGCCTAACTTTTACAAGATACTTTTTCCAGTATTGGAATACTAAGTTATATGGTGCCTTCTGTTAAATAGTAACTTGTTATCCTTATCATTATCAGCTACCATCTTCATTCAAATTTGATCCTTTTTTAAAAGATACTGGTACTTCTTCATTTGTTCATTGATAACCCCTATTTGACATTAATCTCCTTGATCCTTACTACTTTGACTTAGTCAAAAACTGGGTAAAACTGATTCAAAAGAATCTACTAAAATACCTAGAATTGTCAAATCTATAGCAGCATGATTGGGTGCCTGTGATTTTTAAATTATTCCTGATTCTATCCTAGGCACAACAGACTTCTAAGTTCTTCTTCTTACCTGCTTTAGAAGCTTAACTATGTTAAGGTCGTGGAGGGAAATAAATCTTTTCTTAAAATTTCAATCAAATTTTCAACAATAACATATTAATATACAGTTAGATCCAATGTTTATACTTATAGATGAAATGAAAATATGAATCAAATGTGATATTTTCGATAATCTAAATGAGAAAAGTGAGTTTTGTTAATAAATGGTAGACTGCACTACATGAATTTGTTTAGTAGATCTACAGACTGAGAACCTTTCCTTTTACTTTTTAGTCTTTCACAGCGGAAACAGGTCCACTTTACTTTTGCCTTATAGAAAACTATTCCAAAAGCCTCCGTTACAATGATCAAGTCAGAGACAGCATTTTAAAGAAAACTTTCTCTTTGAAGGTAAAATCTCAATATCATTACCTTTCCAAATTTACTAAATCAGCACTACACTGGCCTTGCTCTGACAATCTTTATTTATGCAGAGTACTGTGTATTGTTACTTTATTATAAAGACCGGTGGCATTGTCCTTCGGACTGGCAATGTGCATAAATAATTCACAATTAATTTTTCCAGACGTTTATTGCAATGTAACTCAATAGAACAAATGACTGGGAAAGCGAGATTATATAAAGGTGAAGGTCAGATCAATCTAAGGACAAATTTCGAGAATATCCAGGCGCTTGAAAAATGTATGTATAAATGTATAAAACACATGTGTCAAATCTGTGAGTCGTGATCTTACAAGTAATGAAGAATGAAACAGGCTGTTGCAAATAATATGTAGAATGAAACATTCTATTTCCGCGGGGAATATCTGTAATAATTCTTCGATTCGGATTTACCGGAAACAGGATATATGACTAGTTGATCAAGCAAAAACAAAACACGTGCAATTTGCATGATATTTGACCTAAGCCTCTTTTTGGAGTCAAATTTAAATAGAGTAATCTGGAGTTATGGTACTTGTTGCAAAGCGGAACTTTGTGTGCATGATGGCTATAAATAATGGACGTCATTGTTTTTGTGTCTAGGAGTAGGCTATATAAAATATATATCTGAACAGTAAATCAATTGAAAAAATGTAATGAAAAGAAATGGGGAAAGGGCGTTGGTGTTGGGGGCGTTGATCTGGAAGGGATATAAGATTAATGGGAAGTGGCGTAATTGAAAAGGGCGAAATGGGAATATATATTGGCGATATGGGAATAAACCGTAGGCCCCTAGAGTTTCAATGATTAAAGGAATGCTACCTATTGGAATTTGAAGCCCCAAACTCGGGCAATAAGAGTAGGCCTATTCATCAGTGGGACTAACCAGGTGTCAGAACTATAGTCAACGAAATATTTACTTCACCAATTAATTTATTTGACTTATTTTCGGCTATCCGAATGAATTGTATAGGCTACAAAGATTAATTATTGTATGTTTTGAAATAATTGTAGGCTAATTATGAAAATTTTAGAGCGAATTACCTCCCTTAAAATCTGAAAACTGGTAACAACTATACAACTATACATGTTTGGGTAGAGCTTTTACATTTTCAGCTCACTTCTTCGTAAGAGATGAAAAAAGTCTGACAACCGACCCATTTCATTAATGCACCTAAACACCATATCCCATTGTTCTTTCGTATAATAGCCTATTACTTACCTACGGACCTGCATTTTAATTTTGTTCCTTATGGCCGTGCGCGCTGGACCCCCTTAATAATACCGCACCTCAATTCAAATCTTTCATCTTGATTTCTTCCACCCCAAAGCTTCGAACTGAAAACTGGCTGCTGTTTATCACATAATATCATAAAGATTATCAAATCTGCTATATCTTTCATGAAGACTTTGTTGGCAGTCTTTGTGCATTCGATGTTTGGCACCTTCAGTGTATGATGTGTATCGGTTTCATCATTAAATGCTGAAGAAATTTTCTATATTATTTGTTCCAATATTGATAAACAAGAGAATGACCGGCACGAACTTAGTTAGGATATAAATAATCTACTATCGAAAGTAGATCAAGCATGTGTTATGTAGACCTATTGAGATTATCTATAAAACTTAGTAGATATAGGTAATATTAAGTAGCAAGCTACTACAGTTTGTCCTAAACCGCCCTTCTTTAGTAGAGATTCAATTCTGTATTATAACAAACAATATTGTACTTTACCTGAAAGTTTTCAATTTGAAAAATGGTGTGGTTGTCGACAACTTTTCTAGCTTTCAATATTTGTCTCAAGCAGAACATCCGTATCAAAGGGTGATATTAATGCCATTGTGACGTAATAAGAATAGTTATTAATATAACTTTGACCGTTTGTTAACTTCCGGTTTAAATGCCATATTACAGAAGAGAGACTAACCAAGTAGTAAGTCAGTCCAAAGATTTCCGATCATCACCTTCATCAAAAACATCTTCCTTAACCAACGGCGTACGACATTAGAGGAAAATAACAAAAATTTATAGCCTGAGTCTAATTTCGCCCTCTTCAAGTATTAATTTGTATTTGAAAACCAAATGGATTGGAACATGGCATTGGCATATTAAAAAAACTACAAATAGACGAAAATGGCAAATATTTATAGCGTGGTCCACTTTTATTTGGCCCTTTTCTTTTACACTTTTACGAAGTAGGCTCACGAACACATAGCTATTTGTATAAGTGACTGATGGGCTAAGACCTTTGAATGTGTAAGAAAGTAGCATAATTCGAAAGGTTTTATCGCGGTATAAACCCTCGAACAAGAAACGAATACAAATCAGGCGTATAAAGAGATATATGCCATGATTCTCTGTTCCGCTTTGTCGGCCTGGCAGTCAGACATCCAAATGTAGACTTGTGTGACAGAAAGAATCTGCTTTGCCTTACGATTTCCCAAAATACAACCTGGTATGGTAATGATAAATTTTCATATCAAACACACCAGAATTGATATGCAAGTGATTATGGCCTGTATATATCTTACAGGGAAGATATTCAAAATCAAGACGTACAAGTAAACGAAATGTTGTCAACTTATGACACTAATAGTTAACTAAAGTACTAATACACAATAAAGATTTCTTCCTGACATAGCCGTATGTTAGTTCCCAGACAAGCCCCAGAACTAAGCAGATAAGATAAAAAGAAAACAAAAAAAAAACTATAAAATTCCAAGACACTGACACTCTTTAGTAGAATTTTTTTTTCACTCATAAATTAAAGATGAAAGTTCTTGGTAAGTATACTAGTTCAAAAAAAAATTTAACAAAAAATAATAATATCACTTTATTTGAATTTGGAAGGTTTTGAAGTGAACAAATAGTTGTCAGAGTGGAAGATCTTGGAAAATTGCTTGAGCATGGTGACCTATAGTCCGAGACACCCTGGTACTGTATATGGTATAGGGATGATGCATTTATCTCTTGATCTCCCCAAGGGCAAGCTTTCTCAATCGTCTGTCGTTCATTGTTCTGACAAGGTTAAATACATTTAATTTGTATTTACAGCCCTTATAGTAATCCTCGGCTTCTGTGCTGTTTACGCCAACCAGGAAGAAAAAAGGCAGCTTGGTATCGCCTCATTAGCTCCCTTGATAGGTAAAGCTATTGGTGTTGACAAGTTGGTCGGAAGTATCGTATCAGGAGTAACATCTTTATTTAAAGGCAAATCTGGTGATGTGAGTATTGTATTTGTAATGACATTCTGTTATTAAATAAAAATCCAGTTTATCAAAACTTCATGTAAAGCATCGCAAAATCGAAAGTAAAGGTTGTATTATAGTGGCCACCTCCAAAGGGAAGTACCACCGAACAGTTGTTTCGAAAAGTGTTCGTGTGCTTCACGAGCAACACCTTCCAGTATCATATAGGTCAACATCGTTAGATACAACCAGATCAATTTATGCCCGACCAAACAAATCAGCCAAAATGCCAGAAATAGTTTTGTGATATGTCTCTGAGAGTTTGCGCGAAGCCTAAGGTGGATTAAAAGGCTGCAATTGAAAGCTGTGCTCGTGGTATCAGTTCCACAAATGGCTTTACCACAGGATAAGTCAATTATTAGGATGTAAAATAATCTCGGACAAGTCAGCAAAAAGTCACTTATATTCTTTCAAATATTTTCCTGATTATTCTTTACAGATCACCATTCCCAAAACAAACATCAAGCTTCACTACAAAGTTGACAAATGTCACGTCCATGTTGGCAAGAGATTCATTATTGGTCACCTTGTCTCAGGTAAATAAAATAAGAACATCACAAAGCTCTCCAAACCATTCTATTGAATCAGTCATTGCGCCAAACTTATTCATGTGTATAATGGATTTTGTGAAGAAGAAGAAATTTTGGCGCAATGGTGTCAAGGGTTCCAATCTTTCTAACTGTGATTTACATATTGTAAGGGATTTCCCCTACCAAAATACAACATTAAAACGTGTATCCTCCGAATGAATCTAATTAATAATTCCGGCGCAATGTTTTCGGGTATTTCCGATAGTGATCACTAGCGTCAACCACCATTATTGCGAGACACCTTCAGAAGATCTTCATGTTTATTTTGTTATATTATTTATTTGCATCGAATAACGAGACAAATTTTATTTTCCAGAAAAATGCAAAGCTACCGTCAGTGAAAGCGCCATCAGCAAAACTTCCTCAAGCTGTACTACTGGACATCAAGAAAGTGCTTTGAAATGTGCCATGGATGCCGAAGTCAAGAAGCTCCAAGCCTTGGCTAACACCGCCTAAATAAACATTTTTTTAAAATCATTATTATTATTTTTCATGTGGTTTGACATTCGCATGAACATGCAGATATGAGATTTCTAAATCTTAAAGTATATATTGTCTATTACTGTTTAAACAGATCCACTATCCAGAACTAAGATCAGATCATACAAAACTTGGCCGTCTTCCTTACAAATTCTGTCATGTAACACATATAACTTTACCTGATCTGTATATCGGTGATATTACTATCGATAGGTATTATACTGACTTTTTCTTGTGAGCAGACGGACGATATCTAGATGGGCGTATGTCCCACAAAAAGGCTTAGTCTATAATCTCAATACAAGAAAGTTAAACTGGGAGACGGATGTGTCGTTTCACTTTTAACTCACCGTCGTGTTTAGGCAACCTCTCTCATCAGCAATCCCCATTTTTCCCCCTTTTTTTCAATTGAAAGAATTATATAAAAATTATGTATCTCACCGACATGGTTCTGCAAATTTTAGAAACGAACCAATCATGTTCACACATTAAGGCTGCGTCCTTGTGATGTGTTGTGATTGCTGACTATTGATGTCTCTTCGGATACTCTACGGTACCTTCAATGCAACGTTTCTATGATAATGCACCAAATACATTTTTCACCAGCGTGTAAATATAATGTAATTCATTCAAGACGTAAAAACGGTATGTCGCACGTTGTCAGCACTGCTGCACTGCTGATAGTGAACAAACTATGCATGTAGACATAACCGTGTGTTTGTTCTCAGACAAGCCCAAAACAGATAAGATATTGCAGAAACTATAAAATGATTCTAATACATCGACCCCCTTCAGTAGAAATTGTTTCACTCATAAAATAAAGATGAAAGTTATTGGTAAGTACAGCATATATCGCGTCTATATTCCTGATATTGAAGATATGCAAAGTCGGACAAACTCACGTGCTTAGTGCTTTTTTCCGATAAATTCTCTACAAATTTGGCAAAAATAATCATTTTTATACGCCCAGACGTAAGATGGGCGTATATTGTAATCACGTTCACATTTGGCTCGTGCTCACTCTACAGGCTACAGTTCTTTATGGATTCTTTTGATTTTTATTTTGTGTGTCAATGTCATTATGAAGATGATCCCTATTGATTTTCGTGATGATCGGATAATTTTTCACCAAAATATCGTGTCTGACTTGACGTTTTTCTCTATTAGCTATATTGTGCAACTCGTGCTCACTCTACAGGCTACAATTTTTTACAGATTCTTTTGATTTTTATTTTGTGTGTCAATGTCATTATGAAGATGATCCCTATTGATTTTCGTGATGATCGGATAATTTTTCACCGAAATATCGTGTCTGACTTGACGTTTTTCTCTATTAGCTATATTGTGCAACTCGTGCTCACTCTACAGGCTACAATTTTTTACAGATTCTTTTGATTTTTATTTTGTATGTCTATGTCGTTATGAAGATGATCCCTATTGATTTTCATGATGATCTATCGATTTTCATGATGATCGGATAATTTTTCACCGAAATATCGTGTCTGACCTGACGTTTTACTCTATTAGCTATATTGTGCAACTCGTGCTCACTCTACAGGCTACAATTCTTTACAGATTCTTTTGATTTTTATTTTGTATGTCAATGTCATTATGAAGATAATCGATTTTCGCGATGATCGGATAATATTTCACCGAAATATCGTGTCTGACTTGACGTTTCACTCTATTAGCTATATTGTGCAACCCTGTAGTCACTAAAGACTGTTTAATCATTTCTGACAGCTGCCAGTGGGCGTATGTTACCTTGCCTGGCAAGCTATCTTTGAATTTAGTGACGATTCGCACAGAAACGACATTAACGACGGTGTCTATTCATCCGAACATTTCGCTTACTTTACTAATTCATGTTTCAATAAATCTGTTGGTCGACATTTATTTGAAGGGATAGTGTCGGTTAAACATTTATAACATAATAATCAGTTTCAGCAGCACACCTTCTTTTCAGAATAAGAAGTCTATTCCGGTTGTCCTACAATGTTACAAAAACAAACCGTACAAATTAAGATTATCTGAAAAGTGTTATAGATAGTTTTAATAGCACCGTTCGTATCCCTTTGAATTTTTGACCAAACACATAATTGTCGTTTTACAGCCCTGATAGTAATCCTCGGCTTCTGTGCTGTTTACGCCAACCAGGAAGAAAAAAGGCAGCTTGGTATTGCTGCCTCATTAGCTCCCTTGATAGGTAAAGCTATTGGTGTTGACAAGTTGGTCGGAAGTATCGTAACAGGAGTAACATCTTTATTTAAAGGCAAATCTGGTGATGTGAGTATTGAAATGTGGTGGTGGTGGATCAAAAATCTATAGCTTGTCAACACAAAAGTTCTCGTTATAGTCGGGCGCCATTGAAAAAGCGTAACAATTGTTGAGGCATCTCTTACCGGCTCCCTATTTAATGGATGGCTGGTTGTAATACAAATATGCTGATTATATAATTCTGATTACATCATCTTGACATGATAGAGATGATAGTCCTATTTAAGTTCTGAAAACGTTTACGTATAGATCGTCCGAAGTTGTAAGTTATTATTGTTTTTACAGATCACCATTCCCAACACACAAATCAAGCTTCACTACCAAGTTGACAAATGTCACGTCAAATTTGGCAAGAGATTCATCATTGGTCACCTTGTCAGAGGTAACACAAATATTCTCAATCCATTCCATCTAAACCAAAGGCAGTTTGGCATAAGAAAACTACCATTGTGACAGACATGCAATATTATGATTTGTGTGCGCCATGGTGGATGTGGGGAAAGCTAAAGAAGAAACTGCAGCACAGTGCTAAAATTTTATTTGAATTTTCTAAAGGGTTTACATTTAGAAAGATGCAGGTCAGCATGTTTTTGACCTAAAGGTCATCGAAGCCCTGCAGCAAGGTGAGCTCCATCTTCGCAATGTCAAGCTATTACGAACTGCGACTATACCTACTTATGTATCACGGAATGCAACGATTTGATTGGGTTGATCGCCAGCGAATACAGTCAATCAGAACATTCGACCAATGACTGGTTTACAGTCTTTCAGTTCGCAAACGAACAATCATATCAATTTGCTGCATTAACAAACTGCAGTGATACAAAAAGGTGGCTATTGCAGCCACGGTATACGACGCAGTTTGACATTGTGAAGAGCTGCAGTAATAAAAAGCATTGATGAAATATTTGGCAATATCTTATATATTTCTTATTTGGATAAAACATGTTTTTTTTTTCAGAAAAATGCAAAGCTACCGTTAGTGAAAACGCCATCAGTAAAACTTCTTCAAGTTGCACAGAAAGTCATCAAGAAAGTGCTTTGAAATGTGCCATGGATGCTGAAGTCAAGAAACTCCAAGCCTTGGCAAACACCGCCTAAATAAATGATTAATAAATTTTTTAATTACAAATCAATGATTTGGGTTCTTTGTATAATCATAGATCTGTGCAAAGATGTGCAGCAAAATTCTGATTTCCAAACCTCCAAAATTCACCGACATTTCCGGACCCCCTTTTGAACAACCTTTCAAACAGACCTTAAGATTATTTATGTTATTCATTGTGGGCCTGGGTGTATGAATCTTTACCACTTCTATCAATAATAGCTATCACTTCTCCGTACCAAATTTGAAAAAAGACGTATGGATCTGCAATGGAGGTTAGCAGTCTTTAGTATCGAGAATATCGATGGATTAAGGATGTAATTATTCTTGTTTACTCTTGAGAACTTCGAAGGATTGTAAAGAGATTTTCTAAACTTTTTATGTATATCGGGGTGCCACTGATTACATAGATTTACAACATCACAATTTTCAGTCCTTTTATGGCGAAGCTATATTGCAAAGGTCTTTAGCAGCTTAAACGAACAGTTTCATGACGTAGTTATCGCAAAGGCACTTTGAATCTTAGATACCATTAGTAGGTTTTAAGTTAGTGTCGTCATATCGTTCAACTTTACTATAATAACAGGAACTTAAGACGTTGGAAAAGTGAAAATAAAAGCCATAAATGAGCCCGATACACAAAAAGGGGTACAATCTCTTTACAGCGTTCTACACTGAAACAAATTACAGTTGCCACGCCTTTAAAGGATATACTTCAAGAATGAACAATTTTCACCATTCAAATATAAATAGCCTGCACTTGACAACCATAGAACAGTCATAGTCAATAAGTCAGACATTGTATATAAGAATAATTTATCAAGTTTTTCCTATTTCTGTTAACTTATTATTAAACTATTACCAATGAAAGGCAATATATAGGTTTTTATCTAGGAACACGTGATTTGGTCATAAGACTTTGAGGTAAAGTTAAATAAATGCTATCTCTGACGATGTTACTATAAATATATTCCCTTAGTGTTTGATAACAGAACAGTTTTGAAAAGTCCACAGGTAATACTATTTTTTCGTATTTAGTATTATTATATGATGTATATGTATCTCAAATTCAAACTTCAAACATTTTTATTGAAACTAAGAATAAAATGTACTATAATAATGTTTGTTCATTCTATAAAATTTGAACAGTGCGATAAAAAAAGGACAATAACGGTCATTGGATATCGTCATAGTGGAATAATTGGGTCTTCTAGGACTCTTACACGATTCAGTATGTGTTTAATTTTTGAAATTTGAAAATTTTTGTGCTTGTGTACTGCAATCGTTTACAATCTTATCCACACCTTATAAATATTATACCTCATCAATACGTTTTGCCTCATATTGTCCTCGCAACAAACAACAACTAGATTGCAAACGTGGTCACAAAACCATATACAGCAGGAGTGTTTCCAGAAATATTTGGTTTTAATTGAAAGTTTAGCCGATATTGGTTGATTAGACAATTATCTATGCGTATCTCAAATCCTTTTTCCTTCTATTTCAGTATGAGTAAATCAGGACACCCTCCATCTTCCAAGGATGGAAACCCAGTTTATCCCCACCCAGATCAACAACAACAACAACAACAACAACAACAAAATCATGGTCAACAACAGCCAGCTTCCAATATCAGTTTTATTCAACCAATGCAACAACCAGCATATGTACCAAATACGACTGTCATGGTTGGGGCACCTCACATAACGCGACAGGCTCATGTAGTAGTTACCCCTATCAAAGCTCAAGAGAAATCTATAGTTGATGCTTATGTTCTTTGCATCGCATTGGGAGTCATTGGTGCTCATCACCTGTATCTAAGAAGACCATGGTTCTTTGTGGCATATTTCTGTACCTTCGGACTGCTTGGTGTTGGTTGGATCGTGGACATCTGTAGAATACCATGTCTTGTCAAGGAAGCTAATGCCCGCATAAGAGATGCTTCAAGAGAGAAAAGAAAGCAAAAAGTTGATGCTTATTTATTGTGGTTTCCATTTGGCATTTTGGGTAAGTAGCCTACCCTACTGGTACATAGCAAATCATTTTTGCAAGTTTTCGACTTATCTGTTATATTCCTTGATATGAAATGAGTACACTTTCTGGACCAGCAGATTGAAAGCTTTGGTCATCTAAACGGTGATACGTACATTAAATCTGTCTTAAGAATCCATTTATCTAATTTTTTCAGGTTTCCATTTGTTCTACCTCAACAGACCTGCACAGGGGCTTCTGTATTTCTTCACGTTCGGTCTGTGTGGAATTGGTTGGTTGGTCGATTTATTCCGTATACCCCATATGGTCAATGATTGTAACAGTGAAGTTAAAGTTTACGAACCTCATTCCATGTTTGCCAGCTATGTCTTATGTGTATCGCCATTTGGAATATTAGGACTTCACCATTACTATCTGAACAGACCTATTTGGGGTATTCTATACACTTTCACGTTTGGTTTATTGGGAGTTGGATGGGTTGTTGATTGGTTTAGATGTTACCATTTAGTAATACGAGCAAGAGAAGAAGGCAATGGAAAAAGAGACGAAAGCTTGAAGTACATTGATGATATGTACGTATTATGGTTCCCATTGGGTTGGCTTGGCTTTCACCATTTCTATCTACGACGTTATCTCTGGGGTTTCTTGTACTTCTTTACATTTGGTTTATTTGGCATTGGCTGGTTGATAGATTTCTGCAGATTACCTTGCATGGTAAAGGAATTCAACAAACATATGCTTGAAAATAAAGAACTTGTGAAGCAGACACAACAGCACTTTAATGGTCAAGTGAATTCAAGAACTTCTGGAGATTCTCTTGTTACACCTAACATCACTCCAGGACCAGGTCAACCTCAGATGTACAACTACGGTGCCACCGCACCACCACCACAGGGAGCTTATGTGCAGCCAGGAATGCCTTACCCACCATACCAGTATTCACACCAACATTTACCAAATGTTACGATTGTACAGTCCCAATATGGCTATCCAGGCCCAGCTCCATTTCAACCACAAGTTCATCCAGGACAACCAGGTACGCTTGCTATAATACTTTTAATAGCATGTAGTATGTTTCAAACGCCTATTACACACTGAATCGTCAACACTTTCAGTCTTATGAAGGGTTGTCTTGTAAATTTTATCCGAAGTATGGATACAAAAGGGCTTATTTGTGGAGGGCTTAGACATTTTTTTAATTGTGGCCCCACATTTTATCTACGTCTTGCTATGGTATACTGTTATATACTAGACATTGCATGAAATGTCAACTTGGTTACAGATACTTCCACAGGTCTCCACAATTCTCAATCTTCATAAAATGGATGTGTTGTTTTACTATTTTAAAATTTATCTTCAAGCTTATCTCTTTTTAGTAATGGTTGTCTCCTTTAATCTTGAAATAGAGTAACTTATTCTGAAATAGTGCCTCCCTTGAACGTTACATTAGCTCTCTGGATGTTTAAATATTTATTGAAATATTACTTTTCAGGAATGCATTACCAACAGCAGAATGGTGTATATCAGCCACCTTCATATGAAGAAGCAACTCATGATGACAATACGGAAACCAAAGAATCCAGATCAAATTAAGAGAGATCCGTTTAATATTTTTTAACTTGCCACCCAAAATTTCAAGGATAGCTGTAACGATTTATGATTTTAATAGACAACGTATGATATTTGTCGTACTCATATCATTTTCAAAGGAAAAGTTTATAAAGTTTTATCATTTGGTATATTGTGTAGACCTATGTGTACAATAGCTATTGAAAAGTTTTGCCAACAGCAAGAAATTGTGTATATATCTGCAGTTCTCCGTACTAAAGTCATAAGTGTCCATTCTTATAAGAACAACATTTATACCGGTGACAACCATATTTTTTTTTACCTGATATCGCTTGAATGGTGAATATAATATTTGTATGTGTTTATATTTATAGGGAAATATAATGCTCTAACGAACATGACACTTCATATTGTCGTCGTTCATGCTTTTCTGATCTTCAATTTTCTCGTAAGCATTAAGATATTTAGAAAAATAATGAAATTATTGTATTGTTATGATGACTTGTGTCATCGTAGTACACTATTATGAGCCTCACAAAAAAAAATGTGCGACTTTCAAACAAGGCTGATAAACAAGGCAGGTCATGTGATTTTCCGTGGCACTGGCGTATTGTTCGAGCTAAATGTTCGTCGTCTGCGGAATTATGTTTGTCGTCTGCGGATAACGGTAAACAAATATATTTGTTCGAAATGTTCCTCGTCTGCGTTGGGCTTTAATGACACAGATGTATATTGTATGCACTTTACAAGTGACCGTCAATTCATTTATCCGTAAAATTGTTTCTGTTGTAATTAAAGTATTATATATTCATTTTGACATTTTCTATTTGAGTTCATGTTCGCCTATGATCCACTATTCTCGTTTACATCTGTTAGAAATTGTGAACAGGTAGGTGACGGCAAGTAACACGATTGGGGAGTATTATCACCATTAGCTTACTATTTGGGGTGGGGCCGTAGGAAAGTATTTTGACCGAGTGTCGAAAGCTGTCAGTCCTATCCTGTGTAGGCTGTTTCTACCCGTTGGTGGCAAAACATGCCATTGATTTCAGGAGCAATATGAGGTGTAGAGAGTGGGGATAAGATACAAAAGATTAGTTTGTTATTAGTATAAATATTGGTTTCTGTCAATGAACAAAAGCTTTTTATGTATTAATTTTCCTTTATAAATTCTATCAGAGAGCTGTTTGGCTGACTAACTACTTTCGTACCGTTTCATTTCTGTCCTAAACATCTTGTGTTTTTTATCCCCCATATAGTGTTTAGTTCAAACGATATTTGTTTATATATTATGTTACAACTACCTTTAGGGTTTCGAAAATGAGTTCGAATGTAGTCTGTGGAGATATTAACTGTAGTTCTCTCCCTTCCATAACAGTAACATTTTTGCACTTGCACAAACAGACACATTGGTTATTGAACCTATTGTGAACAACTGCGCTTAAGAGGAATTGAACATCTGCTGCAATTCTTAAAAAAATATATATTTTTCCGTAGCCCACAATGAATGATGTTTTCTGTATTCTTCAATATTCTCGAAATTGATTAATTGTTTGTTTCATTACACAAATTAGAGTTTAGCTAGGGTCAGATGGATTAAAAAATTTAATTTGCAATTTGTTTCGACGTAATGAGTTGAATTTAAAATTACAACACACACAATGAATATGCCAATATAAATTAGTGCGTGAATATTTATTGCTGTCAATCCATATCATGGCCACAGCTTATTTAACTCATTATATTGTTTTTCAAGTTTTCAAAAATCGATTCAGCCCATTTATATAATTGTCTATGCTAAAATTTTAGATTCGTGCAGCTTACTTGTGGCTTATTTTTAAAAAAAATCAGTAAGTGCGTGATCAAATAATTATTTTTACTGTGTATCTAGTGACATGACATACTTTTACATAAACAACCACTTGTGAACTGTCAAAACTCAGCTGCCTATCACGTGATATAAACATAGCCACGCGCTGTCAATTCCTTATAAGGAGGTGACGCTCATTGAATATTAATATTAGGTCTATTTTAAGTAACACGTTGCTACACGACAGCCAATCAGAATCAAAGTTCAGAACATAAACAAAGAAATGACGTCACAGTAGTGCAGATTTGTTGGGTTCAAGTCTTTCTCAGCTGATAGTTTGACAGCTCTGTAAAATTTTCCTTATACAATAATTAAAGGCAACGCAGTTTTTTAATCTACAAGTTTTTTTGTTAATCTACTTCGTAAACAACCAGTCTGTCTGGTAAGTACCATCGCATTGATAGTTTTCTTACTTGAAATTGGATTGGAAAATTTTGATATTTTGTTGTTGTTATGAGAAAAGATTCGCCATTTTCCTATGTTTTGTTCAACTGTCACATAAATTTTTTCGTCAAACAAAATGGAAACACTTGCTTTTCGAACTGCCTTGGGTGTAATACGACCGTTTAATGGTTCTTAGACCTTTTTCAATGAATTAACCTTGCAAAGTTTTGTAGAAAATGGAAATATTTGCAGTTGAATGTCAGCTGACGCTATGAAGGTCATGTTTATTTTTAGAAACAAGGCTGACGAGAAAAAATTATCAATAAAAATAAACGCCTCGATCTAGCGCTGATTTAACTCTATATTTATATGAAACCCATTTAGATTTGGTGTTTGTTTCAAAATTTGTTATTCAATAATTGTATTTTGAATGTAAGTCGTCTATATCAGGGTGTGTAAAAGGTCTAACATTTGCCCGAATAATTGATGAATTGCGCAGGAAAGTTCTGGTTCAGTGGTCAGTGTCAGAGAAAGCTGTGTTGTCATGGAGGTCAGAATTGACATAGTCAATTTATAGATTTGACTCAATGATTATATTACATTTTATTGTAAAAATACTGGATACTAGATCTAATTCTAAACATTTAAGATTGTTATTATTTGACATGCCAGAGGCGAAAGTTTAGAAGACCTTGATACTAGATGGAATAAAGGCATTTATTGAAAAATGAATATATTTTTTTGATTTGTACATTTTTCATTATTTCACTATTGATCAGATTTTTGATATAAGTTTACCCCTAAGCTTACACATGTGAAAAATTTCAAATAAAAATTTTTTTTAATGTTCATGGAATATTAATTCTTCATCACTCTTAGCCAAATCACTTTGCAAATTAATTAGAATATTTTGATGACAGACAAACTGGTTGGGTGGCTGATCTAGGATTCTTGTTCTCTACATTACAGAAGATCATGAAAAGTTGAAGGTTGTTTGATGGATTTTTTTGTAAATATATTTGCTTGTGGTGATTGACCGTAATGATATCATGTAATTTGCCTAATCAGTAAAATGAGAGATATTGTCAATTTGCCAAATTGTGAGTGTAATGTTCGTAGGAACCAGTTTAAAGGGAAAAGAAATGATCCTGTAATTAATGGCAGTGATATATCTGAAAATATCAGAAGTGTTTATAGCTTGTTAAAGAGTTAACTTACTTTCATTGAGTAGGATTTTTTTTGGGGGGGGGGGGGGGGGGGGGGTATAGCTTTAAGGTTGCATTCATTGAACACTTAGGATTATCAAATAAAAATAATTATAATCAACCTAAACAATCTCACTTATCCATTTTGTCTGCCTTAAAACCTTTTCAGACCCTTTAAATAGACATGGTGGGAGGGAGTTGATAATGAAAGAATTAGCAAGGACTTGTTGTTTTTCTCTAGTTTTCACCAACTGTTAAACTGTTTATAAATATCAAGGTTGATAGCTATAAAGCTGATACATTTTGTGTGGCTGCCAACAACCTGTTACAGCACCATGATGACCTGTACAATGATAAACTACTATAGGGTTAATTATATACAGTGATTAGTGATAATTATTAATGAGTCAAGATAGATAAGTTTTATATCACATGCTTAAAGGGATAAGGAAGAGGTTTCCTGGCCTGTTAATTTGGGTTACTTTTAACATTAATCGTACTACTTCCATACCCTTTTAGATCTGTCCATTCTAATGTCTCTGTCCTATAAACAATTATAATCCAAACAGTTTTTGACATCTTGTAAAAGTTCTCTCAACATAAGCTTATATATCAGAATAGAGAAAGTTGAAACTAAAAGAGTGGCATATGCACATATTTAAAGCCAGGTAATTTATTTTGAATACCTCTTAAGTAATTGCAAGGCATTTTTTTTCTCTGTGGGCTTTTAAAAAGACAAATATGTAAAAAAAAATCCAGTTGTTATATATTGAAACCAATATAAAGATCAAATATAATAGTTGGATATGCAGTTTATGTTGGCTGCTTTATTTTGAATATTTAATTATGTTGTGTGTGGAAAGGGACAACTTATATTAAATTCCTGCCTTTATTCATGTGTTTTTGAGTTGTTTTGTCCACCACATTGTTGATCACATAATGTCAATTGGTTTAATTAAAGATGTCAACTGTAGGGGGTCCACAAGTCGTCTATACTGCCAGATTGTTGTAAGAAAGTCAATCCATAAATTGTGATGGAAACAAACCTCGAACAAAGACAGAGAGTGAGACCATATCTCAATTAAAATGCAACAAAAGATCTACTTACTATTGATTTTTGTTTGTATGGCCATACTGGTGTGAAGATAACATATTTCAGATTATATTTAATTAAAATCTAAGATCCTTATCATTGATGAAACCATGGCATCTTCTTTCAATGGATCAGAATTCCAAGAAAAAATATTTGTGGCTAGAATCATTTGAAAAGATAAAGAAAGCAATAATCATGTTTATTGTGAAAATACAGGAGCTCTAAGTTTATAGTGTTCACTATTCTGGCCTATTTAAGAATTATTATGGCTTACAATAAGATTACAATGTGCATCATTATGCAAATTATTTACTTTTGGTATCAAATACTAGAAAAGGATCTGTTACTAGGTCATAAACATTGGTCAATGTCCAACCTAGTGCAGTATAATATTGATCTTATAAAGAATGGGGTTAGCTAGTTGATCACTTTTCCTTCTCTCTCCAGCTATTGATTTTCCCTGCCTACTGGCTAAATTCTTGCCTCCATTTATGTCAATAACACTTTTTCTTTTAACCTAAATCTAATGTTCACCATAAAATTTTCCATTCTCAAACAAACAAGGTTGTCAATATCTGCATTCAAAAGGCCCCCTTTTTGTTTGGAAATTGATATAATCTTTGCATTGCATTGCACGTTATTATGCCAATTATGATTTCATAAGTGACTAAATTTCTTCAATGGGGATAGAAGGGAGATGTTAGAAATAATATTAAATAACAACTGGTAAAACAGATTTATAACATATCCCTAGGTTAAGAAAACTAGTTGAGACCCTGAATTGACTGAGGTTTTACTTAATTACCATCATTTCTGATACATACTTTAATGATATTAATAAGATAGTTATGAAGAAAATATTTCTGTGTTCTGCCAAGACTTTAGGAATCATTAGGAATCTTATATATGGGATGGTGGAGGTTTCTAATCTTTTGTGTTTTTGTCAGTAACTGTTTACTGGTATTTTTTGCCTGCAACAATGGCCCTTAAAAATTTTGTGCCATCGGGTTTTGTTACCACAGTACAAGAGTCATTATAATCCTTTATAATAAGTAAGGTCATGCAAGTCAGTTGACATTGAGCCTTTAGTACTAACAGCTTCATAACTAGATTAGATTTCCACTGAATCACACAGCTTTGGCGGATCGATATGGTTTTTTTTTTAGGATCTGTTAAGTTCAAGTTCTCCTACTCTTCAATATTTCAACTTTATTCATAACTTGATACTTTACTTAACCCTTTGCAATCTGATTACATAAAACTCAAAGTGTTTTAACTTGGCAGTCAGAGACGAAATATATCATATGTAAGTGGTATACTTTGTAACTTGTAATGTGAGCATTAAATATATTACAAGCTTACATAAAACAGATTAATATAGTCGTTATTCCAGTTAATATTCTCATATTCATATTATGATGTGTTATTTCATAACACAAAGCTTTTCTAGTCAGAAATGTAAAAAAAAAGCACCAACATCCAAGAAAAATGGGACCTACATAAAGGGGTAGTATGATATTTTCCTAAAGGGAATTTTTTTTGGCTCAATTCTATAAAAACTATAAACCAAAATAAAGAGAAACATGAAATATCTTAAAGTTTTAACTAAAAAAAAAATGATACCATTAATGTCAAAATGATTTAAAAAGTTTACTTAACTTTTTAAATTTGTCATGCATTTTGAAATGCATAAGCTTACCGTATGGATTACAGCAAAATAAACATAGGGAAATATTTCTCCTATGTAAATTTTGCATACTTCCCTCTAAGGACCCCATTTTAGTGTCTTGGTTTACATAATGTCACAATCCTTAAAGAGTTGTTTTTCATACCTTCAGAAGTGTTAACCTTTGGCTGCCCAATTAATACTTGAGAACATCTGCTTTACCTAATACTTAATAATATACCCTATCACTTCCTATTGTTTGAGATATTATGTAAATGATTGTATTTATGTAGCAGATTGGGTGGTTTAAATATCTTGATAAAGCCTCTGACAATGAAACAAGACTGGTGTCCATTAGGCCTAATTAGGTATTTATCATAAAAATAACAATACCTTGAAGTCACCTTTTGAGCAAATTATATTTCTACAATTTTCTATTTTATTTTATTCTTCCCAGGATTTGGTTCAATAAGCTCTTGTAAGATCTAGTGAACCATTTTCCTTCAGTATTGAAAGGTAAAAGTTTATGAATATCTTTAAAGACCCTTAAAGCCTTTAAATGTTCCAAGGGAAATTCACATACTCTAAGCTCTTAAGTAATAAACTAAAGCATATGATTAACATTTTGTGATGTCACATGGTAATAGCCGGTTCACAGGCAGATAGAATATAATACTCCACATTACTATGTGACCGGTGGAACTGTGCCACTAGTGCAAAAAGGGTCAATACAAAATGTTGGGTATACCACCAACATATCTTCTATCTAAGATGGCCATATTTTTGAAAATTTACATTTTGCTAAGATAAGGTCAGCTAGCTCTTGAAATTGCATTCATTGAAAAATTTGTCATGCATTCTTAACAGGAATTTCAACATCTGGCTTCTGATAATTGGTATTTTGATACTAATTATTGTCATCTCTGTTTGATAATTAAATATCCATGGTGCTTTAATTTTCAATTGTCTATTAGTGTAACATCTCTTTCGCTTGTAATTTTGGGTGAAATCATTTGATTGGTTACTTCTGTCTCAAGGAAGGTTGATTGGTCAATTATTAGCGCTCGAGATATATTAATCCTTACTATAACGAACAGCAGTAGGATAAGGTGGATAAACTTTATACTTGGTGATAATCTCTTAATCTTGGGATTAACAAACATTGCCTGACTGGGGGCTGGAAAGGTTAAGTACCTCAGTTACTACCAACAAAGAACCATTTAAATAGGTAACACTTTATGGATTTGGTCATTGTGTAAGTTGACTTCAGAGGGTGAAACCTCCAGACCTAAACTATAGGAACTCTTGGAAGCTTTTTGGCAACAGTTTCTACAGTCAAATAAGATTGATTTATTTCAAACGGATAATTTTAAAGAAGTAGTAGTGGTAAGAGATATATTTATGTTTTCAAAATAGTTGTCTTAAAGAGTTCATTTGAAGATCTTGACAGATATGGAAAGATATCATTTTAGTTAACCCTCCTGAGTTAGGAGTCCTGACCTTAACACACTTTGTCATAGGACATTTACATACTACTGTTCTGTATTTTTTGTTGTTAATGGAGACATGCAATGTCATGTAACCTGAAACATTTTTCTAGCTCTTATGCTCTCCCAAGGGGCCTTAGCGAATTTTCAAACAAAAATGTATTGAGTGGATATGTGAATTCCTTTTAAATTTTTATTCAAAATATCAACAAAAAACTATAAATTTTGAATGTATTTTATTGTTTTCTCTGAAATTACCATTAATCTTAACAGACTTTTCATTCTTATTATACATCTAAGCATATATTCTGGACTAGAATTGTTAATGCCTTCATATATTCAATATAATGTTATAAGCATATCAAATACAAAATTGTTCAAACATATATTTTTTATACTTATGGGCAAAACATATTTAAAATATCAAAACTCATAAGTTTATTGTATTTTGTTAAATACACCATTGTTACAATTTCTCTGAAATTGCCATTATGCTTTACAGATTTTTTATTCTTATAACTTATCGTAAATCTAAGCATATTCTTGACTAGAATTGTTAGTGCCTTCATATTCAATTCAATGTTTATTAATATCAAATACAATATTGTTCAAGCATATATTTTTTAAATAGGCTGATAAATATTGTATATAATGAATTCTATGACATAATATAATATTGTTATATATGTGGGTTATAAATAAATCTGATGATATTGCTTACTAAGATCTACTATTGTTATTATAATAGCTGACTATATTTCATCATAAATTGAAATTCTTTGACATCATCAATAAATTTAATTTTAACCTGATTTGACCTTATTACATACGGAATGTTTGGAAGAAACAGTTCAATATTTGTATTTTGCATGCAAAATTGTAAGTCAAAGTCTATGTGAGATGAGTTTAAGGCTTTTAAGGTACTTCATGAATCTAAATTGTGCTCTGAGTTGCCCTCATATAACATTTGAATTATGTGAGCTGAATGCAAATTCTTCATTTAAGTTTTTGTTCTGAATATTTTTGAGCTAATAATGGGATAGAGTTGAATTTAATTTGGAGCTTTTAAAGTAGTTTATTAATTTAATCATGCCCTCGAAAAACTAAGTGACTTTTACAGGGACCAGGAATTGAGGTAAATTGGCTGTTTTATAAGCTTACTAATTGTTTAGGACAGTAACAAGTTTAAGCTTGTCTTATAATATATATTTGGTGCTTATATAAATATATATATATTTAAATAAGTTATTACCAAGTTATTACCGGTATCAATTGTTATTATTGCATTTGAATTATTCTAAGCTCAGAATTATGTAAGCTTAAGTTGTTATCAATTTGAACATTTATTTATCATCTTTTTTCAGAAATTAACAAGAATTTTAGATTTTGTAACAGTTTGAAACAGTAACTAACCATGTTGCAAAGTGTCACTGACTTTTTCTTTGGCTCCACTGAAACTGAGTCCACGACCCCTGTAGACCTTAAAACTAAGGAATGTAAGGAGGGATGGATAATCGTTGATGTCAATGGTATGTATTCTAAATCATTATTTGAAATTTTTCGTCTCTTATCTCTTTTCCTAAACTTATTCCTGAATTATTATTGATAAGCTTCCAAGTTGGCCTGCTGGTTAGATAAGTTTTAGCTACCAATAGCACATTTAAGCATGGAAATTGGAAGTCAGGTTCCAAGCTTTAAAGATGGGTTTCTTTAGTTTTTAGTGTCAAATTAAAAACTACATGTATTTCATTAATTGGTGTTGCTAATGAATTATCATGTATTCTTAATCATATCATTATGTTCTTATTGCATATAATTAAAAGTTTTAACCAATCATAAACGTCCATGTATGTAGTCTGGGAAAATAAAGAATATTTTTTGACTTTTCTTGATCGCTCACGAATTAATTATGGATATGTGAGACAAACTGGTATTTTACCAAGTCATTAGAACACCTACTTTCTATTCATATACGTATTAGCATTTTCATTTTCATAAATGAAAATGAGGGAACTTATCTTTAAGAAAGCATACACTTTTTCTTCACAATATTAAAATCTATCCTTTTCTCTTTCATTTCTTGCTTTAATCATTGCTTGCCTTTCTATCCTCTCTGTTCTAGTTTTGTTTGTGTTTTGTTGTTTTAATGACAAATTTGCAGGTTGGATCAAACATATGTTGTCCCTGGATACCTGCAAATTTGACAACCTTTACCCAGTATTCCATGTAAATTAGTTGTTTGTATTGGAATACAGTCTTGACCTGGATTTCCAACTCTATTGGCGGTGATTGTTGTTTCTGTTGAAGGGCAATATTTGTGAACAGCTTTATTTCATCTTTTCTATTCATTTCATTCATTTAATCAATTCATTCATTATATTAATCCTTTAGAAATCTTTTAGTAACATTTTAGTAGTAATAGTTTGTAGTAGACTCCTTTGCTTTATTATACTATTTGCTCTGCTTAAAAGAACACAGTCCTTATTCATTTTAGCAGCTGACAAATTTAAATTTTATGTACCCAAGTAAGCACTCATTGAGAGCTATGGTAGCTACTTTGAATTAATAGAGTTTGCTAAGGGTATCTAAAATTGAGTTTTGGAGTATCAGCTAATGGTAGGCCTACTTTACATGTCATATGCTTTCCTAACATCTGCTACCTTTAGATATATTTAGCTTATCATACGATTTCTTGGTGTGCATTCAAAGTTTAGATTTTTTTTACTTTGCACTCGCTGACTTTTGAAAACAAGATTCAAAAAGTTAATTGAAATTGAAATGAATAGAATAGGAGTGATAATAAAGGTCTAAATTGTTTCATTTTACAGATGAAACCCAACAAGAACAACAATCTACCGCCTCCTCTAAGTTATCTGTTGTCATGGAAACGGATCAGCCAATGTCCGATACTCCAGAAGAGGACAGTAGCTGTCCTTCGGAAACGGAAACAGACTTTGGAGGTTCTCAATCAACATCTCCTGAATCTCATAGCCCAAGTAGTCGGGGACATTTTAAATATCGTGCTAAAGTCAATAATAGTAGTGAAAGTTGGATTGTGACCCCACCCCCATGTTTCGCTGCCAAGAGAAAGGACTCAATCGTTAGTGAGCATCCATTGGAAAATCTATTAATAGAACATCCTAGTATGTCTGTATATAATTCAATCTGTGATAGTACTGTTAGTGAAATTTCTATGGTTTCTTCTGTGTCTTCAGAATCTATGACGGAAGAAGAACCTGTTGCTAGTCGAACCCGTCAGCAAACTCAACAAGAGGAGACCCAACAAGTTGCCAATATTGCCCGTCGTCATCAACACCAATTAGTAGCTCCATCATCAGGTTTAAACGTTGCACTTGATCGAGTGAAGGGTATACGCCAGCATCAACGTAGAACCACTCGATCCTTCAATAGATCTCATTTTGAACGTTCTAACAAATCTCGGGATTTCCAATCCTGTGGCAAGAAACAACGCCAAAGAAATAAGAATTTATGTAAATCTGGTGCTTTAAATGCTCGTTACGGACAAAGGTAAACAGAATATGTAACTAGTTTGAAATAGTTTTAAATATTATGTCCATTTTATTTGTTAAAGTTTACTTTTCCCAAATACCCTTTTTACTGTAGATTGGAATAAAAAATGGCCTTATAACATAGATTAAAGATTCAAAATAAATAATAGGCAGTAAATTTATATTTGAAATTCAGTAGAAAATGTTAAGTTATCATTGGACATAATGTTAAAACAAAATACAAAATTTGTAGTTCGAGTAAGCTTTTATTATTTATTAAAATATTTTTTATTAAATTTAGAATTCTATTATTGCAATTTTTATCGTCTAGCTTAATCCAATGTAGAAAACGAATTTAATAAACAAATTAGTTACTTCTTCAAAACAAACAATGTCATAAATTTTTTAAAGAATTTAATTAATTACAAAAATCGAAGAATAAATTCCTTATTTTTACATGAAATTATTAATTTCTTGCAACGATTAACGAGAGCTACCATAAAAGTACATGTTGCAGCTTGCAGTTATCTGCTTATATTTGTTTTCAAAATAAGTTATTGATATGAAATAGTTAAATTTCTTTTAAAATTTTGTTGTAACTTGTTATTTAAATGTCAATTTTCTATTATAGTTGTTATATTTCTCTGTACTCAATTTTCACAAATTTGCAGGAATAGAAAAATATATAAAAAAAAATGACAAATTTTTGAAAAAAATATCAAAAAAATGTTATATACCCCATGGTTATAGGTTTAACTTGTTTTACAAATGTATGTTACATTTGTATTTTGTAGTACATATTTTCCTTGCAGTTTTAAGATGTATATTTTTATCTTATTTGACTTTTTTTCATCACTGTCATTATTACAAATTGTAAAACCCACTTTTGGAAATTTTTGCATGCAAATATGGCATTTTCCATAAAACATGAGATTATGTGAAGAATCTGTCTCTTGGAAAGTAAACTTCAAACAGAAAGCATCATTTAAAAATGTCAATGTTAAGAACACTCAAACTGAACATTCAGGTGGGAGATTTGTATTTAACTTTTGTATATCATTCAATATGAAATATAAAATTGTGTATATAATAAATTTTTGATCAAGATAAGATATTTTGTAAAGTAAAAAGTGATTAAGTTACATCTATTTATTCCGTCCTGATTTACTCAGCAGGTTATTTCTAAATAAAATTGGAATTTTAAGGCAATGTTAAAAATTAAAGTATTAGAAATTCAATCATAATCATAATGGAATATTTTCAAGTTATTTCATTGGCCAATATTGTGAATAAACCAAAATCAACCAATCAGAGGTTTGTTTTTATTAACTGTAAATGTCTTGCCATTACGATATATCATGGTGCTGAATGATACGAAAATAAAACAAAATTAATGATCATCATTTTATGACCTACTGTCGTCGATATCATATGAAATAAAGAATCAATTATGTTAATGGAAGTATATTTTTATGTGATTTCCTCAATTGAGCTAGTCGAGTCAATCTGAGGGACGCATGACACATTTCATACATTTGGTTGATTGTATTTTCTTTCATCTGTGAGTTAATTTGTTGATGATAGGTCCACAAGAGTATTTTGAAAGATCTTTATATGAATACTTGAATGAAATTATTATGCATACTTATCTACCTCTATATGATATGCTTTTTGAAATATGAACACAGAATTATGAGAATTTTTAATGGCTTGTGAAGTAACTCATCATGAATTATGATATTATTTGCTATCTGATCTTTATTATTTTAACTTCCTCTACCTGTATGTTTAGATCTTATTACAAGCAAAAACATTATGGTGTTAAAAATTGATTGTGTTATTATATTTATGGTTTGTGTTCAATTGAAGTCCCACCATTATAGTGACCCAGTACGGTTCATGCCCTTCATTTATAATGAGCAACATTTTATATTCATAACAACCGCTTTTCTGTAATAACTGAGTTATTAAATTTTGCTGTTCAATATTCTTCTTCAGTGAACAATTTACAAAATTTGCCATTCATTAACTTGTATGAAAATAGGTAATACTGCATGTTCTTATGAATCAAAATGCTCAAATGATATGAAAAGGGCTGGCCCTTCCACATAGTTATTTTGTAGTGTCTTATGTTTGTTGTTTTTAAATGCTTACTATACATTTTTTTTCACTTCTAGCAATGTTCATAGTTTTAATAAATATTTTAGAAATTTTAAGTAAATTATTTAGAGAGATGTAGAGTTTTACAGAAAGCCAACAAAAATGTGTTGAATTGTCACGAACAATATTGGGTTACTTACAGATATATATATATATATTTTGCAAAAACTTGTGCTGTTAAATTGATTGTAAGAACTAGTATTTAAAATACTTATACAAATAATATATCCCTGTTATTAAGCATGTAATCACACTGAAACTAGAAAACATTTATCAAATCTTGTAATTAGAATTTTTCTGAAAATTGAGGCTATGTCTCTATGGGGCTATATACAGTGTAAAGTCAAGCAAAAATATTTCTGCTCATCAGTGTTAGATTCAAAACATAAAGATGAATACTTTATTTTTAGGTAAAATACGTGGTGTTTATAACTACTTATACTACCTAAAAACAATGTGGACTGTTTATATTTTTTGTCAGACCCAGATAAGCACAAATATTGATCCTTGACTAAAACAGTATGTCATCTTTAGATACGAAATCTAGAAGCAACAGAAGGCTAGTGTTGAAAACATTGACGTGTATCTCCTTGTCCAAGATACAAACAATTTTTCAATATGCCAGATTTTAAATTGAATCCAGTTTTGAATATCGAATACAAGGCAAACCTCGATATGTATCTCCTTGTCCAAGATACATGCAATGACAGTGTCTGGTATTTTTATTCGAAGCATTCTGTACATGTACTTTAGCACATTAGAGTTGATAACTTGTACATGTATATAAAATTTGATAAATGAGCTCTTGTTTTAGTATATATGTATATATCTAGTTGTTGTATTTATTACTATCATTATATATATTGTTGATATTTCAAGACAAAAATTGAACATTTTGCTAGTTTTATATGATGTAACATATTTGAATGAATTCTGAAAATCAAATTTGATAAAAAAAAAAATAAGTATGGATGTTTAGATTGGATGGCTAGAATAAAAAATTATTCCTGCAAATAATTTTGTTTAATCTTTTCTATGGACCTAATAGATTAGCCTCTGCAAAAGAAAGACTTCTGTCCCTGGTTTTGTTTAAGTTGACTGACTTTGAAATTACTACTCTGCAATATGAATAACAGCTTGCTATAACTATAAACCACTTTTAATAGAAATCATTTGTTGAATAATTACTTTTCCCTCTAAGCTCAGTTGAAGCTGTCCATACCCTATCTGTATCCCTTTTCAATTTACAATCTGACCATCACAAACTTATGGAGATTTGAACAGATCTTACTAACAGGATGCTGGATGTCAATAGTATGGTTGATAACTAATTGTGAATTTAAAGGTATCCAAGATGTTAAAATGGGAATTTGAATCTCTTTAAAATACAAGCACTACTTTTCACTATGTAAAAATTTTGTATTTTAATATCAGTAAAAACAATAACAACACATTATTAGGAATTCATCACAAAATATAACAACCACTTACATAGAAACATTCCATCATTGATAATTATAAATAACACATGATTAACAGTTAACTCCATGTGGATGTGGACATAACACAGAACACATGGAAGTTCATTTGGTATGGATAATTGTAATAATTTTTATTGAAGGAACACAACAGTCCACTAATTCACCCGACACAATGACATATATAACAGAAAGATCAGATACAAATATTTGGCGATTATTCTTCTTTCAGAAAACTCATACAGTACAGCCAATTTTTAAATTGATATCAGCCTATGTAATATTAATAAAAAAAAATACCAGTACATTAAACGTTATCTGTAGATTGACACAGCTGATAGCTATTCTATATAAATCAATAATGATATTGTAATATCCCAGTCCATGGTAGACTTAACCCTTTAATTTGCACCTTGTTTAATCATAAAGGTTTACTTTGTGACCTAGGCCAGTGTTTTTATGACAAAAGCCATTTTGTACTATGTTATAATGCAGTCTCCTAATCTTGTAGACTATTTTATGTATCACTGTGTATTGTAGGATTGTCTTTTATCTTGCAGATATATATTGGTATCACCAGTTAAAAGCTGGCTAGAGATTCAGTTTGTCTTAAGAATACAATAAGCCTAAACAATTATAGACTTCAATCAAGGAACAAATTTTTTTCAAATTGTTTCTAGCCACCACCTCACATTAAGGGATTGACATAATATCAGTTTCCTTCTCAGATTTGCTTACTGCAATATTGAACATAGCATTTAATATGAAATATTTATAATCAATAGATTGTGATATATTCTGATTTAATTATGCCATGAACTGAGTAGACTTTTAAAGCACTATTAACTATTCCACAGCCAGCTATTTTGTTGATGAGTAAGTTAGTAATCTGTAACTATCATAGTTTAAGACACACTACACATCTCTTCACTTGGTACAGTCAGCTCTCCATCCAGTAAAACTCTGATGATCACCTTACCAAGATAGCTAGTAGTACCATGTTTAATATTAGGAGGCGTATTGAAGAATAACTTCATATCATCTTGTTTCTCATGACCTTCGGTTTTATTCAAATCTTTCTGAAATTCATCAAAGGCCTCCTGGATAATCTGAAATTACAATGAGTCAAGTTTTACCCCAGATGTTGGAATTAAAAAATACTTTCAGGAAATTATTAGACATTTTTACCAGAAATTTTGAACAATGTTTCTAACAGTCTTAAGTGTTCTGACATTAAGGCAGTCAACAAGAAAATACGATATGATGTACATACCTTATCCATATTAACACTTTGTAGAAAGTTTAATTCACTATTTCTCTCCAATACAGTTGATAACACCATAAAAGCCTAATAAGTAGACTAGATATTAAAGGGAAATTCAGGTCCTACAGTTATCAGATTAATTGAAAAGGTAGAGACAAACAAGCCCATATATTTAAAATTGGGGAGAAGTTAGCTCATTAACTTCGTCGCAATTTTTACATATGCTAAACATACAAATGGGTCTCTGATTGCTAATTCATCAGAGCTACTGTATTCATGTAAGCATCTCTGATCAGAAAAATTTCAAAGAACTAAAATAAGTTTATGTGGGCAACATATATTTTAAAAGAAATATAGAAAGTTGAATAAGTATAATTACCTCTACCATTATCTGTCTGTATGAAGGATCAATGATTTTACTTAACATCTGTTCAACTAACAGAGAAAAATTTAACTCATACATAGTCATATCAGATAGAGTAGGTTGCTGAAATAATAATCAATTAATTTATGGATTAGTCGGTTAGAGCCCTGGTTCATTACATGACGTTGTTTGCTTGGTAATGTCGAGCAAATGGCGGCTGTGGGTTCCGATCTCAATGCATGTGATAGTCTGATGACCTTGACTAAGTCATCTTCACTCTTAATTCAAGTCCACCCAGCTGTAAATGGGTATGGATAAAGATCAATGCCAAAAGGTTTGGCCAAGGACCAGCTGGTAGAAAGGACGCTTAACCCTTCTTTCGTAATTAAACTAATTAATACATTAGAATTGTCAACTCAACGTTTTATTCAGAGAACATTATCAAGAGAATGGTGGAAGAAAAGAACTCACTTTTGGTAGTAAATAGCCAGCTACTTTGATGCCACCTGGAGTTCTCTCTAGAATCTGCCAGACACGATCATAGAAATCTTTAGGTACACGATTTAAAGCTCCATCTAGTTGACGTTTTTGTAAGGGTGTCCTAAAAGAACATAATAAAAACATATTGTTTTATCACGAGAACAGAACTATGTACTATGATGTACCTATCCAATTCCACAATATCTAGGATGTATTAGTCAGGGTTGTTGATTAGGCCCTATTTTCCTGAATTGACTGGCAGGGCAGTTCAATTGCATGAGGACCAATATCCCCTACAGGTAGAAATGAAGTCAATGTCATTCTAGATCATTCAAGATGATTATAATGGACAAAGACAGGTGTATTCCTTGTACAGAATGAAATATTTGTATCTACAGAGCTACTTACCTATAATCGGCATCATCAACATTAATAGTTAATACAGTATGTAGTAGTATTTTAATAGAATGAGGAGATAAACAATGTATATCATTATTAATATCAGTATAGTTTCCACTAGTCTCCATTTCTACTTCCATAGCTTTTACAAACCAACTATAATATCAAATATTAATTTAAGTTACAAATCTTCTTTCATATTGCTGTAAATAATACAACAGTTATCTTTATCAACAGCATCCATTCAGAACTTTATTCCTAGAAAGCCCAGGTGGCTCAGTGGGATCCTTGCTCACTAACCAAGGTTCCATTATATCCAGAATAGATTCCCTAAGATTTTTAAACCGGTTATCATCCTGTCAGTAATGAAGCTGAAATGGGATGGAGCTACAAACATTGACCCTGTGCGCTACAGGCTGTGCATTCAACAGCTGGAAATCCAAAATTCAGGAGCAGACAATAACATAATGTGTCTCGTATTTAGATTGAAATCTAATTTCATTTTAGCTCACTTGGCTTTTAATCAGATGCACTTCCTCCTTATCAAGCAAGTATCATTCTTCAAGTACAATAAGAAAGGTAACCCACCCAATTCTAATCTTTAAAATTCCATCAAATAACTCAGGAACAGTAGCTATCAATTTACCAATACATAAAATCAGTTCTTGTTGTAAAACAGCTTGTCTTAAATCATGAGGTTGACATATTCTATACAGTATATTCTTGATTTCATTAGGACTGACTGGTTTATCTAATACTTCTTCTTCATGTCCAAATACTCCAACAGTTATCTGTAAAAAAGATAATTAACTATGCATAACATAATCTTGCTTTACAACGTAATGTTTGTTTAAGTTCCATAAAATGGATTTGAAAATGGGAAATTGAAATAGTAATGTTGTATGGATAATTCTCATTGACACATAATCAGAGTTATAATTTCTGATACATTTTTTGAAATTAAAATAAAACAGGACTGAAAATTCATCTTAACTCATGAAGGTTTAACAAGGTTTTTGACATCAAAGCATTAGCATGTATTAACCATAGAAAACTCATTCTAAACGTGATAATAAATAATAGACTTACTTGTTTACCCCGGACTAACACAGTTGTTACAGAAGGTGCCAAACTATCTACTAGTTTACCTAATAAAGCTGAACATAGTCTGAGTACCGACCAATGTTTATGTGTACCAGCACGATGTATAAGTTTCTCCAGTCTTTCACTAATAGTATATGATTCTATACGATAGTCAGGACCTTCACGGTCATTCAGTACTTTTAATATCTGACTTTGTGGTTGCATGTCATCTAATGACTTATAAATTGATACTAAATCATACGTTGATTTATTCTTTAATTCCTGAAATATAGCAATCATAAATGATTTCACTAAATAAGATTCAATTTACAGTATATTTAGAGGGATTCAAGGGCAATAAATCTATAATATGTAGAAGAAAAATCTTCAAATTTGAACTTGTCCAAAATTTGTCATTTACATTGAATCAAACCATGATTTCTATGAAAATTGCTGCATTAAAAATCACAATCAAGCATTTTGGAGAGCTAATCAGACAGGACTGATGAAGAATCAAAATAACAACCCTGATTTTTGTCACTTTTGTCTTTTTCAAAATAAAACCAGATCTACCTAATTCAACAAGGACTTCAGATTTAAATAAGGCGGAAAGAATTCTTCAAAGAATTTGAAATAAAACCAACTCACTGCTTCAATTAATCCTCTACCATAATCTATATCAGACAATGTTGGTAAATCTGTTAAACTTTTAAAATTAGATCCTGTCTTTTTCTCATTCAGAGGATCAAATATATTGGGATCTTCTAAATGGTGTAGAAAGTCAAGATGTTCTATACAGGCTGAGGAAATAAATGACTGAAAACACACATAAAATAATCTGTAGAATTTGATGAAGAGATAGGTATGGCACGATGCATAATTTCCTACACAATGAGTACTTTATAAGGCTTTACAGTGAAACAAATTACCATTATAACAGGACTAGGTATGTAGACTCTCCAGAAATAGGATGTGTGGTTGAAAGGCTCAGTTGCAGAATAGAATCAAGTTTTAAAATGTAACATTTTTAGACAATCACTCTGATATCATTTGAAAGCAACAAAGCATATCAATATGTTTTACAATATGTTTCCAAATTGAAATATAATTTTTTTTAGAGAGGATTTTACCTGAAGACGACCAATTTGTACTCTAACACCTCCAACATTTCCCTTCTTAAACTGAGCTAATAAATCTAAAAATTCTCCAAAATTATGTCCCCTGGAAAAAAAAAAACAATTTCAGTTTCAAAGTAGTTTATAGTACTTCATTTAATATACAGATCATCCTAATACTGTCAGTTAAAGTATGCTTTCTGGGTTCTAATCTCGGTCGGCTTGTGCTGTCAATATGTTCTGTAGATCTGAAAAAGATCAATACCAAAGGACCAGCTGGCAGAAAGGGTCCATGTGAACCTATGATGCTATCCTTGTAAAAAATCGTTTCATTCTTTAACTAAAGGAAAAGCTAGTACCTCTAAAAGTTTCTTATTCATTTTAAGCCCTAATGCCCTTAACATGAATGTTTGATATGTTTACCTGATAGTGTCTTCTCTAATCAACATACACCATGTAGGTCTACCTGACAACTTCCAACCCTTCGATAAAAACTGTAAATCATTCTGAAAAATAAGACGACAATGCAGTATCTTACTTATATAAAAGTCAAATCAAGTATAAAAACACAAGTACTAACAATTCAAACCACAAAATGAAATTTTAATCCAAAATGCAAATAACCTACAGGTATTCATGTATGGAAATAAATCAATCATAAATGAGAAAGTATTTCATAATGAAAAGTGATGTCAGGCGCTACAACAGTAGGCATATCCTGTCTGGTAGCCAAATCAGACACAGAATAGAGAATAGAACAAGCTTTAAACTTACCCTACAATCATCCATGACTAGAGAAATATCTTGTGCTAAATAAAAATCACTTAATTCAAACAACAGAGGATAACATAATACTGTTTTACTACAAACTCGATATATCTGAAAATATAATCGTATAAATATATAGAAAATTAGTTAGTAATTTGCTTTGATCTGGGGACTTATTCTTCAAAACATAAATAAAATCCAGATTTTAAGAAACACAGTCATCTGATTGGATAATAAAACTAAATTTGAAATTGATTTTAGTAATAGACCAATCAGAAGACTGGAAAACTAAAATCATCTTAAGTTAAGATTTCAAGAATAAGGCACCTGGTAAATAGCTAGTTCAGGATTTTGTTATTTAATACAAACAAATTTCATCTTAAATGATAAAGTAATATGACACTCAGCTTGCAATGTCAGCATCACATCCGTAAGTCACAAAACATTGAACACTAATCCAAAACATCCAATGATGACAAAAAGTTTTCTTTTTCAATTCACAAAGGCAAACAATTTTTCTTGTCTTAAGCTCACATTTCAGTCATTAAATAGTGCATAAACAGCATATAAGGCATCAGATGAAAATGCTTTTTTACATAAGAATTTAATAATCAAACTACACATGGCTTCCGAATCTGATTTACCTTGGATGTACTGAGAACACCAAAAGGACGGCTTGGTCTACCAGTTAGCTCTAGTTTATGGTTCACTCCGAGGAATTCATAAGCTTTAGTAAGTTGTTTAGGAGACCAGATTTGTAAAGGTTCTATTTGATGTGGAGTCTGTGTTTGTATACCGTATGTAGCTAGTAACTGTTGTAATCTGGATGTATCAGCTATCAATACTATCTGGATCACCAAATCAGGTGGAGTACCCTGCAACAGGCAAATAAACAATGCAATAATTTTCATATCTATCAATCTAATACCTTCAAAACAGGACAGAACAGAAGAAGAAAGAAACAACCATTTCTTTCATAGATAAGTACTTGAGTACTTGGATCCAGACTAGCAGCTGGTGGGCATTGGTCAAATATCTCAGAGCTGCCTTTTTAGGATAGTTCACACCTATTTATACTTGGGATGAATGTAAAACTAACCTGAAATTTGGAGTATCTGGTACTAAATCTAGGTCTTTCTATAGCAGGTAAATATCTTCTTATAGGATCCAGTTCATTAACATTAACTATACCTTTTACTACAAATATATCATATTACAATTATTATTGTTACCAGAAACATTCAAAACCACATAATTATTACAGTCACATACAAAATATTCAGAAAAATCAAGAAGACAAACCATGAGAAAAAACATCAGTTTCCATATTTGATTTGATTTGATGAACATTTTTAGTTAATAAAATCCACTGGACAGAATAAGACATTGTGTGATTTTGAACTCCATCCATCAAAACTGTAAAAGTTTGGACAATATAAACATTTCAAGCATCTATTAAACGATATAATATCCTACTCATGTTCAAATATCTACAAGAGTGACTCACTTAACATTTGACTAATAAGATAGACTGATTGACCCCACATAAAGACACCGGCTGAGGAGCCTTCAGGACTGGGAAGTCTTTCTTGACTTCCAGGATTTTTCTTTTCTAATTCTATCTTATCTGCTGGTACATAGTAATAATTAGGTATCAGTACACCTAGAAAATAAATTGAATATATGTTCTACAATTGAGTATCATTCCATAAATCCATTTAGGAAATGACGTACTTTGACTTTTTGATTATTACGAATTTTTTTTTTTGCCTGTAGCCTGACAAATCTGACCACAAAAAGCCCACTTCTTGCCTGTATTGTTGTACCAAGAGGGGCACAGAGACATTGCAGAAAATCTAGTTATAACATGTACAAGATCAGGTAATTTGTCAGGTTATTTTATGTATCTTATCCTATTTATATAATGATATATAAATCTTACTAACCCTCTCTACTGTGTAATAATAATGGTTTTAATTTTTTCATATACTCTTCAGCTTCCTTCTTTTTACCATGGAATATATCTGAAAATATTATTAGATTTTATATTGTCAGGTTACATTCATAGCACAGTGAATTAGATTAGTGTATGTTATGTGGGTTCAAATCTTCATTGGGTCAATCATTAAATTACTCATTCAACATTCTTAACATAATATAATATAGCGCTTACTGTCAATAATAAAGTAGAGGTAAAACATAGGCCATTCACATTCAATACCATCAAAATTCTATAATAAAAAACATAGCTATATATAATAGTTTACATACACATAAACAAACATAGAATTTATGTCAAGATGAAGATTATGATAACACTGTAAAAGATGATGCAGATTATGGTGATAATGAAAATGCAGGTGATGATGATGATTTTATCTTGGAAAAAAACACGTTGTTATAATGTAATATTTTCATTTTTATTTTATGATAAAGGGTACTCTAAACTCAACAGAATTTTTTGTCTGTCTGTGTTTTTGTAATTATGATCATCCATTGGCTTTTTGCCCTTTTCACCTACCTTAATTTCAGCTGGGCGGTAATACTTTCTGTTTTTATCTTCTAATTCTGTTTTAAAACCATCTCGTAAAAACCTCTTTACACCATATTTCCCTTCTAATTTACGTTTAACTTTATCTAAGGCTCTCAATTTAATAGGTTCTTCATGGATGGCAAAAGCTGGCCAACAAACTGTAGGTAACAAGGAAGCATCAGTATTCTGAAAATAAGTTAAAAATAAACATAAATAGACAAACAAATACACACAAAAAATATAACTAAATAAAACAAAATAAACCAGGATTGGCCTGTAACACAGTTATGATGTCAGAATTTAACCAAATTTGCTTGATTACATGGAACAAATAGTTGTTGTTGGACTGCTTGCGAAAGCCGGGAAAACATCAATGTCAAGAGTTATGAGCAAGGAACAGCTGGTAGACAGGATCCTCTTGAATCTTAGTTGTTATCCTTGTAAGTATCCAGCGGTAGATGTCCACTACACCTTGCAGTCCTATTGATTAAATTAGATTTCTATACCAACCTTCGAATTGGATTCTCTAGGTAGAATAGATTCAAAGATAGTTCTGTTTCTATTATGAGCATCAATATCTACATATATAACAGACCAAGCAGCTCCTATTTCACCAAATAAATTACAACCATTAACAGCTTCTAACGCCGCCTTTGCCATACCAATAGAACTGTTAGAATAGATGAAAATTTTTAAATAATTATGTTGATGAATCTGATTTGTCATTTCAAATTCAGATTAGTCTCTAGTTATCACCAAAAACAGTTCCCTTCATACGCGATAGGGGTTGCAAGCAAACTCAGTTTCAAATTCTGAAAACAGTGGCTGTGGCATCAAATTGTTTTTTTAACCCTGAGAAGGATTGAAATCCACAGCACCTAACTGACTAGCAGATGACTTTGCATGTGCTATTATTATTCAAGGTTATATTGATTTGAATATTGTATTCTTATTTCATTTCTAAAGAGGTCATAGGTCTAGGCTTAAACCAGTGACGCAGGACCTCTATATATTCTTTGAAACTTCTTGACAGATTTTTATGAAATTTTGAAATGTCTTTCAAAGTGTTAAATGCAGCCATGTTAACAAAATATTTCAGGTCTGTTGTTTATCTTTAGTAAACTATATTAATTTACCTAGCATGTAATTCAGTAGAACCATTATTATATTTACTTCCACGTTCCCACATACCATAATCTGGGGTACGATAGGCTCTTTCTACATAAAATACTAAATTCTGTACAAAATGAACTTCATCTGTTGTGAAAATAATCTGTCATCAAAAAAAGAAAGACATGAATTATTATTATCTATTGAGAAAAATAGAATGTAAATTACTAGTCAAAGTTATTGTATCAGTGAATTTAAAATTCAGGTAGCTTTTGTTTTGAAGATCTTAGTATAATGAAAGCAAATGAAGCTAATGCCTCGCTTTTGAAACAATACCAAACTTTAAAAAAGACTTTACTTAAAGCCACACAGAACCTCCTTTGTGCCATATCAACTAAGATTGCACTACAACCTAGGACTCAAGTGCCACAGTATAACTGTCTTTTGAAAAATTAAGCAATCGCTTACCTTTAACCCTGAAGATATCATCTGATTTAAGAATATCAAATATAAAGCAACACAGTCAATCTGAAACAAAAGAGAAAGTGTAAGGCAGGTTATTTGATATTATCCAAGTATAGTTTAATTAAAAATAATTTCTAGCTTATTCTTGTCCAGTTAAAATTTTGTTCATTCTACCAAATCAAAAAGAAAAAACCCTTTGTCATTGTTTGGAAATGATATCATTATTCAACTATAGTCTTAGCCCTACCTGTAAATGTCCATATTCTTCATCAGTATAAACAGGATCCCCAGTTATCATATCAAATGTTGAATGTAAGGCATACTGAGGCAGTTGATGTCGCTTGAATTTTTCTGCCTGTAAAGAGAATACTATTACAGTTCTTACTAATAATTCACTTTACTAGCTGAAGGAATCAATTTCATTTTCAGATCTCCAGTCGCCTTAGTTTGTCTTCTCTTGAGTCAGCAGAAACAATTAGAAATTTTCCAGACCTTAAACATTCTCTTGAAAAGAGATCTGTTACTTATATCACGACATCCTCTACCTTATTTTCTAAAGAGTTAAGAGAGAAGAATAATATTACCTTATCTGCCTGTCTTATCCAACAGAACAAAATTCCTCTCATACATTTGACAGCTATCTGACCTAGTTCATGAGCTCGACCATTATCATCATCTATTCTCCTGAAATAAAATTAGAATTAGTATGGGACAGTCTGTTGTCAATTAGGAACAAAAAAATATACAAAACGTCAGAAAATCCTTGTTGTTTGTAATTGAAACATATCTTGCATGTAGGTTATATAGACTATTGATGATAAATTTTTTTAATTCATTCATCAAGTATGCATGAAATATGAAAAATGCACAAAATATAGTAAATTTGCATATAAAATGTGCTAAAAGCAAAGATCAAATTGAAGTTAGTCATATAGGAGCTTAGATCAGACATGGTAAATACAGATAATTCAATATCCCTGGTTTATATAACAATGAAATTTACCTGTAAGCTTGTGACAGTGCCCATGCTGCTACAGAACAATATATACTATCTCTAACATGTGATGTACGGTTGGTATTGTCTGCTGAACCAATCGAGGGAAATAATCCTAAACAACAATTCTGATATTGTAATATCTGTCGTTTCACTGAAATAATAATCATCTTATTATTAGAAATTAAGCACATTTTGGCAAAACTTGAGAATTTTATGGTTCCATTTCATAAGAGATTTTTTTCAGCCCTAGGTAATTGATCTATAAAAGTAAGTTATGAAATAATCAAAACAAGCAAAATCTTATATAATTAGTGTTTTTGCAAGATGACATGCACCTATAACTCTGAGTATAGATATTTGTGCACATATCCGTAGTCTTCAAAACACAATCATTCTACATTATATTAATGTAGTTTAATGTAATCAACACAATTTATGTTTGGCTTGTATAGTTTCAATTAAAATCTATTCTTGCCTAAAAGAAAGTAGACCACTCATGTTAATCTTTGAATAATAATTGTAATTGAATTGTAATAATGTGTGTTTTCTGACTCTAGATAGTTTGGGATAGAAACATAATTATGCAGCAATAATTTCAAATTGAATCTAATCTTATTGGTTCAGTAACATAATTTCTTTTATTTTAATGATATCATCGTAATGAATAGATAGAAAGAAGTTAAGACAAGCAGAGATTATTTGTCAACTTCAAATATAGCCTACTTTAAATAAAACTACAATCTATAAGGTTACATTCAGTAAATAATCCTACTGTAACAAAGTCAACAATAGCTTAATCTGGTCAACTAAGGGTCATGTCCACAGTCTCTAGCACAGTGGGAGTATTTCATTTACAACTAAGCCTAGTGAACTGTAACTACTGGCCTTTATAAATCAACTGCAGAAAAAAATAACATGAACTAGCATGATCTTTCCTAAGATCTCTAAGCAGCGTTTAATTTGCTCATAATTATTAATGGTAGGCCTACTACAACTTGAACATGAGCTAACTTCTAACACAAGACAAACTTTGTCAATGTCAATCTGCAGCATTATTACAGTAACAGTAGGCCTAACAGTGTTGCTAACTTTTTCTTTCACTTTAATGGCTTCAAAAATAAAATGCAAATGTTTCTGAACCAGATAAACTTGATAACTTACAAGTGAAATAAAACTCATTTAATGTTTTAATAGTTTTCTTGTGAGTTTCTAAATCAACATCCATCGTAACTTTTTCAGCACCACCTCCACTGCTGGCAACACCAAGGCGATTATCAACCTGAATTCGCAGCTTATTGGCTCTTTTCATTTTGACATTTACATGAACCGATGAGAGATCTATTAATAGACGTGCTTGGCATGCAATCAAGGCCAAAAAACACTGTCAGAGAACAGAAAATAATCAATACAGAATGACAAATTCGCGAATAACGACACTTGACAGTGCTATCTAATGCATTGCAAGATTTATTCCATGCAATGTCCTTGACATTGTCATCAAGGTCAAGGCGACGTCAAATGATGTCGTAAAACCTGCATAATGAATGTCGCTCTTAAATTCCTACTAACGACAACCAGACCTATTTTCGGATTTAATGGAGTCGTAGTATGAGTCAAAATGAGATGATGCCTGTGTATTTCCATTTATTAGTTTTTATCTGCATAATATCAAATGAATGTACATTTGCCTCTTTCTCAGATACATCGTCTGGTATTTTTGGAGGAACAAGTCAAGGTCTCATAGCAGCGTTTGGTGACTTTAATGCTGATAAAGCAACTGATGTTTTTATCCTTGCAGACGATGGTTTGTTTTGATTTTTGTTGCTCATTGACAATCTAACCTGTCTTATTCTTTAAGTTTACGAGTTTGAGAAACCAATCAGAATGCAATGATACATGGTTAGCTATCAGTTATGTTAATCTACCTTTTATTTTTCCTTATGTTTTTGTTGATATTTGTTTATTTTCAGCCAAATCAGTACAGCTTATTTTTGGTAAAACTGAAAAGATTGATGCCTCCTATTCTCAAGAAGAGTTGATATCCAGTAAGCAGAATAATGACAGCTATATTGTTAGTTTGATACCAAGTGATTTCAATGGGGATTCAATAATGGATTTATTGGTAACAAGGAGAAAGGATGGTGAAAAATCTGGACCATTACAAGTTTTGATCTATTGGGGAACTTCCAAGTCTAATATAGGTAAAGTTCTAGTAGTAATGTATAACATTATGAGACATCCTGACACCACAAATGAATCATTCACAATTCCCTTTTTTGTTTGTTATCTTCCTTGCACTTTGAGACTAGATTGTCAATTACAAATGTTAAGCTTATATAATGAAACATGTAATACACAGGAAAGCAAATTATATAGAACTTAAAAGGCTGTGAGGACAAAGATATTTTGAATTTGCAATTCATTTGTTTGTTTCGATGTGTCTTAGTGTGTTTTTCTATGATAATTATCCAGCATCATTGATAAATTGTATTTATTTCTGTTGCATCATATAGTCTTTTTTTTAGCTCCATTTTAATTTGTATGTTATTGTATTTTAGTAGCTGATCAGCCATTAATTCTGGCTGAATCATTTAAAGATCAACCTGCTATCTTAGAGTGAGTAGTGTAATGTAAAATCAATATATAACAAAATAATTTTCCAATAAGTTCCAAACAATTGGTCAAGATCAAAGCCAGATATAATTGGCAAAGATGAGACTACTGCATAAAATTTATCTTATTTGCGCTTTATTGACTTAAATGGAATCTTCTCCTTTTCTTTGATATTTTTAAATAGGTATTTGCAAAATAAGCCTGCTAATCAAGAATTGATGTTTTTTAATATATGTTTTTTAACAATGAAATATTTTCCTTTCAGTGTAAATTCTGATATGATACCAGACTTAATGGCTGAAACAAAAGATGGAGAAAGAACTTATCTGATATTTAAGTATGACATTTGATATTATAAAACTAGTTTTAGAGCAATAACACTGTTAACAATCATGGTTAATGGTCTGATTCAGTGGCAAGATCTGTTTCAGCTTAAAAAAGGTCATTAGAACAAGAAGTATCAAACCTTTATTCTTTAGACATTAGTATTGTATTAGTGTATGTTTTGTTTGTTTAAAAAGCTTGTTTTCTTTATAGTATACATCAAAATTATACAACAGAAAAAGTTAAAAATGGAACATCACAATCACCCTTGCCACCATTATATGTACCACAGTCTAGTGCCTTTTTAGATTTTGATACAGATTTAACTGCTGGTGAGTGTAATCTTATTGAAATTTGAGGGAATATTAAAATTTGTTTTCTTACTAAACCATTTTGATTTTCACTGTGGTTTTGCTACTCACAATTCTCACACAAAATGTGGACTTAATTTGTGTAGAAATAATTTGATGGAAATTCCTAAACAAAATGTAGAAATGGATGGAAATCAAAATTTAGATATTTAGTAACATTTCTTCGATGTATCTTTCAGATTTAATTACTGTATCATCTGGTAACAGTAGCAAACTACAATTTGAGATATGGTTAAATAAGGTATTGAATAATTTTTAAGTACTTTTTCATGATGGTTCGACTTCACAATGGGCTAAGCTTGTTTCAATTCTCAGAATCACTGGGATTCAATGGTGCATAAGATGTTATGTGAGGAGATGTTTTGGTGTGTTAAGCATGCAAATGTTTAGGACCTAAACGTTTACCTCTCGTAATTTTTTCATACCAGAGTGAAATATGGCATATAAAGTTTAAGTTATGAATGAAAAGTCCAGAATACTTACATTTGAAATAAGACGTTGTTAAAGATTTGAAATCAACATATTTCCTTAATTACAGAATGGTGCATTGGAATGGGATCAAACTATAGAGGCTCCAACAGAAATAAAAGTATTTGGTCAGCCCTCTTTTCTTGATATGAGTAAGTTACTTAGAAGACTTTTTTGAAGACAAATGGCTGCAATTTTTGTCAAATGAATTGAAATATATATGAGGGACAAAGCTGAAAATGTTACCAAATTTGATGCAAAGCACAGATAACCAGAATGTCATATTCCTCAGTTGGGTAGCCAAGGTTTCCATTAGTTTTGTACCTATTGTTGTGTTTGATTTATTTTTGTTATTTTGCTACTGATAATGTATATGTATCTTTTGTTTTACAGATAGTGATCATAGTATAGATATAGTGTTACCAGGCTGTTTAAATAAGGACTGTTCAACTAGTGTTATTTATGTGTATTCTAAAGAAAAGGTAATAGTAATATCTTGAAATCTTTTAATATTATAATTGAGATGGTCATTTGACAACAACAATAGTAACGTTAACAGTATTCTAGTGTCTAGTTACACATTATAGTTCATGATTAGATTTTGAACTAGGATTTTCGGTCTCATCAGAAAAAGTTTGATTATTGTTTATTGATTATTGAAATTGAGGACAGATTGTAGCTCTATGTATCAGAGTGTTGGCATCTTGATGTCATTCACTATGGGCGATGAAATGGCTGTTATTTTTATTCTCAATTACATATTGTTTTATAGTGGTATAAGTTAGATGTCAAGTTTAAAGATGATAACAATCTATGGGGATTTAATCCAACCTCACTCCATCCACTTCTTGATGTGCCATTAAGTTTAAGAATGGGAGATCTCAATTTAGATGGATATCCTGATGCATTAACTATATTATCTTTACAAAACAAGTAAGTCAGAATGTTTTGGATTTTATGTGAGCTGTAATGATTTGGATACTCTTATTAAACTCTCATTCCAATGTTTGAATTAAAATCAAGATGGTAGCTTACGTTTTTTGCAATATGTCAGCTTAAAAGATCAACTGTGAAATGTTCTAGGGCTTTGAAATAAATGTCAATTGTTATGACTGTTTATTTGATCAACATGCCATGTTTCTGGTGTTTTACAAGTTTGCAAAGTGAAAATGATAAAAATAATTGAAATCTTAAAGGTTTTGCTAAAATAAATTGTCATGGCAACTTCTATCAGTCAGTCAGACATGAATGGCAAACTAGTGGAGTTATTAAAGTTATATATGATGTATTCTGAATTTTAACAGGACTAAAGTCCAAAAACAGGTTGTGATGAAAAATGTGCATTGTGGGTCATGTGAAGGCTTCAGTAGAACATTTGAAATGAATTTCATTGGGCCAACAAAAGAGTCCAGCAATCCAGTATTAGTAGCTTTCTTTGATATTGGTGAAAATGTAAGTTAATTTGACAATTATTAATCTCAATATTTAATTATCAATCATGTGTGTATTTGAAAACTTGGTCGTGAATGAACAAATGCTTGTGTGCAGGCTTAACAAAAACTACGTACTGCAAGATAAGTTTCTCTTTGCATGCATGAAATTCAATATGCTGTTGGCTCATGTGTGCATCAGGATTTAGGTTGAAAACAGATTGTAGGTCTTGATATGTGGGTTACTTCTTACAGGGTGTATTAGATGTGGTGATGTCAAATTATGATGGTAAAAATAGTGAACTTGTAGCCTTGTCTCAAACATTCACAGAAGATGCTTATTTTGTTAAAGTAATGGGTAAGTTATATTGGCTATATTATCCTTCAGACTAATTATGGCTGAATGATTAATGTCTAAAATATTAAGATCTTGTTCAAAAATACAAAGCCGTCTGTGATATCCATTCTTACTGTTGCATGATGCTTATGTATCTAACTATCGAGTCAAAGTAAATCATTGAAATTAGAATATGTATGAACAGAGAAAATGCTCAAATGGGATATATGTGCACCCATGGTTTTGTCAGAGTGCAATTTTGATTATTGCTGTATAAACACCAATTGTCTGTGTATAAAATGTACATGATATATTGTTATTTCAGTATTAAGTGGTTTGTGTAAATCAGAATGTACAGATGGTCATCAGGTAAATTATTCAAATTTCTTTTTTCAAAGTGAAGTCTGATTGTAGCCAATTATACAATTTAAAGCACCAAAGGGTGGCCACAAACAACTGAAAAAGGCAGTTTTTAAACCACCTTCAATGTGAAAGGTTTGTCTTAAGCAAGTATTTTCATTTCAATTCTTTAGAGATATGGAGTCAATCAAGTGGGTCCAGCTATTAAATATGAAACTGTTAATTCAAATGGTGATCCCCAGATTGGAATAGGTAAGTATTTTTTTTTTTGATTGGTATCTAAATGTTAAGCAGGAATCCTATTATGAAAATAGAGTACATCTGTACATGAGGTTAACTTAAAAATAAAGAACCTAAATATGAAACATGTTGTTACTCTGAGTTTAATGCTGTACATAAATTTCATATACTTGATATATTGTCACATTATTTTTCAGCCTCACAACTTGTACAGTCAGCATATTTTTCACTGCAGTTACCATTTACAGTATTTGGTTTAGGTCAAACACCTAATTTTGTAGATAAATTAGTAGTTGGTATTCCCTACCCCCATGGTGCAGTAAGTTCCTTTTAACTTCAAAATCTGAACAATAGATCAACGTGGCTTCAGTCAGGTCTTGTTGAGATCAGGCTTGATTTCTTTATCAAAATTAAGAAATCTTTTCATAATGATAACAATAATAATATGTAGAACACTACTTCACCAGTTATGAGATAATATATCCTACTTACAATTGCTACATGCTACATGCTAATTTTTTTGTTCTTTTTCACAGAAATCAAGAAATAAAGAGTTTACTTCAATCATTCCTAATTCACGTTTAGTTATTACACCTTATCCTGTAGATGATTCTAGCAGGTGAGATTTTACACAGTAATCCTAACAGAATCCAGACAATGGTGACCTACTAGCAAGCTTGACACAAATGGTGGTTTTCTGTGGTCACTTAGAACACTGAGCAATAGATATACATTGTAGATTGATTTCTACATTATATTGTGGACAGTAGGTTTGAGTTAAGTAAAGTGCTTTTTAGCTGACAGTTATTATCAAGCCAACCCTCATCCTCTCTCTACAATTGATTTTATGAACAGAATAACTTGCTATATTTCAGTTGGAGTAACAAGTTATTTATAACACCAAGTAAATTAGTATTATTAACAGGAGCTGCTTTACTGGGTGTTTGTGGTTTTATAGCTATTATAGTTGCTATATTACATTGGAGAGATAGGGTAAGTTAAGATTTATTATCCTGCGTCATAGCATTTTATCTCATTACTCAAGTTGAACTGGCTGTAAATAATAACAGGAATTCTAACCAAAGGTTTTATATTTGTAAGGTACTGATTTTTTTCATCTGAATTTATTATGGTACTTATAGAGAAATTTGTTGTCTTACTGTGAATAAAATATGGAATGTATTTTGAAAGTAACCGACTTCAATTCTTACATTTTATCTTTCAGGCTGAAGATAAAAGAGAAAAGTTACAAGATTCTCACAAATTTCACTTTGATGCCATGTAGTTTTCAGCTAGAGATCTGAATTTCATATTTCTTCAACTCTTGTCTATATTTTTATAACTAATACTTTACAACTGAACACTACTGTTCTTTCTCTAAAGCCATCTGTCCAATTTATTGAAAGACGAGCATAGTCAATATTAGATATTTAGGAGTCCGACAATTTGAACACATTTGGGCCGATCGCAAACAAAAACATTTAAGATAGATTCAGTTGTTTCACAATGCTTCAAGTTCAGTTGAACATCCTACTATATTTCAGTATCATAAGATAGGACCATATAGAACTTACATTCTGAAGTGTGAAATGCATAATACTTCATGTACTTGTGATTCTGAACTCTATTTCTATTTGACAATGTGGGTAATATTCAATATCTGTCTTCCAATACTATTATATTTAATCACCTGATTTTAATGTCTCTTTTCAATGTACATAAAAGGAAACACTCCAATAATGTTAAGACTTTTTTGCAATATTTTACTGTGTAAATTTTCATGTTTATTTATTTATTTGTTTATGTCCTTCTGTATATATTATTAAACTTGTTATCGAATAGACTTATTTTGAATGATTATTTATGCTAGTGTAGTGCATGTCAGTCAAACATTTTTTTGCACATCCAGGAAATTCCCCTGCAGAGTAAGTGGTAATGAACCTAATTTAGTTCCAGCATATAAATAGTTTCAATTACCACTTGAAACGGTATTGAATGATATTGGAGTGTGTATTAATATAGTTGATTATGTCATCATAATGTGTATTATGTTCCCTACATAAAGAATTTGCTTGATAACAATCGACCTTTATTACAATAAGCCGACTGCAAAGATTGTTGTGGTCTGAATTTTCAGTTTCAGTTCATGCCCATTACTGAAACTCTTCTGTGAAGAAAACAAAAATAGTATTTAACTCTTCAACGTTGAAGGAACGATTGGTATGTTAAAAAATTGTAAATAAACCCATGTGTAAATTTCACAACACAAAATCATAACTTATGCTCACTTAATACTACAGTATTGTTTAAAATATTTATTTTTACTTACGTTTGGAATATAAAGGGACTAGTTTGAAACTCACCGGCCTATGGTATTTAATTATTATCTATGTAATTGGTCATACTTTATACAGTAGTTATAAATACGTTGACACTATTTTGTTTCCATCCCCCTAATAGTAATATGTCATTATTGATAATGACACAACGTCAAGAATCAAGAGCCTGTGGTCTATTTGAAAATTGAAAAGTGAGTTAAAATTCAGATCATTCTTCCTTCAAAAATTAGGTATGGGTCAAGAATTTCAGCATTTGACTGCCATACTCTTCTGCTCAGAAGATCACTTAAGCATGAACTGGTCCGCCATATCATTAACATTAGGCTAGACCAACACATTAGGGACACAACAGAGTACCAGTTTAACTAAAGCACAGCAACTGGTGTTTCTGAACTGACAGGTGGATTTTGTGTTTCTTTTTTTTTTACAATTAAGCTTATTCCACGTAAACTATTCACTTGCAGTTCTGTGTCTGTTTAGTAGTAATCAAATGCAAATTAACTATTCCTTATCAATAACCAATTTTTATTTTACAGTCAATACTAAGCCATTTCTGGTAAAAAAAAATATTGGAGAGTGACTGTACCTTTTTACTCAAGTAAAGAGTTGCAATTGAAGATGTGTAGCGTGGGAGATGATGGTGATGCTGTTGCTAATGTTAGAGAGAAATTATCCTGGTATGCAATTTAGACTTAGTAAATTATATAGCTGTTCTCAAAGATAATCAGCTCTGAAATATTCTATAAAAAACAAATGTTAACATATCTAGAAAATGAATTTAAGAAATTTAGAATTTTCTTACAGACAAAAACTCATTATCAAGTTTATTTTGCTCTATTAGTCTAGGAAGAAAATGTATGAAATGTGAAAATGATGCGTTTATCATCACAAGAATGAATGATCCATTCTGTCAGTAAGTAACCCTTTTAATTATCTGAAGATATATCCTTTTTAGTCTCCAATGACAACAGTCAAAGCTGAGGTTTTTCTGAAACACCAGTTAGCTAGAAATCATTGATTTTCATGAGCACCAATTATGTACATTTGTGAGGAGGGAAAATGAAATTCCTTGGGGTAGTAATATAGAAATTCTTAATTTCTAAAGAAATGTAAACTTTAAGCTTATGGGATTTATAATTGCCAAAACAAAATAGCCAAGTTTTCTTGGTTTTAGGGAATGTTTTACTGTGTATGTAGTACATAAATTTCGATCTGCTATTGGTAAATCTAAGATAGTACGAGATGGTGATCAGGTTTTATTGATGTATTCTGGTGGTCAGGCATCGACAGCATTATTACATCTAGTTATTGAGGTATGAAGAAATATTCTTTTTCTACAGCTGAATAAAAAACTTTTTACCATTTTCTTCATCGATTATATGACAGTGTTAGGCATGTATATGGAAATGTACCCTAAAATTAATACTCTACTGAAGATTAAGCCATTTGTGAAACAAGATTATCACCAATATTATGTGACTGACAAAAGGAAATTATATTATGACAATTATCTCTCTAAAGCACAAATTTTATTGGCTTTACCTATGTTGAAAATATGTTATCTACATACTGTTTAATACATAATTTTTTATAGGGACTTAGTGAAAGAGCTCATAAAAAATTACGATTCAAACCAGTCATACTTCACATTGATGGTAAGCTATATTTTATATCAATTCAATTTCTGTTCAAAAGATCTGATGCAATAAACAATAAACTTCTAAACATATTGTACATGAATTATTTTTTTCATGTGCTTTGTAGAATTCTCTTGTATTAACCTTGACTAATATATTTTTTTACAGAGTCAGCAGTATTGGGTATGACAGATGAAAAAAGACAAGAAAACCTATCAGAAGTCCTGAAGATTATGAAGAAAACTGGATTTCCATATTATTTATCCTCTATAGAACAGGTATTTTGATTGCTTAATCCTATATTTTAGAATATTTTATGATGCTTCATGGATATTTCAATTGTTTTTTTAAGAGCATGGGAATATTTTGGAATAAATTTAAAGTTCATCATTTCAGTAATGATTCCAAAGATTGTGCTTCATGTTAACATATTTTTTAGGCATTAGATTTATCAATAGAACCTAAAAGAGAACTTTTTAAGCATATGGAAACCACAGAAGATATTTATAAGAGACAAGAAGAAAAGATAACATCTTTACAATCTCTACTGTCTTCTATAAAAACATTGACAGCTAGAGAAGATTTCATTAAAAATCTCAGGTTTGTTTTGTTATAAGAATAATTATTTGTTACTCATAACGATTTGCTACTTTTTACACTATACACAAGGACAAAAAAGAATCTAAACTATTTGCCCAAGGACAATACATACTACTGATGGTGCATTTGTGAAGTCACTTTCTATTGACATCTAAGTTTGGCAAGCTTTTTATTAAGGAGTGGCATTTTGGATTTTGATATGTGACTGCCGACTGGCTAATAAGAGCAGCCCATACAGATATACATACTTTGAGTAGGTAGTGAAACATTGCTTATCTGTACTTCATTATAGTAAGTAGATTATTGTCACTGTTTTGTATTACAGAAATCAGTTAATGTTATCAATATCTGGACAGTTAGGTTATAGTAAAATAATGACTGGTGATACCAACTCTAGACTAGCTGTGAATATATTAAATCATGTCGCACAGGGTCGAGGTGCTCAGGTTGCTTATTCTACAGTAAGTTTGAATTGATTCTCTTTTGTTAATTTTGTCAGGCTGAGGGATAGTAAATCCTATGTAACTTTTTTAAAGATGTAAATTTTCCTTTTGTATTCTACATTAGTTCAGACACTATATGAATTATTGCTTTGTAACCAAGCAATTATTTTTCATTGTCATTATCAAATTTACAGAAAAGCGATATTAATGTATTATGTATTATTTTTATAGGGTTTTTGTGATAATAGATATAAAGATATAGTGATATTGCGACCTATCAGGTATAGTTAAGTATAGATTTAAGTTTCCATGTCAGATTTGGAATTAAAATTAACTTTTTATTGCTAACAATGACTTTAGAATATAACTGAGCAAGAATGCTTCTCAAATCTTTTGTGAAGATAAGATAGTGCTCATTTAACAAATTTGTACCATCCATGCAAGTCAGAATGTGCATGCAGTCTAATGAATAAAACTAATGATATATATGACATTGTTTGTGCCCAGAGTGGTCGGCCTTTGAGCGTGAAATTTCCTTCTAATGAGATGAATCCTTTGCATTGTAGAGATTTATCAATAAAAGAAGTAGCTGTTTATAATCAGATGAACAAATTAGATTCAGTTTTTATTCCAACTCTCTCAACAAAGGTAACATTATTTCAATCTATTGTATTACATTATCAGAAATGTATAATTTTTTCAAATGCAGAAAATCGCCTGAAAAGGTAGCATTACAGAGGAGGATCCATTAAAAGATATCACATTTCAAACTAGAAAATTTTTTTTTTTTACAAGCAATAGGCCTTTGTAGATTATATTTAGTCATGATTTGTTTTATGTTTTTACTCTAGGCTCCATCTATATCTAGTATAGAGAAATTAACAGAGAAGTTTGTTACTGGTTTACAAGCTGATTATTTATCTACTGTTAGTAATATTGTAAGGTGAGATCATTTCAAGTAATGTCAGTTGCCACATAGCAATCGCCATTATCCCATTTTAACAGATTCTTGGCAAACATCAGACAGGATTCACAATAACATTGTCAGCATTCAGTCATAGAATGAAATTATCAAATTTATAGTTGGAGAAAAAAAATATGTCTGCTCATCAGGGTTCATTTGAAAACATAAACATGATCAGTCTTCTTTATGTTCAGGGAGAATAAATAGTAATCAACCTATAAAAACTTAACTTTCTAAGGTTCTTATGTGAAAATACATTTAGTTTTAACCTTTATGAATCTTGATATAAAGTTCAAATTTATGTTCTCATAACACTGTAATTAATCCAACTTTCTATTTCTAGAACTGGTGAAAAGTTAGGTGTATCAGATGAAGAAATTAACAATGAAAGTTGTATATTTTGTCAGGTAAATTATTTCTTTTTTGAGTAAAATGTCTGCTCATAAATTCTTCAGATGTCACATGATATCAAATCTATGCCTTATCACAAAAGTATATTGACAATGCACCTTTTTTACGCCAAACTATTTTTTTTCAGTCATCAATTGATACCAATGTAGGTCCAGCATCGGCATTAGTTGCTGTAGAGTTCTCAGAGAAATTGTCTAAAGAAGGACGGCAGGCTACCTCATCTACTGATACTATTTCTGATAGAAGGTAGGTCCACACATTTAAATTGATATGAAAGCTAAAAGTTTGATTTAGCTGAGATAAGTAACTATAATGTTTGTAAGATAACATCTTGCTGGCTTTAGATATTTCATAATTCTATTATGCATTATGTTGGGGTTAATTGACATTTGATGTGCTTTTTGGATTTTTTCTATGAATTTCTATATTATAATGATTATTCAATTCAGAGAACAAAGGAGAATATTTTAGAATGTTTCCAACCATACAGCTACTCTGTTGATTTAATGTCTTTTTAATATTTGATTTTGTAACTCCTTTTTTTTTTTTAATAGAAATGAAATAAAGAAGAAATTATGTTATGGATGTCGTGTCACTCTATCAGAAATTGTAAGTTATTTGACATTTTCAGAAATATCCCTTGAAGTGTTCGTTTTTATGGATATGTGTCATAGCTAATTAACAATATTTCCTTATTGGACTCTTGAATGTAGACTTGATAAACCCAATTAGCAAAATGGCATCGGGCTTGTTGGCACGATTAGCTTGCCCTGTCATTTACTATTTAAGACAACATAAGGAACGTGAATTGACTTTTATAAAGGAGTTAGAGGATATTGTTCCTTATACTAAATACAGAGTTGAATTGTTATGTTTTTAGGATGACATTCATCAACTGCCAGAATTCATCAAAACTAATACTCTAGACCAAAATAGGTAATCTTGCTTTAATTTTTTCAAAGCTTATATCCTTCAGAAATAATTGTTAGTAAAGATAGTATGAATTATAGATTTGATCCATGTCTGTCATCATAAAGTAGTAATTTAAAAAAATCTTATATGTAGTTTTTTCCTTTTCTCAAATTAATTTTTAACCATTTTCAGATTAAAGATGAAAAATGAGATAGAGGAATATTTATTACAACCAGATGATAATTGAGATATAGTTTGTTTGTCACAATATTTATTACATGTATAAAAGATATCATGAAAGTATTTATGATTATTTTTTATTGTGATCAGCTGACTGAAAGAATTAACTATGTGTACAACATATTGAAATTATGTTGCCAGTCATAGAAGAACAGTATTTCTTCTTGTTTATAATGTTTATAGTCATCTGGTTTAACAGAGATATAACATCATCCAATATGGATCAATGCCTACAAATATCACTTGTTGCAAAGCTTAACCTTAAAAATCCAGTTTCATTTATAACATGGAAATATGCCTGGTACCCAAATTTATGGATTCTGAAGGTATTTTGCACATTAATGAGCCCTCATCCCTCTTTAGCTGTAAAACATAGATTAGGCTATAACAGCTTTCCAAGCAAAATTCCTTAGTGCAAGCTGGAAGAAATGGCTATTCATGGAAATGTAGGATATGATACAATTCCCCTTACTCCTGAAACTACTAAAATCTGATGATTTATAATGGAGAGAATAGCAATTTTTATGCATGATGAAATACAGCAGCTGTTGAATCAAATAATAAGTTAAAATATGTTTAAAAATTTAATAATATATACAAAGATAAATTATACCAGTAGAAATGGTATAAAAAATAATTAAAATTAATAAGTAAAATATTATCTAAATTATTAGTAGTTCTACTGAAGTTATTAGCCAACCGAAACTACTTTTTTCTACTTCAATTGAGCTAAATAACATACTTCAGGCCAGTGCAATTAATGACATCCTTAGAAAATCTATTCAACCAGTCCACCGACAGTCAATGCCAGGTCAAATTCTACATTTCTACCACATGTTTAGGCTTTCTGGAAGTGTAAAAAATTTCTTTGGGTCCATAAAATTTGTAGAACTTTCCTTAATCCATATTTGGTTGATATTTGTGACTTCTTGAAATGCATTCTTGCTTGAGCCAGTTGACCAGTGTTCCTCTCTAAATATCCACTTAAAATCTAGTTTGTAAGCTCAGATTAGATTGATAAATTAAATAAATATAAATTAAATATATTAGGTATATTGTCAGAATATTGACTACATTTGACTATAATTTAAATAGACTACTGTTTGACTATAAATTAATACCTTATAACTTATAATAAATACTAAAATATCAAGGTAGTTGTTTGCTTTTGAAATTGAAACTTTGCAATGTCATGAAGAAAATATTTCCTAAAATCTATCCATACAAAGCTATGTATGGTTTTTACTTGTAAATAACATACATAAACGTAGTTCACAACCATTTTGAATGTTTACCTTAACTTGATAAGTCAAATATTTCAAAATGCTATTATATTTTGACTGAGTGTTCAAATCACACTTAAATCCATTTCTGAACTCTTTTTCAAAAGCCAACTTATTAAGTCAAGGTAGAAATTCAGAATGGCTGTGAACTGTGTTATTTCCTGGTAAGAACTGTACATAGTTTCGTATGAAAATCTATCATCACACTTCACTCTTTTACAAAAACAATCACTTCAATCTCAAAACTGGTCAAAATTTAACAAAGAAAATCCTATTAATTTGCTAAAAGTCTATGAAGTCTAAGAAATGAATCAGATTTTGAATGTACATGCAAACATGTGGCATATCACAGTCACAAACTCAAATAAATATCTTAAATACTTTCTGAAATATTCAGAATTAATATGTTATTAGAGTAAATATTCTGATCTGGGAAAATCCATAACTAAGTTTATATTTCTTTTGATAAAAAATTTGTCTACCTTTTTTTAAAAAGATTGAATTCTTTTATTCAGGTTAAAATTGAATAAAATTTGGTAAGAGAATGGCTCAAAAATGATAAAAGATATCTTTGAATTGAGACATATGTCTTTTTTTGTAAATTACAACTAAATTTATTCACATAAAAAATGACGTTGGGTTTTTTGGTCAATAACAAACAATAACAATGTAATGGCTTCACTATGTGATTCAACTTCTCATCAAGAGATTTTAGACTGGAGTATTTTAAATCCTACCCTTTAATTTCTGATCTGGATGCACAGAATTCAAAAGAGATTCTCCAGCCCATTAATGTGCATCAAAGACGTTTATTGCTTTCATTTGTACCATTCTGATTTGTCAGATGTCAAATATTCAGAGATTCCTAGAAACCTTTTGAATTTCTTTTAATTTGTACTTTTTGAAATATTTTACTTTAAAGTTGGTCATGAAGTTAGTTGTAAAATAAAATGAAATATCTAAATCATTCTCATAAAACGGAATGATTAAAAGAATAATTTGAAAAATGCATTCATGAATGAGCAGGAGATGCTTATGAAAGAATTCTCAATAAAATATAACATATTACCAAATATCTAGAAGAAACTAGAAAAACCACCCATCAAAAAAATGACTATAATATAATATTTTTTGGCTATTTGCTATATTTTATTAGAGAATTATTTAGAAGCAATCTCCAGTTAAAAACTGGTGAATTATTGAGTTACTTGAAATAAAATGACCCTGAAATTGATGGTCTTCCCTGCTAACACCTTATTACATTCATTAGCATCAAGTAATGGAAATTCACGATTTTCAGATTCAGTACTGTCTGCCGAAAATTCATGTTCATAAATGGTTGGTTTGACTTTAGCTTCACTATGTGGTCCTTTTAATACAAGGTAATGTAGTCGAATAGGAGTTGTAATCTTAGATTTCAGTATAAGTTGATACGTAACTGATCGTGAACAGGTCTGGGTAGGATATTTCTGGTCTTGGTTTGCTCGAGCTTTGATTACCCATTGATGATTGAAAGCTGAGAAACGACTGGTTTCATAAAATAATTTGGCTATAAAATCATCAGTACGGTATGGTTTTAGTTGTAAATCTGAAAGCACATAATGGAGTATGAATTAAAAACAGAATTGAGTTACCCACATCATGTTTTATAACACATGATGTTTGTGATTTATGTCATTTAAATGCAATAGGTTTTTTTTAAGACACTGCTTCATTTTGACTTTTTTAACAGAATATTTTGTTACCTCTGTTACTTGCAGGGATTTGACACATAAAACAGTGAAAAATTATGCATCAAATTCAAGTGATATATCTGATGTGAAAGTTATTTACCATTGAAAGTGATCTTTTCCAATGAAAGTAGATTGAATATTGATCCAAACGATTTCTTCTCTTCTGTCTGTTTGGCATCAACAGTTTTCATGGCATCCATTATTTCAGCCCCTGTTTTCTCTGGGTGAATACATGAAGATTCATGTTCCCATATTTCATGGTAAGGTCCACGCCAGGGACAGCCAATTCTTGAATATTTACATATTGATGGCCTAAAATGAGATTGGACAATTCATATGATATGTGCTCCGGACAATCTAAACTGCCTTGATTAAGACAGATGGGCGTTTACTTACAAAAACAGTTGCTCATTCTTCAAAAGTACTTTTGAATTTGGCATCACCTGAAAAAACACTGTGTCACAAGATATTTCATTTTTAGGTTTTATAGATTTTTAGGCTTTAAATGCTTGTACACTGAAAATAGATTTCAATTTCTCATCCCATTTTAGTTTGATACAGTTTTACAGTTGTCACGTATGCACAGGTACATGTTTCTCATTTTCGACTTTCCTAAAATGCAAATGACCTTAAATTATGAGAGCTCTGTCCTAACAAATTAGGTGTCAACTGAGAGAGTAACAGAAAGTTCAAACGCTAATTGTCATAATCTGATCAGAACTGCAAGTAAAAAACAAAAATAAATTCAGAATTTTGCTTTTCTGTCACTTCTCAGAATCCTCCAAAGTCAAGTGCAGGTGTTTTTAAGTTTGTGTTAGGAAGAAAAAACATTTTTCTTATATCTGACTTCACATAACTCCAAATTTACATTTAATATAAATTTTGGCAGGCTATATCCAATTAAAACAGTTCAGTTCTTATTTTCTTTTTGGAATTTTGGACAACAATTTTGTAAAAACATTGAAGTTAAGACGAAATAAATGAAACATAAGACTAAACACATAATACAACTGGATATCATGCTTTTATAAGAACTGATTTCAAATCCACAATCAAATAAGGTCAATTTTAGAATTGTTTGAAAGATAAGCCTATACATATCTTTGATAATAATTGGACTCTTCATAATTGCAGTAGATATTGAGTGCTATCTATGGCAATTGAACTATTGAGTCCTAGAGTGACAAGAAATGGATTACAATACCAGTTGGTAATTTGGAAGCCAAAATTGAAAATATGATTATGACTGGTATTGGTCCAAATCCCATTTTTGAGTAACAGTTCAAGTGAGATTTTGAGCTCATTGAACAATACCTGATGGTGGATTGGTTGTGGTTTATTGAACATGTAAATTGGAGTAAGCATGCTAAGAGAGCATGTAAAGACAGAAAATACTTGCCATTATGACAACTAGAAATGTTGTCTTCACTGGAACTACTGGTTAGATAGATATCAACACGCCATCCAAGGTGTGAGTGAGATGTATTCCTAGGTTGATAAAAACAGCTCCTCATGATGTCCTAATTAACAAACGAAAAACAAAAAAGTGTGGATCTGGTTAGACATACAATCAACAACTGAGGACCTACCGCAAGAATCTGAACATGTCTCCCCTAAACATATTCAGATGCCTGCGATGTGGTCCCGACCTTAACTAAGCCTTAACTAAACCTTAACTAAACCTGAAAAAAATGATTAGTTTGTTTAGCTTACCGTTACTTTGCTATCTTACCGTTCTTGACAGAGTTCTTTTTCGTGGTATTCCAATTTATTTCTAGGCAGACTCTGGTTGCAGAATTTACACTCTAAGGGAAGCTCAGATGCTGCATTCTCTACAGCCAGGTTTCGAGTGCACGAATTCTTACTGATTTCACATCGGCAGTTTGGGCAAGTTGGTGTTTCATCTTTAAGTCTCGCATCAGCAAGAAGATGATTGAAACATCCAGAACACATCAAGTGACCATTTATACACTGAAAGCACAAAAACATTTAACGATAGGTGAAAGTTGGGCAAAGATATTGGTGCACATCTGGGGAAAGGAAGTGCACATTTAGGGCAGAATTAAAGATATTTATCTATTCATGGCTATGACAGACTTGACATTAGTGATTGATGACAACACTGATTTCCTAAGATTTGAATCTTAGGACTAAAAAAGGTTCATGATTAAAAATCACCCATCAATAATTGCATGTCAGAATTTATCTTTGCATTGAGTTTTGAGTGTTATTGATAAACCTACTCTAGGTCATTTAGGAAAATTCCATCATATTTGGGTTAATTAATTCACAAAAAAAGGGAGTGGCTAGGATGTAGGTCAACATAATTATCATTGACCAACTTGTTGACCACTAAGAATGGAATGTGTTTTCCCAGGGTTCACCCTATCTGATTGGTTCATTGCTATAAATAGAACGTAAACACAGACACGTCAAAATCACGTGATGATGTTATGCAGGTTTCGAACCTTGCCTGCAAATTGCAGACGCTCCTCTCCAGCCAACAGCTGCCCAGCCAAGTCCTAGCCAAAGTCAGATATATTGCAAGACGTGGCCTTCAATAAGTACACACAATGAAATAATATCGATTGATAGTTTCCATTGCATAAAGCAGTCTCATACGCCCTATTCATTCAACTCATTGGGGAATGTGTTGTCGGACCAAAAAAATTTTGACAGGACAACCGAGGTCGAATAGTTACTGCGCCAGGGTGGATAGGATCGTCGAAAGAAGTCTCAAAAGCGGCATATTTCACTGTCTGACTCATCTCAATTTACCACTTACTAATCCCTCAGGAATCAGTCTGAAAGACAACATGTCTGACCTCTGAGTAAATTTCTGAATGCATAAATCGAAATGTTTAAGAAAAAGGAAACCCACCTGAAAACATGTCCTGGGCAAGTCAAGACAAACGGCACAGCATAAAATGCCATTTAAACGATCTTCCAGATTAAAATTCTTTATCGAACAATGCGCAGAAAGTTTCTGCTTCTTCGTCTCTGGCTCAAAACTCATAATATTTTCTTTATCGTCAAGTTCTTGACGGGAAATCTGTCGACCTGCGTCCGAACTCTCAGCCATTTTGGTTGTTTATAAAATAACGTGACGCAAGCAGGAGAACTAGAGGTTATTTGACGTCATTTTTGACCAATCAAATCACTGGGAATAACCTTTGACCTTAATATTACCAACAGAGGTCACAATATACGACCTAATAAGGCGACTGTAAACAAATAGTTAATAATAAATGTTAATCCACAAACAATATTTCACTAATTAATCAAGATTTACGATTAATGAAGACCAAGTGAACTACTTGTATCCTATCTTGTATGAACATGCACAATCATGAAGTACTTCGCCAACAATCTTCTCTCTTGGAAGCTTTTATCAATAGACTTTATCAGCTGTGCCCCTTTACAAACACAAATTTCACACTTGGTTGGTATGTTGATACGAAACTCCCCAAGTGATATGTCGATTTTATACATATAGAATGACCTGCGGCTAGATTTTATTCTGACGTTATTATGTGACCTGTTTGATATAGTTGAAACAATCAGGTCATAACTCCAATGATAAGATGAAAAAAGGGGAGTTTTCCAAGCAAGAGCCCGAAGAGGCGGATGGATAATAGATTGAAATGTAATGTTCATTGAAATGCCATGCTATTTTATGTATGTGAAGGAGAGTTTGAAGCCCCTATTGAAATTCATAAACATTTTGAAATATGATGGAGTTTGAATTAATACCCCAACAGGAGGTGCAATTTGAAGTTTTGAATGTGCTTAGGTAGATTAAAGTAATATTGCAGAACGAGAGGAATCAGTACAGACAATACTGCTGATACTACTACAGCCACGGAGTGTTTTTATTTTTACTACAGGTTTCCCGCTACACTCTATGCCATACAAGTTTCAGACTTTTCCGTTCATCAAAATCAGATGAACACTACAACCAAATCATATCAACAAAACAATTTTGAGGACCTGTGGTACATGTTAAGGTATCAACCCTTAGACTGTCCAAATTGAAAGTATTCAAATTTTGTATCCCAAAATTTGGTATCCATGTGTGCATATATTGCAACCAAGATAAAATAAAAATCTAGGAATTTGACTTTAATCACTACTAACATAATGGATTATCAAGCAGATGACTGGTAAACTAACTTCACCCCAAGTTATGTTTTTGGGCATTGAGAACATAATGGTCATGTTCAATCTTGTTCGAGAAAGTTCAGAACTTATCACACATGGAGTGTATGAAATCACAAGAGTTGCAATTGACATGGTCCATTACGTCTGATCCAAAGTTATGTACCATTGTCTATAAGAATTTGCTTTGCAATTGCAGTCAGCTTTTAATTCAAATGTACTTCAAAATATGACTTTGCTGTCGACAGTTTCTCAGAATTTTTCCCATGTTTGTAAATGTCCTCTTGGATTCCCAATACAAAAATACACTGAGTAAAATTAAAGAAAAGTTTAATCAAGCACAATAGTTTTTCTTTCTTTTCCGAGATTGTATATAAATTTTTATATTATGAAAAAGATTTAAATTTACAATAAATGAGAAATTATATATTTTTGGAATAATTAAAAACTTTATGATGTATTCTCTCTCCACTTGCTGCCTGTCTACTCTTCCCCCGACCCTGTTGAACGCTTTGTTCGTCTTTGTCGGGGTGATTGCTTTGGGGTTCGTCTTGGTGAATGATCTGCAATAAAAGAATGATAATATTTAAGAAATGCATTAATTAACTATGTAGGTCACATCTAAACAGGAAAGTAAAGAATCAAAATAATTTTGAAATGATCATCTTGAACATGGATCAAATTTAGCTATTTACAACCACATTCACTGAAATAATGAAAATAAGAATTTCTTTCTTTGGTGCATTAAGGATGTGTCAGAGACCTTAGATTAAATTCAATTTGGCATGTACACAAAGTATTAAAGAACACATACTTATCAGAGCTTCCTTTGGGATCCAATCGTAATCGATATCTGAATTCTGTGTCCCCATTTCGACAGGTGCTTTGGAGCGTACTGGCTTTTTCTGAAAAATTCAATTTAATTTAATATTATCAAACAAGTGAATACATGACTTTGCTGATTTGGATAACACGCTAGAGCCTGTATGTCAAATCTATCCACAAGCTACATAATAGCAGGCGGTCAAACTATCAACATGTTTATTTAGGCAGGTTTCTAGGAGAATCAAGATTAAAATTATCAAGACTCGCTGGTTGATCTGCCATGTATTTATATTTGTAGATCATTGGGACAATAACATACAAATATTTTTCTTTCCATTCCATATTCTCACTTGACACATCTTACAATTAAATTTGATAGTCTGACTTTTCACTATGAATGATGGACACATTTGACAAACAATATTAAGATGAAACTTTATCAAGGTTTTCAGGAGCTAAATGTGTTTTAAGGATTTTTAACTTAAATTTAAACTTGAATGAACTATTTATAACAGTTTTATTCGAACATTGTGTTTTTATTGTGACCGATCTATTTATTGTTCTTTTTCGTTTTTAGACCATTATTTTATATTATGTGTGTATTTTACAAGATAGCTTGCCAGGCAAGGTAATATACGCCCACTGATAGCTTTGTTTGAAATTGAATATTTGTTAGAAAATAGCAAACATAGACACCAGGAAATATTCAACTTATACCCAAAATAGTTTCTCAGGAAAATAATGACATCTATTGTAAATTGTGATTATGAACAAAAAAATTGTGACTTGTAGTCTGT